CGAGACTATGCCGCCTGCAGCCATTGTCCTTCGTGCACTTCCTTTTAAGGCCCTGTCTGGATGGCATTGATGTGAGCCTCATCCACATGTCCATTGAAGGAATCCAGCTCTAACTGCTGCCCATTGAAGGCAGTGACGGTCTTGATAAGCTCAGAAGCGGTAACCTGAGCTCAGAGACAAGTTGACCAAAATCTCAGCCGCAGAGAGTCTGTGAATATGCCCAGGGACAGCCACTTGACCGGCTTTGGCATAGCAAGCCTCCACCACTGTGGAGAAGTTTCGCACCACTTCGACCGACAAAGCCATGCACATGCCCGCAATGGGCATGATGATGGCCATCAGAATGCTGATCTTCCAGTCGCGACTGACTGCAAGCACCTCAGTTGGTTGCTCAAGCCACAGAACTCACGGAGCTTTAGGAGGGCAAACGAAGAATGCTGTCTGCAGTTTCGGCACGGTAGCTGACACGGCCATGAAGCAGGCGCGCGTGAAATCGACGAGTCGCTCGCCGATTCCATCCCGGAAGAGGTGCGTGTCTTGCACAAGTTGTGGAGCTAGCTCCGAGGCATTGTGCATGTCATGCCAGCTTGGGCCCTGCATCAAGATCTGATAGAAATACTGGCGCCGTGCCGCCACAACCTGTCGATCAGCGGCCTTGATGACCAAGTAGCACCCACCAGTTCGCGCAACCAAGACGACCAGCGCCAGAAGCACGTAAGTCAAGCCGACCTCTGCTACCTTCTCGTTGCGGATAGTGTGGGGCGAATTGACAGGCGGCAAGGAGCCATCGTCGTTCGGCATGTACACAGCTACATAGAAGTCGGCAAGGAAGAAGAAGGCCATAGGCATGCAGGCACCATGCAGCGCACCCAGAACCATAGCAAGAGTGGTGCAAAATAGATCCTTACCGGTCCCATGCACGCGCACACAAGCACCCATTCAGGGCTTCACTCATGCCTCTGTCTCTGTAACTATTGTTTTCAGCTTGGCTGCCCATGGACGAGCAAAACGGAAGAGTGTACCGAAAGAAGCTTTCACCTCCACACGGCAAAACGCGCAAAGCGATAGCGAGAGCAAAGGGGCACAGGTGCGCAACAACGGGTGCGTCACGCGTTGGCCGACGGGCCTCCTCGTCCTTCTTCCGTTCCAGCGGCTCATCGCCACTAGACACTGACATTGCGTCCCTCGCATAGTCGTCGGCCGAAGTTGTGCTGCCTGGAATCCGTGAGCAGTCCAAAGAAAGATAACCTGCATGACAGCTGCAAGCTGCAGACATGCTACCAGGGGTGGCGGGATTGTCGTCGGCCCTGTCTTCGAAACCTTGCTCCAGACTGTCACCTTGCTCCAGACTGTCACCTTGATCATGCAGCATCAATCTCAATCACGCCAGCATCAGGGATCCGCAGCAACTCTCTCTTCTGCCGAGCAGCTCAGGGGTGGCGGTGTTGCTGTAGAGGTCGTATCCAGGCCAGGTGACAAGTTGCCCGGCAAGCCGACCTTTTTCTGCTCCGTCCCAAAAGAGATTCGTACACAAGGTAAGTCGGCACAAGACCGGCATGACTGCTGCTTAATGACTGCTTGTTCAGCTTAGTTGCCTGATCATGCTTTGTCGGGCCGAAAGTACGATGGAAGAAGTTGAGGGAAAGCAAAGCGAGAATCAGAATACATCCCCCGGTGATTGGAAGCGCCATAGATGCCCGTGCATACTCCACTTCGTTTTCCTCCAACCAGGAGTAAGCTGGTTGAGCATCAAAAGGGTCTGCCTTCTGCGCTCGCAGTGCTTTCAATGCCGCTTGACGGAGCAGCTTGAGAATCCCACGGCCCATCTCGTTCTGGTTCTTTCTCTCAGACTCACTTGCCACAGCCAGCACGACACCCTTGAAGAGCTTGTCAATCTGGGTGTCGTTGAGGTTAAAATCCTGCAGGAGAGCCAGCTACATACGGTTCGTCTACATCTCGGAGGGCAATTACCGCCATGATTCAAGTCAAAACAAAACAACCCGGTGGCAATCTTTGTGAAGTGTTGCCTGTCATGCAGGGAATGCAACGTGTGCAACACCGGTCGAAGCTTGGTTGGTTAGTTACGGTTAGTGAGAGGCTTCATGCTTGCGACTTTGTATACAAGCCTCCCAACAAGTCAGCCAAAGCCACAGCTTAAAAGATCAAGGCCGATTTGGCTTGCCACCCCACAGACTACTCACTTCGATGCGGAAGAGTCTTTCCATGTGTTTCCTGACTGCTTGTGTTTGGGGGGCTCTAGGAGCGACTTCGGCGGCTGCCACCCGACCAATCACCCAAGAGAATATTGGCCCTGCCCCCTGTTTTGACACCCAAGCACATGTGCTGGTTCCTAACGAAGGCATCAGATAAGCAAAGTGTTTCCACTTGCTTGGGTACACTGGTCATATTCCGTGGGCGGGGCAAAACCAACAAGCCTCAGCGCTGGCGCTACAAGTTTTTTGGACAGCATGGTTGGGAGCTTGCGTCCAAATCCCCGAACGCACAAAGAAGTTGCGACAGCTTGGTCGGAGGAGTTGTGGGTTGTCAGAAGGTTGACCATCAGGAACAAGGTATGTTGGAGCTTGTTGAAATTCGGCCTGCGCGGCATAGTGACTCATTAACGAACTTTGGAACGTTCCACCCCTATCGGACATGGATTCAAATTCAGGACACCATATCCCTCCCCGACTTTGAATGAGCGACATTTGCCAGGCTCAAGCAGTAAATTCTGGAGTTAAGGTAGGCCGAGACTCCAACTCCAAGCAAAACAAAGAACACGGACGCCTTTCGGGGAGGTCAGGCCCTGAAGAGCCTGGGCCCTTTGACTGATTCCAGGCTTCGAGACGAAATCCTCCTAAGGGTAAGGACCAGTTGTGGCATCAAATCTTGCAACACTGCTTTCCCCATGACGTGCTCCGTGGATTGCTAGCATACCTTTCCATCCATATACGTGAAAGGCACGCTATACCTGCCCGGAAGGCAAGGACATCTTGCGAACATCCCAGATAGGTCCTTGAAGACCAGATGCCTGAGCTGAGATTTGCACACCAATTACAGATCCAGCGCATGAACGCGGGAACGCCGGAGCAATGCAGAGTCGCAGCACAGGCATATGCGAGGCAGCCCTCAAATAGATGCAACTCAGCTGCTCAAGAGCCTCCAAAGCTTCATTGCCGTTGGTCTTGGATGCGTTGGACTTCTGTGCGTCTGCTTCTTCAACCAGGGAGGTTGCAAAGATGGTCCTGTCTTCCTCACCGATGGGTAGCTTTGCATCGTTCGATCTCTCCTCCACAACGGCTTGGAATGCCCTTCCGGCAAAACTTTTGACAGCAACACAGTTTCAGGCAAGTATCACCACGCTTTTTTGCAGGGACAGGGGCAAGTAAGTGCCACTAAGACTGAGCAAACCAAAGCCGGGATTTCTTCGTTTCTGTGCAGAAAAACCACGTTCTGACATGTTTTGACGTGTCACAGGGCCCGGAACCAACTGCGCACCGTTTCACACGGTGCCATCGCTGGGTGCTTTGTCCACGCGTCGAGCAAATGCACTGTCCAGAGGCAAGACTGTACCATTTCAACATGTGCCCGCTCAAAATATCAACAGCAAGGAAGCAGTGGTCAGTCAGTGTCAGACTATGTGGCAGCGATGAAACTATGAAACCCATCAGCCGCCCCGTCCTTGGCACTTCGCGCGTGCACGGCCGCTTGCAAAGCGCCAAGGCCACATGCGTTTGAGGCAGCCCTGGGATGGAAGGGAACACAAACACAAACCATAGATGGTGCACGGAGTGCCCCTTGCTGCAGGCCTGTCGCAGCTGTCATCGGCTGAAAGCGCTGATGACACTTGGACGTTGAGGGTCTTTGGTGCATCTGCCTCCGGCATGCAGGGATTCAGCAAGTCGCCATCCTCCCTATCCTCCCACAGCTCTCGCTGGTCCCGGAAATGCAAGGTCACAAGCCCGGCCTCTGCCGAGAAGCGTGGCCAGGCAAGCAAAAAAATGGAAAAGCGCATCAGCACCTGGAAACCCACGGGACAAAGCACAGACCTGGCACGGGCCGCCGGACATGGCAAGCCCTCGCCAGACAGCTGAGCTTGGTACGGATGTGAATGCCATGTTGGCCTTGGATTGGATGCATTAGATGCTGCCAGCCCTCAGGCAGAAATACACTATGGTACACTCAAGTCTTGGCGACGCAAGACCTCATTCGCACGCCAAGTGGCTGTTCGGATATTACGGATATGAGATGAATCTCTGTGCCGCAAGGGTTCCAGCAACAGATATTCTTCTTGAGCCACAAACACACAGATCAGATTTGATGGATGCACCACATCGCCCCCTTCCCAAACCAGCAGACATCCCCCACAGAATCTCGTTACCTCTGAGAGAACCTGGGAGCAATCGAATGTACAGCGACAGCAGCTTCTCTGCACAGTACGCATTAATAGCACGAATCGTAATCCGACATGTACGGGATTGCCGAGCTGTGCAACACAGCATCAACCGTTTCGGGCCGAGTACAGTCATTCCTGCATACGCTGCTTGGCACAGCCTATTTGCCATCGAAACTCGAGATTCCGACACTTCATTTCCACGCAACGATCCATGTTCCAAGAGATCATACTGGTGCAAAGCACTGCAAGCCAGCGCCACCGCATGTCACTTCTAGAATGACCGTGAACGACGTGAAACCTCGAGAGCGTGTGTGAGGCAGAGTCGGCAGCGCAAACTCGCGGAGCTTCGTCGCATGCACACTACAAAGTGCGAGCACCCGTGCTGAGAAACCTTGGCCCATAGAGTTTCTGAGGGAACTCTCGAATCGAACCTGTTGGCTTGTCTGTCGGCTGTGTTGGGGTGTCGGTTTCGGTCCAAAGCGGTTGACCGGCGAGAGAACCCGAGATCTGCACATCTGCTACCCCACCCTCCAGATTCGAGCCGCGATCAAAGCATGTTGCGGCATGTCGAGCACAAACATGTTCCTGATGAATGCCCACATCGTACCTCATTGAGCCAGTTGGAGATGGCTGCCTGATCCCAGTTCTGCACCTCGTGAAGCCCAAAGACTCAAAGCTGCAAACCTTGAGGTGAAAAGGCTAGGGCCTTTCTGGGAGGAGGAGGCTCACGCACGCTGTGTGTCGTCGCCCCTCACAGAAAGACGGGCGGATGACGCAACCGCAGCAACTCACGGCGTGGCCTAATTTCTTGCCTCCGAACTCACTCACCTTCTGGCCCAGGCCACTGGTCGCAAGATCATGGAGTACCAACTTTGCCTGTGCCACATTCAACCTGCGTGATCCTGCAGGCTGCTCACTGCTCACTGCAATGTCCAGCCTCAAAGAGCTCCTGTGGATGCAGGTCGGGCCTTTGGCATCCAGGGCCGAGACAACATTCCACTTTCTGACATCTGTCCCTCCCTGCTTCATCCTGCTTCGTCAACGGCATCCAAAGCTGGGAACCAGGCACAGCCGGGGGCTGCAGCTCGGGAACCTTGCGTGCACACGTTGCATGCGACATGTGTAAACTCAAGCCATCGATGTGCCAGAAATGAAAGAATCTGAAAATGCCAAGTATATAACATTTTGAATGACATTCATTCTAGGAGTGAAGATCATGGTGTTGATATTGGATCTTGCACTGCTTCCTTCATGCGGCCCCTGGCTTACTCCTACGGGCGACGGCCTATCAAACAAAGCACATGTTTTGCCTGCCTTCAACAAGGCCTCCTCCATGTCTTCCACGAGGTTCTGCGCCTGGTTGCATGCTCTGCTCGCGCTGCTTGCACCCTTGGCGATGTCTTGCCACAGACTGCTACTGCAGCTAAAGAGCCTGCGTGTTCTGTTGCATGAGCTGTTTCTCAATGAGTGCCTGCCGCTGACCCCGAGCAGTGGCACCTGAATGCATCTTGCAAGGCCGGCCTACTGGCGACACATCTGCAGCTGATCTGATCCGGCGTGGAAACACTAGAAAACCCTGTCATCCATGATGACAGTGCTGGGTCCATGGCGTGCATCTTTCCTGCCTTGTCTGGACTTCATCTTCCTCGGCTCAGCTTAGCGGTGTAGCTCGTACGTGAAATTCGACAACCGCTCCACATGACCACCCGATGCCATTTGCTCTCTGAGGGACTCCTTTCTGACCCTCTCCTGCGGACTTGCGGTTGTGCACTGGCCAATAGATCGCACAGGGTGGGTCCTTCTCAGCCTTGATGAGCCTCACTTCCTCTGCCAACCGTCCAGCCTTTTGCCGCTCCACCTGACTTCGTAGACTTCAAAGAAACGCGACAGGGCAGGGCAAAAAACAGGGCGCCTCGAACTGCCATTCTGCTGGTGGTGCGGTGATCCCCTTGTAGACCCTGTGTCAGACGCTCTCTGAGGGCTGCTCGACTTGGACCATGTGCCTCCACTTAAAAGCAACTCAACAGTGGCCTGTTCATTGCCATGACCTTGAAGACAGCAGCCTGGCTTGAGAAAAAGACATTCTGCCCTTCACATTTTCTCCGATTCTATCATCTGCACCATGACCTGCCTTCATCTTTTCGACCGGCGTACGCGAGCCCAAATGGTTTGTCTGAGCAGGCAGGCTGCAGGAAACTCACTGCTCTTGCGATGGAAGACATGAACCTAACTGAAACCACAGCCTTTAGAAGGCCATCTTTCCACTCAGGTCGATTCCACTCCATTCGCCTCTCTGAAGCTACCATGAATCGCTACCATGCACTGCGTGAGATGCTTTTTGTGGAGGCAAGCAGGTTTTTTGCTCGGACCAGCTAGGTCTCGGGTACTTCAAAATTCGGTTGCCAGTGGATGACAGGATACGACGGCCCATGTCAGTGCAAAACCTGCTTCACTGTTCTCATGCACCCTGCATGACGCATTTCACAGACGATGCAGCCAAGAAGCCTGACGCCGGAGAACTTCACAGAAGCATCCATGCCGTAAGCGTAGCGCCTGGCACTGTTGGAAGGTTTTGCCCTGAAAGGAAGCTCCCACACCACGACGCCGCAAAATGCCGCAACATGCCACAAAATGCCGCGCATGAGAGGGTCACCTCTCAGTCTTGGTGTCATCCCATCTGCTCTGCACCTGACTCTAAAAACATCTGGCGGATTGGCTTCGTGTCTCTGTAGGCATGGTCTGGGGATTGTTTAGGGAAACCGATCATGTATGCATAGAAGCTTGTATGAGCAAGTGCGCAAGCTTGGATTTACATGAGAAAGCTGGAGGGGTTGTCCCTTCGGTCTGGGGCTGCGGCATATCCCGACAGAGATTCCTGAGAGTCCTGCAGCCGTCACAAGCTCACACTGCTCACAATTGACGAGAAACTCCATCTCCGTACTTCCCACTAACTTCACCCCTTTTCACCAGCTGCCTGGGACTCCGCCTCCGACAGCTCCTCAGGCTCGTAAGGCATGTACCCCTGCACCTCAATTCGCCAGAATTTCGCCGGAATCTAATTCACCTGGTGAAAGCTTGGGAGATCTTGGGCGCAGGCTTCGGCAGCACGAAAGGCAGACAAGTCGAAGTCTCCAATCTGAGCATCGCAGAGCTTGACGTCAAGTTGACGTCAGCACGCGCTTGCAAGCTGTGTTGAGGCCACGGCTTCACCAGAGAACCGTTTCAATGCAGGTCGGTGGCCCCAAGCTTGAGCTCCAACATTCGTCGGCCCCTCGGGCCTCTCACAGATGGCGCACGTGCTTTGTATATCAGCACACCAAACGCCCCAACGTGCGCAAACACATGTCTGATTCTCTCTCTCCTTGCATGATACCCAAAAGAGCTTCGTGTTATGTCAAGTACCTCAAAGAGCAAAGCTCGAAGCTCGGCCTGTAGCCTGCTTGAGCTCGTGCTCGGAGTGCAACCCTTGACACCAACACTCCACCCCTCTGGTCCATCGATGCACTGTGCATTGTGCATTGTGCATTGTGCATGTGCTGACAGAGCCAAGATTTCCAAGATCCTCGCGCCCACGGCTCATGCAGCTGATATGTAGGCGATGGCGGAGGAATTTGGCTGAGTGGTGGTGACCTGCTCCCAACCAAAGAGTTTTGAACACCGTCATGTTGAATTAGAAGCACGCTGATGCCGACAGAGGGAGGCGCGGGTAAACCAGTCACTGGCATCGGGGCACGATAGCTTGGACAGCTGGGGCACCAGCGTCTTGGGCTTCGGAATCGGCTTTGGAGCTGGCAGCTTTGGAGTCGGCGGGCCCTTTCCTTTCGGTGCTACCTTGCGAAAGAACCACACTCCCACGTTCAAGCAAGCAACCCATTGAAGAACCACACACACCTACACATACAGAGAGAGAGACACACACACACACAACAAAGCAAAACACACTCACACTCACTCTCACACACACGCACACACAAACACTCTCTTTTTTCTTCCTCTTCTTGTTCTTCTCCTTCTGCTTCTTCTTCTACTTCTTGTTCCTGTGATTCTTGTGATTCTTGTTCTTCTTCCGCTTCTTCTCCCTCGATATGGCTCAGTGGTAGGAGCATACCCGTAGGAAAACTGAACGGTTCAAAAGCTGGCGCAACTGAAACTCGAGCAATGAGGCTGTCAACACAATGAGCCAAGGTTTGGGCGTTGCTGCTGCATTTGTTATTTCTGTGCCTCCTCGAGAGATGCTCACTTGTTAAATTCGTCCTGTACCTGCCCGCACTTTAGCGCTCGAGCGCACAGAAATGCAACAGTCCCGTGTCTGCGCTCGAACGGACCATGCCTTGTATGTTGCATCCAATGTAAGAATATGTCAACATCTGTTCAGGAAGTTCATCCGCGCTCACTGCGCACTGTTTGCTGAGAGGGTGAGCCTTGTTCATGCCTGCAACAAGTTCAATCCGGAGTACAAACTCACGCCAAGTGCAAAGCATCAATGACAAGAGGTGCTGTTTGGCGAGCTTGTGACAGGCGTTCTTTCTGCTTCAACAGCTTTGTTGCAAAGTGTTTCGGAGATGCCATTTTGCCGCCGCACGGAGAAAGAGTTTCCGGGTAGATTGTGTTACAAAACTAAATTGCTGAAAGAACCCCCTGTCTGAGATTGACAAGAAAGTGCTGGGCCAACCGCTCCCCTTGTCATGAACTGCCATCGCATGCCTCCAAAATCGGGCCCTGTATGACAGTGTGGGTCAGAGCGTTTTGTGACACATTGTCGCGCAAGGGTCGACCTGGCGCCAGCCTTGTTGCAAGCCAAACTTCAGCCAAGTGACAAAAAAGTCAAGGCATGACCAAAAGGCAAAAATGCTTCCCGAAGAGTGCCTCTTCGTACCTTGTGGTTTGTGCCCTCAATAATATGTGCCAGTGGCACACGTGAAGCTTTCGGTGCGCATATGCAGATGCCGAACATTGGCAATGCCCAACAATACCTGGCTTCGGCTGAGTGTCGGGTGTTTACTGATTTGTAGCTTTCGACGAAGAATTCAAATCCTTCGGAGCTCTGGTTCAAGCCTCTGGCTTCCCCACTGCCCCCTCAGTACCCATGGATCAGCACGCAACGCGTCGCATCTGCTTGAACATGTGCTGAGATGTGGAAAAGAGCGGCAGCCTGAAACCACATTCTTGGCAGAGAGGACATGCCAAAAGCCCAACAATCTGGGTGCAAGCAAACGAGCGAGACCTGCTGCTCCACGGGCTGCTCAACGGGCTGCGGGGGTGGCCACGGCCCGCTTTCCTCATGGCCCGCGACGGCATGCGCAACAAGGACCATCACTGTGTGTGTCTCGTCATGCACCGTGTAGCGCAAGAACGGTCCGGAACTTCCGGCTCAAAGTCGAAATCGTAGAGTATGCCGCCCTTTCCTACAGGCACTACAGCCACCAAGTTCACGCAAAGATGGGCATCGCGTGGGCAACACATGGCCACAAGAGCTGGCCTCTGCCTTTGACAATGCCCTTGCCCGTTTTCGGTGCAGGGGCTTTGGGCTTGGACATTGCCACTCCTGCCACTCCTGCCATTCGGCCAGAACATATGAAGAAAGCCTGAGCGGAATGACGTCGCCTTCCCTACCAGCCTGATGGGTGCCCCTGCCACTACTATGGGATGCTTCTGCTACAGGATGGCATCCCTCCTCCCCAAGCACCCTGCTTGACCGCCTTGAGCCAACTGGCAAGCATCGCTGTCAGGTTGGCAAGGAAAGCCGGAAACAACAGCAGCGAAACGCAAGCGCACCGACACTGATGTCAGGCGCGAGAGGTTCGAGCCGGTGGATGTTCTCCGCACTGCCTGGGCAGAGCATGCTGGCGGCCACTGGCACGTCTTTCAGCCAACTCAAACCCTGCCTGCACAAAGAGACCGGCTTGAGGGGACTGGATGTAGTTGCCTCAGCCAGGCATCGCATCCAACAAGACCCTATTGGCCAGATATCCAGCGGGGGGACTGCGGGACTGGGGACTGCGGGGCTGGAAAGCTGCGAACGGTCTGTGATGCCAAACCCCCCTAGTTGTCATCTGCCCTGCCTGATGCGAAGTTATGGAGTTGCTCAGGGTATGTTGGGATGTGTTGGGTTGCTTCCGTTGTTTGCTTGACGAGTGGCCGGTCCACGTCTGGAAGCTCAGCCAGGCATGCGGCCCAAGCCTCTGACACGAGACGCACCATTGCCGGATCACATGATGGAAAAGCAAGGCGTATCTGTATGATGTATATATATATATACATTACAATATACACATATATGTAGAAAAAAGACGCATCGCATGTGCTGCTCATATCAGCTCGATGCTGGCCTCTTCAAGGTCGTGTCAGTGGCCTGGCTGCAAGAGTGGCCGGAGACATTTGCTATAGGTACTCTGAAAAATCACTTCGAGCTCCTGAACTGGGTCACGCTACTTCGCTCACGTGGTAACTTTGCCAACCGCTGCCCGGTATGGATCTGACAGCTGCCGGCCCGTGAAGGAGATACTCACGGCAAACACCTGCCCAGAAGTCAACGGCTGGCTCTTCAGAAAACACATGCCCTACTACGCCCTAGCTACACAATTAGTGGGTCCACTGGCTAGGTTTAAGCTGGGCCAGCCGGCCTAAAGTCACCCCAACCCCTGTAGCACAGGCGGAAGGCGGAAGCCACACAGCCAAACCCAAGGGCACATGGCTTCTTGTGCACTTTCACTTTTCAGACAAAATGCTGCAGGAGCAGTGACGGTGGGTTGAGAAGTCTTCAATGAAAAGTAATGTTTGCATAGTTTTGAACAGCCGCTAACTGCAAGTTAGGTGCCCCACTCAGCCATCGTGTGCGCGTAAGCTCCGGGTAAGGCGACAAGCGGTTTCGGAAGAATAGGGTTCTGGGTTCCACGCAGGGTGAAGACCCCAAAACCATGCGCGACGATTGAAACCTGCCAATTGTAAACCAGGCTGGCCAGCGCATGCCATGCGCAATTCTCATGGTCCTTGCCCTGGCCTGGTTTTGCTTTGCTCCTCGATCTAGTCTCATAGACAGTCCCCGAAGTAGTGAGACTTTCGGAGGCCCGGAGGCATTGCAATCAAATACTTACTAGTTACTAGGCCTAGATACATGGCGGATGGACTGTTCTGCCCTGAACGGTCGTCCCATCCGTCCTTCGACGCCGCAATGTTGTTGGACTGGGGGAACATGGAGGTGTTGCGATGGGTTGGTTCGCTTGCGCACCCTGGATGTCTGGATCAGCGACGAACTTCCAGCCCACAAGTCCACACACGGACCGAACTAGCTCACGAAAGGCCCCACATGCCCCACGCAGCTTGGATCTCAAGCAGTCGCTAACAATGTGGCATCCTTACGAGGGCACGTCGTAAAAAAAAATACCAAGCACAACCACAACAAAGAAGTGCGCTGAGATGGCAAGAAAACCAAGCGCAGACGCCAAGCGCAAAAGCCAATTCAGCCACGCATGCCATTCCAGCTTGGCTGAGTGTTTGCCCGTGCCGAGATCAGAGAAAGCGCAAACCGAGTTCGGACCTGGCAGCCTGCAAAATTGACCCCAGATGACGTCGCCCCAGACATTCTGCTATTTCTAGAAGTTGAGTGCCAAACAAAACACATCCACCTTTCCGTGCAAGGAATCAGGATGAGCATGTTGCTTTGCGGCACACGAGTCCAGAGGCCTCTTCTGCTGTAGGTGCTTTGGCACCCGGCGCGTCTTTGCGCAAGGAGTCACCTGCGTTTCAAGCCATCTCAAGACTCAAGCCAGTTCCATGACCATCATTCATCATGTCCAGGACATTCTTCCCGGCTTCCTGACTGCCCTAGCATCGCTTTATCAACTCTCAATCCCTGGCTTGCTTAACGTTTGCGATGGTGCATGGCATGACATTCGTGCCGGCCCCGGCAAACAGAAGAATCTCAAAGAAGAGGCCGAATTCAATGTTCAGAGTCACTCTTCGAGCGACGCCGTGTTCCCATGATCTGCCATGCTGCAGCAAGATTCTAGAATCTACAAAGCTTTCTTGATACCACGGCAACAAGTTGTGCTTCCTGCAGCCTCAGCAGTCCCGACTAAGACTTGAGATGCGGCTTCAGAAACCGCGCCAACCTCAGAAATCACACTTGCAGAGCAGGCATTCGACTTGCAAGCGCAACTGGCAACATCTAGCAGTGGTTCCTCGCAGCAGGCCCTACACACAACCATACATCTTGCCAACCTTGTTTGACCTTCCTCCAATTAGTCTGGACGTGGAGTGGCTGCGCGGAAGACACAAACCGCAAGCAAGAGGCTGGCACATGTCAAACTGCTCCTCAGGACACACCTTCTTGAGCTGGTGATCTGGTGTGATGATCCTCCCTTTGCTCAAGCCCTCAGTTGGTGTCGGTTGCAAGCTACTGCAAGCGAATGCCCGAACACACCACAACACATGAAGGTACTAGTCCAGCGGCCCTCTGCTTGATGTACCGCCACACCAGCTTGGAGGCATCCGTGTAGCTGACATCAGATCGGCCGATCAGTTTCTGAAGCTGCCTTAGCTTGAAGCCGAGAAATGTCGGCAAACTAGTAGGAAGTATGCGCACCGGGCAACCTGCGCATATGTGTGCATGCCTCATGCCTATGCAGACCGCTGAACCTCTTTTGTCAGGTTGCGGTGAGGCCTTCTTTTGGGCGAAGAGGCCTTTGCCCAGCCGCTTCATCTCCAGGGCCTCTACCGAGCTACCCCAGCTACCCGGCGTTTGTCCATGCCCAACCCGGAGGCAGCAAAATGTCCGTCCTTGACGCGGCCAGCGGCCTTTCTTGCCGGCGTCCGCTTCTTCGTGTGAGCCTGCAACAAGTGCTACAAGCATGCTACGCCGTTACTACGCCATCACCTGTGTTAGTTGAAACACGTAGCCAAGTGCAGCGCAACTGAAGCATCTTTGGCTTCGCCCTCAGCTTCTTGAAGCGGCCTTGCACCATAACATTGAGACTTGAGCAACATGCTGGATATGCTGGATCATGCCGCGCCGTGGCAGCCACAGTTCTGATGCAAAGTTACAAGAATGAGCTGAGAAGAAGTTCAGCAACGACTTTTTGCAGCAGCGCGCAGGCTTCTCCGAACCAGCGGCTGAGCTTCATTGCACCATGCGTTCATGAAGCAGCCTGCCTTTAACATGACAGGCAGTAAAGTTAATTAAGTCATTATTGTTTCCTGCGAAACGCAACCGCAGCAGCAGCACCATGGCAGCATGCCTTGTTGCTTGCACTGCTGAACTGGTCGCGTGCAAGACTCGTGCTCCATGGGAAACTTCCGGAGCTCGAAAAGAAATCAGGTCTTCGGTCAGAAAGATGAGTGGAGCAGGCAAACATCGCATGAACTCATCTATCGAAGTATGCCCGTCTCCTCATCAGAATCAACTGAATCTTCAGCCACAGCCCTCTTCTCGAACCAATGGCAATAGAAGCCTTGCTGGTCGTAGCCACACCTTGTTCCGCATCCCGCTACCCCAAGAATCCCCAAGCGACTTCTGAATAGGACCATGTATGAAACATGCACAAGAACGGGGTCAAGCAGCTGCTTGTCCATGTCTTTTTTCATGTCTTCCACCGTCTTTCCGCCAGCTCTGCCGAGGTAGAGCCTTTTGAAGCCCACGCAGCACAGCCAGTATTCCAAACAGCCCCGCAGTGCCGCTTGCAGAGGACCGCAGTAAGTCCTTGGCCATGGGAAGCCCTTTAGAGTCAACATTACCTCTCCTGCAGATATACTGTCAGTTGCAACCACTTCATTACAACCAACGCCGAATGTGGCCTACAGCAGAACAGCCTGCGAAAAAATTAAACTGCGGCGCCCCTCATCGTAAACAGGGATTGCCACAGTACGGATGTTCGTCTCGCAATCCACGACCTTGTGCTATAAGGACTCAGGAATACATAAGGACTCCCACATCATGTCATCCTTTAGTAAGCGAATCTGAGGCTGAAGCCTGGACTCCTTTCCAGAACATCACGAAATCTTCCCACTGCATCCAAAAGGATCCATCGTCCTTCTGCTCCTCATGTCCTACGAGCTGTCTCTTCACACCTGGACTGCCGGCACAATGTCAAGAAGTGGAATCAGCTTACGATACGAAGAGCTGTGCTGCACGCGCACTGCTTGGGATTCAGCACTGATCAGCAGGGTTCTCAGGGTTTTGGACAAGTGTCTTGGATACTTTTGCCACAACGGCGAGCGGTCTGACCACGCCTAAGTCAACTGCGGCTCCCGTGCTGTCAGCGTGTTGTCAGTCTCGTGATTCTCTTCGCGCCGAGTCTGCCACTCCCTGCCACTCTCCCTGGCCATGTGGGTTCCGGATTTGCACCATGCGGAAGTAGGCGCCGGACCTCAGTTCGCAAACTGCCACTGCATGTACACTGCAGGAACATGCAGGAACAAAGTGTCAGCTCCACAGACGATCTGCAGCGACGGTTCACCCATGTTAAAACCTGTTCTCACCTCCAAACATCCTCACCCGGACTTCGGGCACAGCTGTCTTCTCTCTTCACACTTTTGTTGTTTAGCTCGACAGGCTGGGCCATTCTTGCTGCTGTGCAATGCTGTGCATATTTCGCATGTTGGGGCTGCGCGCGCAGGCCTCTCGCCTAAAATAAATGCTGCATCGCCCAACGAACACTCTTGGAGTGGATCACAAACTGCCAATAACTAGCATACCTCTGCCTGGCTATTTCAACTTGCGCATGCTATCCGTATCCTGGTATGAAGGCAATGCACTAGGAGAGAGCACACGGAACTCTGTGGCGCAGCATCACCGCGCACACACACACACACACACATCTCCTGTCCATTGAGTCCGCCGCAGGTCGGGCTGAACAGTCGCCAACTTCAGGACCGAATACCTCAAAAAGATGGTGAAGGCTAGGAGTGGGCACCATAGATCGTGTACGCAGAATTGCGAAGACCACCCCCAAGAGCAGAAGAAAAGACTGTAAAGGCACTGAAAAGTTAAAGACTGTGACTAAACTCCACCTAAGCTTCGCATGGGAATCGATCAAGCCTTGGTGGTTTGGGTGCCCAATGCCAGCACAGCAAAGGAAGGCACCATTGCGCTTGAGGCGGAGGAGAAACCTCTGCACATGGACATCAAAGCCGTCTCTGAAGCAGCGTGCACACAACACAAAAACCAAGAAAAACACAAGACTGGCCTGAAGAATTCATCATCTGCAAATTCGTCATCATCCTTGCTCAGGGTCCCGTCGTCATTCGGATTCCAAGCACCCCAAGTGCTGGTGCGATGGTCCCTCATGAAGTGGACGGCTGGGTTGCCAGTGATTGCGGAAAGAGCCCACGACATTTGGCCACCTGCAGGGAGGGCTTCTTGCACATGCATCAAGAAGAACAGTTGCGAGGGTGCAGGCACCTTCCAGTTTGTCGTAGCCTCCATACATCTTTGCGAATGCCTTCTCCATAAGAAGCGCCCACATCTCATTGCTGTTTGCTTGTGCGAACCGTGGCTTCAGAGTGCCGTAATAGCAGGGGATCAATTCGTCAATCGTGATGGTAACCCACTGCGTGCCCTTTATCGATTTCACCTTGGGCTGTTGCAATCCACTCAGGCCCGCGCATCCAGGCCCTCGATTCTCTACGTGCCGGCTTGAACACATGAGGTGAAGCTGAGCTGTTGAGACGTCTGTGTGAAGTAAGTCCCGCACTTGGTCCCTTAGACACTGTAGCTTGCCAAGCTTATGTTGTTCAATGCGTGATATCACGAACATGCGCAGGCAGTCTTGGGATGCAGTCTTGCTTCCAAAGCCTGATCTTGTACTTCCCACGAGGATCATAGGATTGCGTAAGGAAGGCTTGCTGCAGAATTTCTGCTCTTTCAGCCACGCAAGCCTGCAGCGCGAAGCGGCGTCACATCTGGGTGTGCTCCTACTCAAATTAAACCGGGCAGCAAGCGCCGCAATCCTCAGTCGAGGATCTGCAAAAGCATGCTTGCCACTCAACACTGCTTCCATCTGCTTCCGCTCCCCTGTCTGAATAAGACCAAGTTGCAGCCAGCAGTCCCCTAAGGCCCCCTGCAGGGACAGGGAATACAAGGTGTCTCTCTGTCTTTCTCGGGGAATCGGAACACTATCGGAAAGGACCCCGTCTACAAACATTGGTGCCTGCAAGAGGTCTTCAGCATCGATACCGCCTTCAAACAGCTCGGCACCACGAGCGTCGTGATTGTCCTGCCGCTGCAAACCAGAAACTTAATACATGTGTATGTATATATATATATACATCAACATTTGAACAAACTAGCTTCAGCCAGCTAGCAACGCATTCCGGCAGAACCTTCACATCTTCAGGGTAGCTGCCTGATCTCGAGACTCGAGACCTCATGACCTCTGAGTCTTTCGACCCGGAGCTACGGGGAGGATCTTTGTCTTGCTCCAAGCAAGTCGTGGTGCGTAAGCGAGTTGCCTGTTTTGCAAGTGTAGCTGACAAAGTGGAAGTTCAACAGAGATGACGGCCAGGCCCTGGCAAAAGCCGGATACTTTATGTAAATGCTGATGTGCCGCTTAAGAGGAACCCTGATAGGCCACTATCACGCATGCGAAGCACCATATTTGCACTCCGGTTCTGACAATATCCAGTGCAGTCCTTGCCGGCGATCTCAGAAGCTTTGCGCCAATCAGTTTCGCCCCCCTTGTGGAGGACACCAGCCGCCTGGAAAGAACTCTGTCTGGCTGCAGAAGATCAAACCATGCTAAACGCCTGAACTGCCAGACAGAGCCAAACGGAGCCAAGTCGCGGTGTCCCCCTGGAGCTTTCCGAGACTCGTGTCGTTGGGCGGAAATTCTTTGTCCTGGCAGAGCAAGCGTGCAGAAGGGACCGATCTCAGAATCCGTCAAAGTGGCCCTCTCCTCGTATTCATCCCAGAAGCAGCCCCTCGTACAGGAAGGCATGCACAGGAAGGAGACGTAGCTGTGGCAGCAGGCGCAACAGTATATGCGGATCGCATTGTAGATCCTTAGGTGCTGCAGGGTACATCGATGTGAGGAGCTGATCATGATGTGACTCACATGCTAAACGACCCAACAAAGTATATACGTGATAAGAGTCATGACGAACGGACAGCAGAAGATGCGGTAGAAATAGCAGCCTCTCCCATCACACACCTGCTGGCATGAACCACAGAATGGCGAAGCTGTGCCGAGGCAAGCAATCCATATTGCATCTACCGCTTGCCGATGGTACACTTCCAAGGGTCGCTTTCAAAACAACAGCCGGCACAACACATGTGAAACGCAACGTAAACTTATGAGTAGGGTTGAGTAGGCATGGCCGAGGTGCCTCCGGCCAGCATAGCACATACGACTGCAACCATTTGGCTCCGGAGAAGAATGCACAAACAGAAACGAGACCATACAGTGCCGCCAACGCTGCGAAGGCCTCAATTCAATCTGAACAAATTGGCACAGAATGACTTGGCATGGCTTTCGCCCTCTTGGCTTCAGGCTGAACCGAATCGAAGTAGAATCATGAAGTTCGACATACCGATGCCAAAGAAGGAGGAGCTCTTCACGTCGGTGATGTCAAGACCGGAGACGGAGATGTGAGGCGTGAAAGGCCACGTCGAGTGCTTTGCTGCATCCTGCTGAAAACTCAGGGTGCGGTCTGGAGTCAAAATGAGTCGAATTTATGGACTTCTTACGGAAGAAACTCTGCATTTGTCATCTTGGGGCTTCCGAGGTGTTCCGATGTCCTGAAGTCCCTTTGCTAGGCTGTCTTGGGCAGCAGCTTTGTCTGGTACACTCCCCGTGCCGCTCACAAGGAACTCAACTCCAGTCGGCACTGGATACCAAGTCGAGGATTTAGGACTGAAGCCTCACATGTGGAAGTCTCACTTTGCATCAGCTGAAAGAAGATGCAAACATCTGGAATGCGCCTGATAGGTCAGTACTCGATGTAAAAGCAGATCTCATCCATTCACCCCATTGTGGCCACTTCTGCTGATTCAAGCCTGCATTGCAAGTGTAGAGCAAGGGTGCCCACCACATCTTCTTGCGGCAGCCTAAAACAAACAGACAGACAGACAGACGGACACACACACACACACACACAGAGACAGAGTCAGCAATCTTCCTTCTGATGCTCTTTCACTTCCTTTCCACTGGTAAGGACAGGACATGTATTTAGCCACGAAGTGTCACAAACAGGCAGAGGACGAACCAACACACAGCGGAGAGGGTCACTATCCACTATCCCAGATGCTTCGACTGATTTGCAATAGACTCGGTACGCTGGATTGACAAATCTGCTCCAGTACGAGTATCCCCGAGTCGTCGCAAAAACACCGCGAAGCACTCGAAAAAACGATCCCTTCTTCCCACACACCTAAGCTGGATAGCGACGGGACACTGTCGATATCGACAAGAGTAGGCATGCGAAACTTCTCGCGAAAAAAGGCAAAAGTGAAACAGCTGGGGTTCTGTATTACTGTATTCGTCGAAGGGACAACCGTGGCCGTCACAAATGATGCAAAACAGAAAGGGAGTGAGACCAACCAACACTCCATCGGCTAGGAAATCCGCAGCTGAGCACCCCTCGCGCAGCTCGTAGCGCAACGCAGAGACCCAAGAAGAAGACATGTTGCAAATTGGTTGCCAGAGTCCGGTGGTATGCCAGATCCTCTGTCCCAGAGCTCCCATTTCCCAAGCAAAACCCGAAACTATATACCAAGGAACTTGCAATACGTCCACTGCAACTTAAACATGATGCGCCAAACACCCCCCGTTTTGGGAGAGCCAGCGTACATCAAAAGATGAATCGGCAAATCCGGTCCCGGATCGCTTCTGGCCGAAACACAAAAGCGGTGAGCACAGTATCCCGAGATCCCAGCCTCTTCCTGGTCCTTGCAAAAGACCCTGTCGGATGTTTTTTGGCATGGCAGCGGCCAGGAAGGCCAGGAGCGGCCAACCGAACATGCAAGGATCATGCAGGAGTATGGGTATTGGCCCCTCTCCATACCCTTCCTGATTCCTGTTCTGTATGAAAAGTTGCGCGTCGTCCCATATTTGTGCACGACAAAGCACGCACGCGTGCGCGAACACACACACACACACACACACATACATTACTGTACACCTCTACACATACAGACACACATCCACAGACGCCAGCGGTTCTGCCGCACCTTGCACTGTGAAGGCGAGCATTACCAGCTTTGAGCTCCGATCCTGAGGTAGAGCACACCTGTACAAGTCCTGTCGGCTCCAATTTGGGGTGGGGAAAGGCGGGGTGCTGCAGACGTTCAGGCGTACATCACAAGATCTCCTCGCGCAAGGCCACCTTCAAGGCATCGTCTTGGAGAGACCCAACTGCCGTGGAGACGTGGCTGCGGCACGGCCAATTGTTGGCCTCACGAGCCAGCTATTTTTTTTTGACAGTCGCAGGCTCGGCTTAACCTGTCGCCTGACCTCCCCGTGGTTGCCCTTACTCATGCGGAAAGCCACCCCGCACAGGTTCGGCGCGTTCAGCGAGATCGACCCATCAAGAGAGATGACTTCAGCATCAGACGAAGAGAATCCGCATGCTTGCATCACCTGCAATGGTGCACACATGTGCACACGCACAGTCATTGAAAAAGGAGAGAAGGAGAGGCAGAGGGCGAGGCCGGCATCACACATTTACACTGCCTTGCGCACCGCACTTCAGAGCTGCGAGCCTGCGCTGGCCATTGTGGAGACGCCAGGACTGGCAAAAGAAGTGATAAGGACAGGATCCGTCTCCATGCCATGGCGCTGTGCGAAACCCCTGTGCTCTCTAGGAAAGATTCATACCTAGCTCCACACGTTCAGAGGCTGTGCTGCAAACACGAATCGCAAAGGGGCCGTTTTGTGGTGTATGGGTGGGTCTGCGCGCATTCCTTGAGATAAGACTCCGGAGACTTCGATGTTACACTCCGTTACGCATGGTCTCTCGTGGTCTCAGCAGCTGATCAAAAGCTGCAAGCAATCAAAAGCAGTTTGCTGCGGCGCGTGTTGGCCGCAAGGATCTCATTCACTCGGCAGCTGGCTGAGCTTCTCCGGCTTCTGCTTGCGCAGTCTTTTTCTGGACCAAGTTGGCCAGAACTCCCCCTGGATGACGCCTCTGCTCATCCGTCAAGATATCACAGCAACGAAAGCCACGATTCTTGGAAGATCTTGAAAGCTCACTCTATATCCCGGAGCTAAGCGTCTGGCGCAAACTCATTGCGAAGACCTTGCAGGGCCTCCAGCACCTCCTGAGGAGCCACATGGTGCAAACGCCTACTGCGCTCCCCACCGTGCATTGTACCTCGTAGGTCATCGTGTTCTTTGCTCGAGCCTCTCAGGCGATGAGAGGTACTCATTCATTCGAACGAGCTGATCACAACGAAGCCTTCAACGCAAGTAGCTTCTCCCGAAGCTTCGCGACATCGCTCTCATGTCGTGCCTCAATCGGCTGCTTCGCCCCACCACCCTACCTCCCTCCATCATTTGGCAAGGCCACTGTGACAGATCTCAGGAAGCCGTCACCTTTGTCGGTGCAGTTCAGCATCACCTCCGACTCTGGCATTAGTGTGCTGGGCCACTAGAGTCACTGGACGGCAGCCGCCATGAGCCAAGGCCCCCTTTTCCGCGTGCAAGCAGATCCGATACAGTGCACATCCGCCTTTTGCGGATGGTGGCAGCTGCAGCCATCAGCCATCAGACCGTGCAAAGACGGCTAAAGCGAAAGAACATCGCTTACACCCCCCTCAGCTTTCCCTGCTTCAGGTCCTGCAGCTTGTGGCTCCTGAGGGCTCAAAAATCAAGAATTCGGCTGCGTCTGAATATTGGCAGACAGATGCAAACAGTGAACACTGTCTCGACAGAAAATGGTCCAAGACTCAGTGCAGTAATCTTCTCGTTCTTGTCGTTGTGCACCTTATGGAACTCCTGTTGAAGCCGACTTACTTCCTGCTGCGCCTTCTCCTCCTTCTGGACATTCATCTGGTCAGGGGTTTCATACGCGAAGGTGTCTCTCTTGGATTGACAAATCACACGGCGGAACAGATACTGATGACTTGGAGCCGGGTTACTTCGTACATCTTGTTGTCATAATCCAGCTGCTCCCTCAGTTGTCTGTGTGTTGTTGTTGGTTCACCCGTCTTGTGAAGGCGCCAGTCTGAGAGCGAGCATTGGAGGAATCAAATCAAACTCTTGAGCTTTCACGATGCCGCGTCCGACCATGATCGACGACCAGCGCATAATGATGCATTAATATCATCACGTAACCAGCGGTCCAAAGTTGTTCAGATAGACTTTCTGCAGACAAGCTATGAGTTGCAGTTTTGAAGTTGCCGGCGAACCGAGAAATTCGAACATATCTACAACGCTGCCAGATGACAAGGCTGTCCTTCGTGGAGAGGTTCGCATGATTTGTGGTTTCTAGAAAACTGGATGCCAAAGCCAAAAGCCCCTGAGCTCGCAACGACCTTTCGATCCTAGAACCGTTCGTACCCACATGCAATGGAGAGTCTGGGCTTCCTTCTTTTCCATCGTGTGAAGGCGAAGGGAAGCCTCTCAAATCAGAGCAAGGCACCGTTCCAAGCTTTGTGGCTAGCGACCTGGCAGCGATCTTCTGCCTTGCCTCTTCCACTTTTGCTTGCTCCCTTCTGAGCTCTGCGTCAATCTCCTTGGCCTTGCGCGTCCTCCATGGATCCATGGCCAATCTATTTCATAATTTTAAAGGCTTGGGGAGGCCAAAAAGCTCAGTCGAGGCTCTGCTGCATCCTGTTCTCTTTCATGTCTTTCATTGCCCGCTGCCTGAGCGAGCTTAACACTTTCTGCGCTTTAAATTACAACAGCTACCGAGGAGCTCGGGCCCCTGCATGTTGGCCTGCTTTGTCTCATCTTCTTTGAGTCGCTCGGCAACATCCACTTTCATGTGGTCTAGCTCCTTCCTCGTGCATGGAGGGTCATAGCCGGGCTCTCGACTCCCGGGCGAACCGAAATCCGACTTTGAAAGGCAAATGCGACGACGATAACGACGCTGGAATGCGTGTCGTTGAACGAACCATCTCACATCAGGCAGGATGCAAACTGCCCTGCTCTTCACGCCTAAGCCAGTGACTCATCACACAGCGACGTATGACCTGCACTCTGCCTGCACTTCAAGCTGCCAGGTTGCTGTAGGTTGGATGCATTCTGCCGGGATTCAGCTTGCAAAGCAGCCATGTCTCTGGAGATGTCTTGCTCTTGCACCTGTACAGGCTCAACGGCTGTAACGATTCATTCGAAACTTTTCCACTGCTTTTCACAAGGTAGCCTTTGTCAAGGTTCGAGCCTGGTTTTGAATCTGCTGTTGGTGCAATCTCTCCTTTACCTCATCCAGCTTCAGCTGATAAGGCTTCAATGCCTTCTCAGCGTCTTTCACCCTGGCGAGCCGGCTTTCTGCCATGAATCGAGATGGCATGTTGTGTTTACAAGCACGTCTCACAGTCCTCTCTCTCTCATCGGCAACCACATGATGTTGGACATGGGCTTGAACGTTTTGCATGGCCGTGCGCTGCTCCTTGGCCCCAAGCTCAAAGCTCCAGAGGCATGTCGCGGAGATGGACATTGGTCTGCACATGGCATGTCAATGGAGGCTGCAGGCTGTCCTCCTTTGCCCGCTCCCTTTCGCTTTGGACCTGGCAATTCGCCCGGATCACTTCTGATTCTGTGCCCTCTTGTGGAATCGAAAATTTAGTTCCAGAGCCTTGTGGAGTTTCGCCTCGGCAGCCTCGTGGGTTGCCTTGATAGATTCCTGTTCCTGTCTGAGAGCCTCATTCTCCACCTTCGCTTCCTCCTACGATGCAGAAACAGTGAACGGCAAACATGCAAGACTCGACTCGTCTGTCCGTCCTTGTTTTTGCGTCTGGCGTCTTTCAAGAGTCGCCTGGGTGCGAGATGAGACAAGAACTCTACATGCAAACGTATTTAAAGGACAGATGGCATTGCATCACTGGGTATGCACAAAAGCTTAGCTTCAGAACAACTCATGAGATTTGTTGGATTGTCTTCGGCCCGATTTTGTTGGCTGCAGTGTTTCTTGTTCACGGCCTGTCTCTTCTGGGAGAAGCAGTTGCAAACTAGAAGAACTCGTGCTTTGTAAGCCGCCGTGTCAGCAGCTGACGTCTTAGTGGATTGGTCAGTCACCTCTAGAATATCAAGCCTAGATGATGGGCCGAAGGCATTCAGCAGAAGTCTCAACCAGGTCGCTTCGTTTTCTCCAGCTCTTTCTCCGCGAGCGACATGTCCTCTTGGTTGATCTGTCGGAGCAGACCAAGCTGACCTGCAGAGTATTGCGTCTCGCTAACATCCTTAGTGACCTAGTCCTGTCCTTTGTTGCCACATGTGTTGCCACTGTCTTCCAAAATGGCCGTCTGCATGGGCCTTGTTTCGACTCCACCAGCCGAGATTCTGCCAGGTTCTTAGCCTCACAGAGATGCGCACACTGAATTCGCTGACACCAAGCCAAAACTGCCACCAGAACACCTCCTGATCTTCCCGCATGCGTCGGGCAGAGTCCCACTTCTCCTCCTGCACCTGTGCGGCTTCAGTCCTGAGTCGAATGCCACGATGCCATGGAAGGAAACCTAAGGAAAGCCTCCCTGAGCATTCTGGCACGGCGAAGTTTCGAAAACTGAAGTACTGTATCAGGGTTAGTCTGCGGGATATTGGAGAGATAAGTTTGGGAGGCTCTTCCTGCGGACTTCCCGAGCAGACAAAAGCTGCAACAATAATCATCGCCTTTCCGAATTCAGTACGCAAAGAGCGGCCGACTCGATTTGACCATGCCAAAAGAAACAGAAACGCCTGCAGATGCAATAGAAACCCAAGGACGCAGTGACAAGCCTGACAAAGAAGGAGAGATGAAAGTTTGAGACAATATTGATAGAATTGGATGATTGAACCCACATCAGTCCACCAGACACCTGAGTGGCAAAAAAGCGAATGGAAGCATGTTGAACCCCCCAATGTGGGCGCTGCACGCGTTGACCATGAATGAAAGCTCAAAACTCACCACGGCTGGCGGGCGATGTTTTCGGCGCCGGCGCTGTCTACAACAATCCTTTCTAAGATGGACGCTCCCGATGCATATTTTGCCCAGGCATCCCTGTAACATTCATGATACTGATGAGGTTTTTGCCATTTTCTGCATATACACGTCATGGGCGGAACTTGCACTGGCAAAGCCAACTCCTACTTCTGACGGCGGCGCAAGACTGAAAACAGTTCCTTGAGTGGGAAACAAGGTGTCCGGCCGGGATCAACCGGCAGGTGGCAAGTTGCAAGCCAACAAGGGATGTACGAAGTTACGCGGTGGGGAACTGCCAGTCCACGGGAACGGCGGTTGCAAAGGATGCGAGGAGGAAACATCCGGCGAGGTGCAGCATTGGAACAAGAGTGGTACGCGGATTCACTATTGATTTTGGGCTCGGAGAAAGGATCGGGCCCCATCAGCCGCTGTGGGGAGCCGTCTGAGGACGGCTTGGGCGTCATTACGATTCAGTTACAACAGTCGCGTAACTAGTTGTGTACCATTGTTTTTCTGATGATTGTTCACAGATTGAACGAGAAGCGAGCAGTATCGTCAGTCCGAGACTTGTCGATGCCAATGTGTGGTACTTTGGTGCGCACCGAGGCGAGGACGCCTCGCTGAAATTCTGCTTCTGGCTCCTCGGGTACTGCTTGACAGCTAGGTTCAAGGTCGTAGTGCCCAGATCGTCCAGCACAAGAAAAACGACCCGATGCAAGCGAGGCACGCCAACTCGACACCTGAGGTGCAAAGGTTCCCAATGGTTCCCAGACATGTAGACTCATCACAAGAATACTCCCAGAAGATGAATGTGCACTCAGTGTACTCTCACACCATGAGAAGCGATATCTGCTTTTCACTGACGAGGCAAGCTGGGAAATGCTGGGAAATGCTGGGAAAGCTGGGCAAGCTGCGTGCATCCTTGAGGTCGCGCTCGAGCTTGTTGCTCTTCATCACGGCGAGGCGTGCCCCGTTGTTGAACTCTTCTTCCCTGCGCCGAATGGCGATCAGCTGATCCTCGAGAGTTTAGTCTCTATACATATGTTCTTTCGAAGTGCAACGCTGGTCTGATAGATGTCTGCTAGACTCCAAGAAGTAGAAGTTCTCGCAGGTTCTACTTCGTGATCGTTTCGTGTTGAAAGAAATGTCCTCAGTGGTCTTCAGCACCTGCTTCTGTGCTTTGATTTCCTGATCATGCACTTCACTTCATCTGAGACCCCAAATGACATAACGAGGCCTGATTCAGCTTCTTGACCTCATCCTCCCCCTCGATCATCTTATTTTGAGCCTGCTGGGTCTTGGCCTGGCGTCTCGCTCATGAACCTCAATACGGGCCTTCGGCATCCTTCAGCATCCTTCAGCAAGGCCCGCAAGGCCTTGGCCCGAAAAGCCTTCTCCAGAACTCCACCGTGCACCCTTGCGAGGGCCTCCATCCTCGGATAGGCACCGGAAAAAGTCACAATGTATCGATATGTACAGCAATGCCTGCCTGGATTCTCGTCTGGCCATCAGGTCAGCGCGACGCATGTAGGACTCTTCCTGGCAGGATTCGCGTGCCAAGTCGTGCCAAGTTCAAGGTAGTTCGCCATTCGTCACTTCGTTCTTGTTGATGCGACTCCTGTCCTGTCGCGTGAGCTGCTCCATCTTCAGCTTAGCTGCTTCATACTGTTGCTGCTTCATCAGCAGCTGGCCCGTCATCTGCGCCTGAGAATGTGCACGGCCTGTCATCGCCTTTCAGCACCAGTGGTATGAGAATTCTCGTTTCGAACTGGGTTACTCTCAGCCAAGGTTCCACAGCTGCCTGGGCCTGGAGAGTAGCATCGGACCCTTCTCCAGCCTTCGGGCGGACAGACAGCATATGTGCAATGAGACCACATGTTGTGCACAGCCACATCTGTAGTTGTATGCTGTGATCAGAGGATGCTAACGGCCTTCGCCAGGCTGAGGCCAACCTCAACAGACAAACAGACAATGCCGAAACAAAACATGCAGGTTGACAGGAGGGATGTACACAGGCTCCCGAAACAGCGCAAAGGTCCCACGCATGCGGACAAACCCACCCCGGAAAGCGGCTTCACGAGGACCCGACTTCATTGATAGGTTGCGCAGACCCGCACGCGAGGCCCAGCAGCAAAAGGCACCACATCAGCGGCGTGTGGCAACAGCGCGCAGCGGCCACTGCCAACTACGGGTTTGAGCCACCCAGGCTTCGAGCAGGCCAGAAGCGTTCAAAAGTACGGATGTGACAAAAAAGGGGGCGAAGAGAGGAATGCTAGAAACGACCGTGGGTCACGGTCAGGACAGCGAAACAACTTGTGTCACATACATGTGTCTGCATCACACAACATGCAAGTATGTACGAATTTGAATTTGCATCACATCGTGTAAAACCTCACATGCCTCTGCAGCTTGGCAAAACTGCTGCCACATTGCACACAATCAGTCTCCCTGTATGTACGGCAACATGAGTGTTGAAAAGGGTTCGCAAACACAGGATTGGGGTTGTGCCAGCTCGGGATCGGCACCTTGGGTGAAAAATAACAGGGCACGAGCGCGCCCAATACATGAAGAAGAGGCATCTGCAGCCCATTGGCATGTCGCCTGCACCTCCCTGCCCTTGCTGCTTCTCCTGGACTTCGGATCAGCGACCATTTGCACCTCCTGCGCAGCTTGCGGCTCCTGCAAAGGTCAGCTCGGACACCAGCTTCCTCTGTATCCGCACATGTGTGCATGCAGAGGCTGGCCATCGCTCTACGACGACCCTTCCGGCCCCGCCTTGTCCCTCTCTGGTGCAAGCACAATCATTTGACTCGGCTTCTTTCGTGGTCTGCCGACTCTGCCCTGCGAAGCTGACAGGGGAGTTCACAGCTTGGCTTTTGAGCAGGAACGCTCTATTCAGGCGCTCACCCGCTCGCGGCTTTCCCGCGGGTCGAGCTGCTTGAAGTGGAGCCGCCATCGCAATCGCTTTGAATGCCGCGCGGCCTTACACGAAGACAAGAAGTGGCTAAGGTCCGCTCCAGGGTTGAGCAAAGCATAGCAAAGCCGTGCATAGCCATGCATAGCTTGTGTTGACAAGCAGCACGGCTCGGCTCACACGGCTCACACGGGTTTCCCTTCAGCGACCATTGAAACGCACGCAGTTGCGTGCCGTTGTGTGTCGTCACGTGCCGTTACATGTCGTTGTGGCCCTAAGGCCCTGGGAAAGGGGCCCGCGCTGCTGCAGTCTTTGACTTGGCCTTCGAAGCGCTGAGCAAGACAACCAAAAGCAAATCCAACCAGCTCCGTTTTCTGAGGGCCTTCGATTTCGGGACCATTTGCAAGCACCCCACAGGCCAACTTTGCAAGCTCGCTGCTTGAGCCACATGCTTGCGATTGGTTGTCAGGCTTCGGGCCCCATGACAATTTCTGACTGCTGCAGGTTGTGGGCAGGTCATGTATCGACAGTGAAGGGAAAGTGCCAGCACCAGCGCCAAGGGCAAGCAAGCTTCGGCTCACAGGCACTAGCTAACAAACTGCAGGGCAGACATGCCTGACACCTCCACAATGCCACGAAAAGCAGGGAAGCGCGTTCCCATGTCCTGCAGGATTTGGGACGAGAGCCTGATGGACAGCTGACCCATCCGTGCCGATGCAGCTGAATGAAGCTAAAGCGACATATTTTTTAGTGTCGGCTTGTGCGGGCAGCCTTGGACTCAGCTTCTGACACCAATGACCAAGCTGCAAAGGAGCGACAGATACTGCATGCTTATCTGCCCCAACTGCAGCTGGATGCAGCTGAACAAAACGAATTGCTGGCAGCAGCCAATCTGTACACGCTTGCTGCAAAGGTTGAGTTGAGACGGAAGTCCCTGTGTGCCGGGTGGGCTCCGGTGCCTCCTATCTTTTGTGCCCTCGCTGCCGGCGCATGCAGCCGATAGGCCTTGATCCAGTGGGGGCTTGGTGGGCACAGGAGAAGAGACAAACAACTTGAATCAACTGGCTGTGTAGGCGGTGGTTCGTGCGAAAGTGGCACACCCCACCTCCACCAAACGTTGGCACGTCTCGAGCTGCCTTCATGATCCGCGCACTTGCAGCGGGCTCTACACACAATAGGGGGTTCCGAGCAGCAAGCCAGCAAGGCCAACACCAAACGAAACTCAGTGGCAGCTGCAGGAGGTTTTTTAACAAAGTGTATGACCTGTATGACTCTTACTGGACTGATACTGTACTGGGTGCCATGGTCATTCGATGTAACGAACACTGCTCAAGGGCTCTTCGTCTTCAGAAACGGACTGCCGCAACACCAGGCAGGACAGCACGGCAGGCTTTACTTGTTCCCCAAACCCCAAACAGAGATCGCTGTAGGGATTCATGATTCTTGTTCACATACAGTAACCGGATACCTTGCGAAGAGGGTCGTAAACGGGGTGGTATCGGAGCTTTGTCTGGTGGGAAGGCGCGAGTGGTGAATGCAAAAGACCGAGTGCGTTTCGACATTTTCTATTCTATTCCGTTTGCCATCACGACCTATCATGCGACCATGTTTGGCATCGAATATGCGCATTGTACATTGAAGCGTTTGGCTGCTTTCTGCTTGTGGATCACATGCAGGGGTACTGTGTTCTACTCGTGCTCAACGAAATTCTCGGCTTCCCTCGTGTCGGTTCCGCATGCTTCTCTTCATGTTGATTCTCTTCATGTTGAAGACACATACAACACCTATACACCTTTACGACAGCTTTACTAAACTGCTTCAACTCTTTGGGGCCTTCGTTGGTGTGGCAGAGCTACTGCCAAAACATATCAGCTCTCCCTACTCTGCTTTCACGGTCGCCTTCCGGCTGAGGAAGGGCATCCAGCTCCTCTTCTTGCCACAAGTGCACAGGTGCTGAAAGTTCCACAAAAAGGGCAACCTCCGTGAATCCCTATTCCATACAACACTCAGCTCGCCTTCAGAACGAAGTCCAGTGCAGCATGCGGACAGCGACCAACTGAGGGGAGAAGGCCCTACCAGAAGCAGAAGCATTCAGAAGTATTCAGAAGCAGCAGCAGAACTAGCAGAAATCCCTCACGCCCCTTACGTCCCTCATGTCCCTCACGTGATCCCGCTCAGCTCCGTGCCTTGGCCAGAGCTTGTCGCGCAGCTGCCGGCAATGTTGGAAACACGCCAGACCACTCGTGGAACAAATACCTTTAAGGGCTTATCGCCAAAGCCATCAAAAATGCCATGCGAAAAAGCCGAAAAGACGTCAGTGCCAGAGGTGCAGGCTCGATCTGCTCTCCGCGTTGCATCAGCTTATCAATTACGTGCTCGCACTGCGCGAACCTTGCACCATGTGAGCCAGAAAGATGGCCACAGGTAGCTCCTAGCTACAGGCTCAACTCTGATTCCTGTGTGTGGCACGTAAGGCCCTCGTGGACCAACAGCTCCTTCACATCAGCACATCAGCATCGACGCTGTCGATTCAACAGCTGCAGAGTTGATTTGCCAATTGCCTGTCTTTGCCCATACTTGCGAGCTGGTCTCAGCTTTCCCGGTGCCTTGAAGACTGCATCGATTACCTCAGCGGGCAGCTCCGGGTCCATGCTGTACACCTGAGACAGGCGCAGGTGAATGCAGGTGAATGCAGGTGAATGCAGGTGAATGCAGGTGCTTTCTGCTGGAACATCGAAACCGACACAGGTGCATCGAGCGGTTTCGATCTCGATCTCTCGCCTCTTCGAACATGGCCGTGACCATTGCGCCAAAGATTTCAGGCCTCGAGTTGCTTGAGAGTCTGAGAGCTGGCGGAAAAAGGAATGCAAAAAAATGGTCACTGCCATGGTGGAACGAGGCCTTGCACGTATGTATCGGCAAACCAAGTAAAGAAAATCGCGGCTGCCTCGGCTCAGGCTGCTTACGGCTTACGGCTGTTTTCTTCGATTTCGGATCACTTGCACATGTTTGCAGAGTTCCGTTTTTTCTTCAGTCACTTCAGTCAGGGCGCCCCAGAAGAAGCCGGTGTGAGGAGTTGCCCGTATGCTGCCGTGGGCACCCTGTGCCTCAAAACGCAGTTCACACTTCAGGAAAAGAATACGATAGAATCCGAACCTCAAGATCCAAGCGCGCTGCAAATGCAAGCAGCCTTGGGTGTCACGATTGTTATCACAGTTGGTGGTTTCCGATGTGACCACGTGAATCCACGTGATCTCTGCTGATGAAACTTGCGTATCTCGATCTGATGCGACGGGTTACATAGCGGCATTCTCTTTGGCGAGACGTGGCCAGGCCTGTCCCGAGGGCAAACAAAAGCAAACAAAGGCCTTCACATCCTTCGCAAAATCTCGTCGCTAAGCAAGCCTTTCATAGCGATACTGTATGCATTCCATGCCTCCCGCCGGTCGATCACTTTCTGGACCACGCGCCAAACCTTCGAGGTTTGCGCTTCCAACGCCCATGCTACGCATTAGAAGGCTTGTGGACTTTGGGAGGTTTGTCAACAAGAGCCAACAAGAGTTGAAGTTATGGCCCTGGCTCAAAAATGCTCAAAAGCTGGATATGGCTCAAAACCCCGGTTTGTCAAGGGAGGGCCCCCACCTTGTTACAAGGCCTTGTCGCGCGAGCTTTGTTTCAAGCCCTTGTCGCGCGGCAAGAAGGGAGCCACGCTCCCCCAATCAGGAATATTATGTAGCCTTGTCGGGCAAGCCTTGTCCGCAAGCCTTCTCGCCAAGACCAACTTTATTTTGTTATACTGTAAGCCTTGTCGCGCCGTGCCCGCCCGGGGCCTGTTACAAGCCCTAACGTTTCGAGCCGCTGCCAGCTCGTCAAAAAGCCTTCTCGTTCATCTCGCTGGGCCCCTGGCCTTGCCGTCTGCTGTGTGGAGCGCACTGGAGATCATTCCCCGCACCTAGGTCATGACACACAGAATGCCGCGCAGGAAATTGCAGCAACTTGCACTATGCTTCCAACTTGATCTGTGTGAGGCAGGCCAGCAGGTTCGGGCAGCATCGGCCTGAATTGATCAGGCTGGCAGCCGGTTGAAATGGCGCCTGACCCTCAGCTTCCCCCTGTTTTTGCCGCCTTGCTGAGGCTGCAAGTTCTTGGATGCTTGGAGGCAGCCTGGTACCAAAAGCAGGCGAATATTGAGGCCTCCAACCCCTGCAAGGTTCCATGGAAGATCTCCCTACCCAGCAGCATTAGCAAACTCCTTTTTATTCGACCTTCTCATCTCCTTGTGCCACCGGAACAGGTATCTGCGGTGTCGTGCGCTTGGCCCTCCAATTGGAGGCCTTTTGGCCAGCAGCTAAACGAAAGTTGCATTGCAGTTTTCCTTTGCAGGTCAAAGCACTGTTGCCATGTCAAGGACATGAAAGACAATGATTCTGATAGAATGATAAGTCTGCATGATGCAGCTTCGCTGTGTCACTTACTGGAAGCGCTGAAAGAGTCCATTGTAGAAGTCCTTGGTTGCTGTGGCAGTCGTGCTACGCACACGGCCCCCCCATCCTTTCCCACAAAGTGGCTTATGCGCTGTGCCACGTTCGGTCAAGGCAGCACGTGTTACAAAACTTCGGGGGCATCGCTGTGTGGAACTGTACGAGACGTCTACATGAATGCATGTTACGAGAATCGCGACGGATCCCGCTTCGTGGCTTGCATTCTCAACATGCCGAGATTGCCAAGTCTCTAGAGACTTGTATTTGTGCCTTTTTCACGATTCTTATTACACCACTTCAACTACCCAAAGCCCCAACAAGTGGCGAACGGATCGCAACCCCGATTTGTAGGATCCTCGTGCCAGTTGCCAGTGTCGAAACGCAACGATGCAAGCAACAATCTGACCTGATGCAACCTTTCTTGGCCATGTTCCAGGTTCATATTGCTTGAAGCAGGGCGACGAAAGCTACAAGAAAATGTATATGTCACGTTTGCCTTAGCCTCTTCCCTCATTGAAACGCAACCATACCGAAGTCATGCCTTTGCCCTTTCCTGCATATTCGGACACGGAGAAGTCTAGTCTTCTCTCTCTGAATCTCCTCAACGCCAGACTTCCTGACCACTGACTAGGGACCGTTTGGGGGGGTCACTGGGGGGTCTATGCATGAGCCGGCGTATGATTCTCTAAGCTCTGAAGGCTAACAGCACGCGATCTCAATTTTGGGTTGCCTTGCTGCTGGGCAAGCCCCAACTGAGGGGGGTCTCGCAGCGTGAACATTACGGCATTGGGCTGCTGCAAACACGCCTGGCTAAAAACCTTTGCGCCTTTTCTGGCGGAGTGTTTCCCGCCTGTTGTTTTTTGTCTTCGCTCCCTTTTTTCTCCACATTGTCGCTGTAACTGTCTGCACTTTCGACACGCATTCTGTTCAAAAGCTGAGTAGCAACCCAATCATACGAGCATACTGTTGCCCCCCCCCCCTCTTTCGAGTCATAGATGGGAGCAGCCCCATTCCACGAGGCAGCAAAAGGGGGGCGAAGGGTGAGAGGGGTCAGAGAGGCGGTTCGCCGAGACTAGCGGCGACTCAAGTTACTCAGGACGTGGCACCACGAGACAGGGAGGATGAACATGATGAACATGAGAATGACCAAGCATCTTGTAGGACTTCTGCGGTGAGACATTGGAGGGCCAATGTTCGTGAGCTTCTTCGGCTTGCTTTCTCTGCTACATAGGGCCTCTCCCACACTTGACCCAAAATTTTTCCTCTCAGACTAATCGATCTTCACTGCCTTTCTTGGCCTAACAGCTCTCAAGAGCCTGGTCTCTCTTCAGTGCCGCGTAAATCACATGGCACATGGTTGAGGGAGCCAGGCCCCTTTCACTGCCGCATGTGGCTCCAAAAGCACATAGTACCACATGGTATCGCATAGCAAAGCGAGCCCAGCTCTTGCAGCATCGCACAAGCTTGTCACGAGCATGTCTTCCCTGAGCCGAGGGTCAATGCCCTTGATGTCGAGCGGATCAAAACCAAATTGCTCCGCGAGGAGTTGCTTCACCGCCCTCAGTTGGCCAAGTGGCAAGTACAAAGACGCTTGTGATCGATGTTTGACGATCCCACTGGCTGGCGAGATTCGGAAGTTGAAACGTACGCGGCGGCGGAATGGACAAGTAGTCGACCATCGTCAACTGTTTCGTCGAGTTGTCTCGAAAAGTGACGACCTGAAACCGTATGACAACTCTCCCAAAGCTATCGCAAGGATTTGTGCCACTATCGCCACAAGCTGAGCGCGAAGCAAGATCTATAGAAGACATCAGGCGGTCGCCCTCCGTTTCATCCACGAAGTATGGATAATGTGCTGAGCTTGACATGTTCTTCTTCAGAACATACATCGCGCAATTGTCGGGATTCCTAAGTTTTCAGGCCACTTGGAAGCACAGTGCGCAGACAGGTGCTCTCACAACGTGTTACAAAACGAAAAATGATTGCTCTGAATGTGAAGGTGCCAAACTGAATGGAAGGTATTGGGCGACCAATGATAGAGCTGCATCAAGATCAAGCGCATAGTCAATCCATGCGTGACAACTATAATCGAAGTCGTGCCGGTCTGTTCCAGCAGGTGTCCTGGGCAAAGCTGTCCACTACATGTGCCGCCACTGGGCCTATGCATGCAGAGTTGATTAATGTCTGCACCAAAGCTTCTACTCATCATTGAGTCCCACCAGTGTCTTGTGCGGTCATAGACATCAGCCCCACTCTCGCCGGTCGGGTACCGATACCTAGAGAATGAGGGCGAAGGACCGCAAAAGGAATGCCAAAGACTTAAGGACGCCACATCCATGCGGGGCTGCCGAGATTCTGCAACTGTGGGCATGGGGTACAAAAAGATCTTTTTGGGGTGCAGATCCCGAGGCTACCAAAAAAATGTGCTAAATTGCCACTCACTCACTGATTTACCGCACTGTCACTCTTACAATCCATTCGTTCAGATTTGTGATTTGTCACAATAGCGGAACGCCACAAAAGCAGAGGACACCAAGCTGCCAAAACCTTCTGATCTTGGTGCTTTCTTCTCTCAGGCCGACAAAGTTGTCACCTAGCATGCGCACCATCAACAGCAACATCCCGCAAGACTCGCAGGTGCGCTTGGAGTGCCTTGCAAGTTTCCAAATTCCTGCTCACGAATCCTGGGATCCACGGTGACATCCACAATCTGGTAAGGATCGAAAGCGGAGAAGATCATGTTTCTCGCCTTGGTCTTAGGTAATGAGTAACATGCTCCACTGGGCTTCTGCACTCGTGCAGGTTTAGGACGGAGACTTCGTGCAGGTTGTGCAGACACCAACAACCCGCAGTCCAACTCCGAGCCCATCACAGTTTGCAACGTTCGCTGGAAAGGAGAAACATAGAAATGGACCTTCTCGTCCTGGCGATGCCATTGGAGATATCAGCAAAAAAGGAATGCAAAACACCGAAACTTCAACTCTCAATGACAAGCATTGGCATTGGCTTACACCTGGCCGAGGTGCACGCACAACCTGCTTGACGCGTTTGCCCACAGCCACAGCTTGCTTGCTCCCCAACCTTGAATGCTAGCCCCACTTACGGCAACTGCAAGGGGGAAAGAAGCCTTCACTCAGCTGAGCATTTTGTTGCTGTCTTGCTGCTTGCGTATGCTGGCACCAATGGGAACATGCCGTCAAACCGCCCTCCCATTTCCCAACCCCCCTGCGACATTGCGATGCTTGTCGTTGGGCGTGCTACTTCTGTAACCAATTCAGCATGGCAGGTCGTGTTGCAGAGAGACACGTCAACCAGGTGTTGATCTACATATGCTGCTGGTGGGGCTAAACACGTTGGGACATGCGGAGAAGCCTCAGTACCAGGCTGACTTCACACAGAGTACGTGGATGTTTGACGGATCAACGCAACAGTTAAACTCGTCTCGTCCTGCAGTTGAATTCTGTCCAAACGGCACTGCCAGAGGCTTTCAATGACTTCCTCTGCCCCGCCACTTCACATTGCCCCTCGTTCGGATTGACTTTGATCCGACTTGCTTGGTGTCGAGATACGTCGAGTCACTGCCGGGTGATTAGGGCCCGGAGCTGTTGCAGAAGCGGCATGTTTCAGCAACACTATCCAAGTTGACACAGATTGTGCGGGTCTGAGGTCTGCAGCAGAGTTGGCTCTGTTGCTGCATGTTGCTGCATCGTTTTTTCAACTAGCGGAGACAGCAGAGAGCTGCTTCTGACGCAGATGCTACAATGTTGGGAAGTTGGGAATGCCAAGGCAAGGGCTGAGTGAGTTCCATGAGGTTGTCGCCCTTCGTCTTGAACAGCGTCTTGTCAAGGTTCCTTCGCAGCTTGCGCAGAACGCTCTGACATCGTTCTCTGTCTTGACTTGTCTTGAAAATACTCTGATGCTTATGCGTTAGGAACCGATGACTTCTCAGCAGTTGCCAATTAAGGAAAGCCTCCCTTCTGATTGGCCATGTCCTTGGCTGGCAGAACATCCAGAACAATCCAGAAACATCCAGAAACATCCATGCACCCAGTCTGGTTTGGTTGTCGTCCGGCATCGCTAGAAGCAAGTTATGCTTGTTTTGCGTGCATGGGTTTGTAGGACGCCTCGCCAAGGAAGCTAGCTGACCGCACCAACCCGCCCTTTTCATCCAAATGGTGGAGAGCTCCATCCGAGGTTCGAACCAGTATAACTCGCAGTGGCAGCTTTTCTCGCCTGGCCTCTGCATATCTGCGCAGGACCTCCACGCCTCGGTCTCCTGCCGCGAGGCCAAACAAAGCCACAGAAAAAGCCACATAACAAGCCACAGAGTAGCCGAACCAAAGTCACATTCCACACGTCCACCAACCATGCCGGAGCCACGATAGGCATTGAGACTGTAGGCTGCAAGGAGCCTCAGAATCGATAGTTCATGTTCTCCGGGAATGCGATCAGTCTTCGCCAAGCGATGATTACATTACAGGCACAACCATTGAGGCAAAGCGCCCTGATGCACCACCCAGCACGCCACAAAGCAGCCAATGCCGCCGCTGCAGAGGCGGTGGCGGAGGTGCAGACATGGCGGGGAAAACGCCTTAGGCTAGACGGAAGACTGGGCTGGGGACGATGTTATGTAGGAGTTTGATGCTTGAACTGGCGAAAATGCTACAAGGTATTCGTCGACAGTGGGCGTCCGGGGTGAGGCCCAGCCCCCCCGCCCCCCTCCCCCCAAGACACAAACAAGGTTCATTAGTGTCTTGTCAGCAGGGTAGCAGCACAAGTAGTGGTTGTTGGGGGCGGCGGCTGAGGCTTTGGTGGATGATTAGGGCATGGCTCCTCGAACTCCAAGGAGTGGGGTCTGTCATTTTAGTGCAAATTGGAACAATATGGCTAAGCTATGGCAGTTTAGCAGCAATGCAAAGGACATTTGCGTGGCATGTGCATGCGCCAGAACTTTCAAATGGTGCCCTGGGCCGCAACAGCTAGCTGTGGCGGACGGGCGAGTCACAGGACAGAGCAGCGCTCTATTCAGCACGCGACAGAGCGCGCGCACACCAGACTCCCAACTGAGACTCAGACTGAAGCCGCTCACAGGCAGCCTGATGCTGCTCTTCTTGCCGCACTCACCACAATTCCTGCTGCCTTTGCCGCCTGTAGCTCTGCTGCATCAGCTCCACTGGCCATGGCCTTCTCGACTGCAGGCTACAGAAGTTGGTTGAATGAAGAGTGGCGAGAGCGAGAGCGAGAGCGAGAGCGAGAGCGAGACCGAGAGCGAGAGCATAAGCAATGACACGCTGTAGCCCAACAACGACCTCGTGTTTTAGCGGGCCTCTGAAACGAGGTTGACCAGCTCAGGCATGACTTCTTCGATTTGAAGCATGGAGGCTACCTCTCAGAGTCCCGAGCACTCCTGCAATCCGGCTTTCCTCCAGCCTGCGCCAGCCTGCGCCAGCTGGAGGGTCTCAGCCAAGGAAGATGGCCTCCAAAGTGCGTCCACGCGGGCCTCTCATGACAACAAGGGGCAGCAGGCCCCCTTCTAGCATCCTCTTCTCAACATGAACCTCGCAGTGAGAGTCCAAAGCCAAGCGGCCTCCGCGTCGCGGGGAGCTTGAGGGCTCTCGCATGCTCTCACCGCTCTCACCGCTCTCACCGCTCTCACCGCTCTCGGCCAAGCGCCCAGGCACCTAGAAGTGCTTGGAGGACGCTGATTGGGCAGCCTGCCGGCATGAAGACCTGCCCAGCTGATAGGCACCGATCCCTCACAACGAAGAACTGATCGCGACCGCAGCGATCACACGTGCTTTTTGCAGCCAGGTCCACGAGCAGGCCACGCAGGCCCACAGATGCTGCGGAGTAGCCACGTCATCGCCTATCACCAGCTTGGTCGCCGAAGGAGCTGTTTCGTCCTTCTACAGCTCCAGTTGCACATCTACAAAGGCTCTAGGGATTTCACGGGCGTCAGACGAGTGTGAGACTTTAGCTGCTCTCACCCGATGTGGATGCCCTGGACATAAGTCAAGAAGAGCTCATAGATTTCCTGCACTTCCAGCTGCACAAGGGCGCGCGCACACACACACACACACACACACGCACACGGGGAGATTGAATGGTCCTGCCTTTCCCTATCGAATCCGTTAACCCCCCCTCCCGGCCGACTCCACGTATCATAACGAACTGTGATTCCTTAGGGAAGTCATCTTAATAGACGTAGTAGATGATCAGCGAGCTGCCCTTCTGTACCCACAAACAACAACTGAAAAAGCTCTTAGCCCACTATGTATTGCAGCGCTACGCCTCGTATTGTGGAGGAAGTGACTAAGTGGGAGTGTGGATTGAGAAGTGGTGCCCCTCTACCCCTAACTGCTGGAGGCCATCATCCACTCTAGTTGACCGAAAAGGGTCCTCCAACCTCTTCCTCTTCTGCTCAGCACCTGGACATTGCATGGGCACGCATGGACCACACGCTGTAAGCCATAACCGCCAGGTTTGAGGAGGTGACTCATTGGCATTTTGCCCTCCTTGGGCGAAAGGAACAAGTCATCCTTTGTCGGTGGCCGCCTGCCACAGACCACTCTGAAGACTCAAGAGGAACGTAAATCAAGGCAATGGCATCCAGAGGGCCTTATCAATGCCTTGGGTGGAATGCTGCCGCTTGGTTCGTATCGAAACGCGTAGACCTTGCGTGAACTGTTGTTTTGCTTGCATCATGCAGCAACATCTGGACAACTTAGATCTACCGGGTCTCAAACCATGTCAGATCCCTTGGATTGGCACCTATAATTTTCCTGCACGTGCCAGGACTGCGCGATCCGAGTGGTTCAAAGTGCATGACACACACAGTCTCCAGACGAGCGGGCCAAGAGTCGTTGACTCACACATTGTCTGTGGCATGATTGTGGCATGCCATGCTGTCGTGGTCCTTCTCATCCGGTCGTCTGCTGGAGTCTCGCCGATCCCCATACGACCGATGGTAAGACCTGCACAAGCCCAGAACACTCGGAACAAAGCGATGCTGTCGGGTTAACGCCTCAAGCTCCACTCGAGCAACGGCAGCGTCTCCACATGAAGGAACTCGCCTCAACCGTGACGCAAGCAGAAGCAAATTCTTGCAGACATTGACCTTGATGCAAATTCAAGCACTGTTTTGTGCCCCGCTCAGGATGTCGGAGAACCTTTGAGGAACGCTGCTGCCAAAACTGCAAAGGCGGTCCCTGCTACATGCCACAAACGACACGAAATGACACAAACTAATCAGGTCAGGCAAGGCACCGGACTCCTGGCAAGAAAGACATGAGAAGGAACAGTCAACTCAGAACGGCAAAAGGCTGTCATATTTGGTCCTGTGGCATTGGAGTTGGATGCAACTTTCACGATGCCACCGGGCTTCACGAAGCCTCGCAGCGCCTGTGCTCCACAGCCCCGCACTCGCTGCAAAAACTCTCATGCCTGATGTATGGAAAAGCCGCAAGAGGCATCTGCCTGGAGCTGGGCTCAGCTGGGCAACTCTTAGTTCTTAGCGTACTTCTAACCGCCCGAAACCCGACGGCACCCGGAAGAAGAGGTGCATCAGGTTCTCGTGTCGCCATCCTAGGCGCAGTATGCAGCGAAATACAGCCCTCAACCAAGCCATCCAAGCAGTGAGATCCACAAACATCTGGAAAACAAGGCAGAAGGCTCATGGGCCCAAGTAGCAACCATAACAAATGGCGATAGCAAGAAAGATGACTGCCGCCACGGAGCTCACAAAGGGATGGCCATCAAAAAAGCCCTGCACAACTCCCGCATGCGGAAAGTTGTAGTAGACTGCCCCGAAGCTGTTCTCCATGCCCTGCAAGTGGCATCTGCATGGCAAAAAAAAGCAGTCGTCGACATCTCCACAATCCAATGCAGACAAGAACTTTCCTCGACATGATCCCCGCTTGCTGTTCGCACTGCCTGGAAGCGCGGATCGACAGCGAGCCGGGTACCATCCACGTTGTGCAGTACCTCTGCGTGCCTGTCCTCGAGCTCCTTTGCATTGAGAAGCTAAGCACTCTCTGAATAAATCTGGCCATCCGCCTAGCATGGCCTTCTGATTCCCTACTGAGTCTACGGTAAGCATTGACATTTCACGGCCCGGAGCTGAGATCCTTCCGTTCCTCACATGTCGTAGGAAAACAGAAGCGACAATGAAGCGACACCATGGACTACGAGGAAGTCCCCCGAAATCTTCCCTGCCCCACTACACGAACTCCTTGACAGTGTTGTCAATCTCGGCATAGCGCTCTCCTGAAGCAGCATGCTGTTTCTGCAGTCGGCACACTGCAATGAAGGATTCAGGGTCCAAGGTCCTCAATGACTAGGCACTGTGTAGGGGCAGAAGCGTGTAACCTTGATGCACCAAGTGTCGAAGAACTTCGATCGTCTCAAAGGTGGTGGCAACGATCCGGCCGACGTGACCAAGCGCCTGCACGTTGACAATCAACACAACGTCAAGAAACAGGGAGACCGACACAGAGAAAGTGGCGGAGACCGAGAACCAAACAAGCGCAACATGTACCGATTGACATTTTCAGCTTGCTGTATTGCCACGTTGCGGGGCATCGGATAGATGAGAGCTACATCTTCTCCAACGTCCGCTCATACCCGCTAACACAACTGCATCAAACCGCTTCTATCCTTGCAGCCCTTTGCAGCCACTGCCTCACGATGCTTCGCGAGCAAATGTGAGAATGTCAAATTCGCATCGCCAACCTTAAGCTGCAACGCCATCACAGTGAGGAAAACGAGCCGTGTGCGATGATCTGAATTGCTGCAGATGTTCATAAGGCCAACGGTGTGCACTCACTGAAAGGTGTGTTAAGAACCTACCCAGACTGCGACATCTCTGCATAGCTTCAGACTGCAGCCGCACCAACCATTCAGGCTGTGTTGATGCCAAATGACCACAAGCGCATCATCTACAGGGTTGATGAGTTCGAGGCGGTTAAACCTGATCTGGGCCATCATATGCCACAGTCAATCAAGCACGTCTGCCCGGCAGAGTTACATCTCAGAGGATCGAACCTGCTGCACGTCAGCGGGCCTGGCTTCTCCGCGGCTGCATCCTCGGTCTTTTCGATGTCCTTGCGACAACTTGGCATTCTCAGCGATACCAATAAGAGAATTCACACGCGCATCGAATCTCTCCTCGCCAGGCACAAGCAGCGAGGCTTCGTCAGATAGCTGGGAGACAGATGACGTGCCGTCAAACTCCTGGGGACACCGTTTGGTCAAGTAGTCTAGAGTCGAGAGGGTCCATGCACCTGACTCGAACAAAATCCCACCTGTCCTTCATGACGTGTCGAAGGTCCTACGCACGGTGCGTGTTCTAATGTTGAATTTGGTCGCTCCATGTCGCTCCATTCAGCCATTGCACCCGTGCTGTGCTTTCAATCAAGTATCAGGGGCTCTTCTGTGCAAGTTGTCTACAGCCGAGCTTGATTTGAAGATATCAGATAGTCAGATGAGTGAGGTGCCTCGGAATAGAGCTTGCATGGGCGACTCCTCTGCCCCCTCCCCCGTCCCCGCCCCCCTCCCCCAACAACTGTTCAGCGCGATGATTTGGGGTGTTGGACAGATCCAATGATTGCGAGAGGAGCGCACCATCTGGACTGAAACAGCAACTCTCTCGCTACCTCTCTGACGTCCTGTAACGGTGAAGTTTGTGTTTCGAAATGGCTGGCAAGCATTTAACCTGCTTCAAAGCGGGCTCTTCCAGCCCAAGGTGGCTATTGTGATATGATATGGGTTAGGATGGCGATCTATCTTGTTGACCCCCACTCTGAAATACCAAACAAGCTTCACTAAACCACATTTCCCGAAAAATCACTGATTGGGTTCATGGTTTGAAGAATGAACTTTGCCCCGCAGCGCCTTGTGCGAGAGCTTGCGCAGTGTCGCAACATCTGCAGCTGGAAGGTCCCACCTCCGTGCGAACGCTGTGACCTGGGCAGTTGGCCTACATGCTTGCCTTGCTTCCTTGCACAGCTGCGCTCGTTGGCGTGTGCTCGCACTCGCATCACTCGGGTCATTCTGCCATGGGCATGGAAGGATAAGGTCGGCACTACATCCACCTGGCTCCCTCCGGAGGGGCTGTACGCGTCCTGGGAACACCACGTCATGTTTTTTGACTTGGCAGCTCGGTTCGCGGAGGCCACCAGTCCTCCCGGAACTTCAAGATGGTCCTCAGGCTGGCAACCCTGTGGAAGGTTAGATGATTTTAGGCTGGTGCAGACGTTGATTGCAGCAAGGACGCTCGTTGAGTTGCTCAGCCGCCGTTTTGTGGGTTCCATCCTGCCGAGGTGCCCAAGCCGAAGGCCTTAGCGTGGTAGGTAGAGGGATGTGGAGGGATGTGGAGGGATGTGGAGGGGATCAAAGGAGGAGAACCACCAAAAACAACGCGCCTCCATCCTGCAGCGACAACTTTGCGAACCTCCTCGATGGCCGCTGCCTGCCAGGACTTACTGCATAAGACTGCATACCTCTCTCTCAATCGTCGCCGTTCACTGTTCATGCAGCTGTGAGTCTGTCCGAATACTTCAGTCACTCGTCCCTTTTCCATCCGATGCCACCATCAGGTCCTAACTGACCTTCAGGCTAGCTCAATCGCAGATGGCTTTGCCCTGCGCCTGAAGTCTTGAAGTTCGGGGTTTTTGTACTCTCGCAGCTTAAAGACCGATGCGTAGCAAAACGCCCAGCTTCTTGCTCAGCCTGTGGTCTTTGCTTGTCAACAACGATTCGAGGATTGCAGCTGCTGTGCCCACCATGGCAAACGCCAAGATCCTGCCGTGCGAAGCACAAAAGAGTCGAGAGCCATGAGGCATGCTTCAACTAGTCTTCAACTCTTTCAACCAAGACATGCCACAATGCCGTCCTGGCTCCGGCACGTAGCATCGCCTCCGGCAGCTGAGAATCATCTGTCGAAGGGATCTCGGTCAAGGAGGACAGCCTCTCCTGCGCATCCTACATCAAACAGGATGACAATCCTTCAGCACGACATTTGCGTCAACTGAACCGAGGTCGGTCTCGGCCAAACGGGACAAGCAAAGCTGCCTCAACCTCAACCGCATCATGATGATATCGCATGGCAGAAGTGGTCGCAAACCAAACGAACAAAGCACCTCTAACCACAAAAGATGATTCATTTCGGGCAGGCAAGTTTCGCGTCACCACGCTTTGAATACTCACAAACATCCTACAGTTCGGCATTTGGATCCTCATGAGACTCCGAAGTCCATACCGCATTGGCATGGACTGCCTGCATCATGCAGGTGGCGATAAGTATGGCCCTCAGTTCAGATGTAGCTCGAGCAGAACAGCATGGGTGCCGTGCTCGAAGAAGGTTCCGATCAGATGCAAGCAAGGGTCAACATGTCTGAGAAAACCCGCCAAGCAGGTGTCGGTAGAAATTGTGTATCTCGCGCTGTGGGTGGTTCCGCAGCCGAGAACTCGAGCCAAGAAAGCAACCAATGCAAATTGCAGCTTGAAATACTGCATCGCTGCAACTGCGAAGCCAAAATCCTAGGAATCCCATGCGCTTCTTACTGAATTCCTGACGATGTCAGCTCGGCCTGCATGACATAGCGCACAGCTCGTTCGGCCGACAGCCCCCAGCGAGACAAGAGCTGTGCCCTGAGCGATGAGCACATCGGAGCAAGAACAAGCACCCATGATGATTCCCACCAATCGCACAAGAACATGTCAGAACATGCAAGAAAGACATCCAGAAAACATAGCCGGCATGACTGGATAGTGGCAACCGTAAAGACTAAGAACAAAATCAAAAAAGAAAACAAAAACTGCAACGTAGACTATCCCTAAAGGCACATGGCCGCGTAACGACGGACAAGGCAAGGGCTTGAGCTGTGCGCTGGTATGAACATTGCACCACAAGCCAGACAAAGCGAGCACGACACTACTGTGTACCCCACTACTGTACTGTGTACGCTTTCGGTGGGAGTTGCCTTTTGGTTTCAAGGCGCTTGGGTTAAAAATCTGGCTGCAGGAGGGGGTCATCCCAGCTCGTTGTTAGCAACGGGACGTCAGGATGTCCGAGTCAGCTCGTGGCACTGTGGAAACATGTCCTGTCCTAAAGAATGGAGCTGAGGTCTCGACTTCTCCGGGTCTAGCTCCACAGCTGTTTCGCTCTTGCGTCTCCTGCCAGCGGAATGGACGATTTCAGCAGGTTTCTGACCCGGTAGAGATGCAAGACTCCGCATCAACTGAGCTCAAGTCTTCGCGGCGGGCTCATCGTCGCTGCCGGAGAGCCTCAAAGGTCAATAGAAGGCATTTCAAGGGGCGTTGAGAATTCCAGCCCGAATGCATTGCGTCATGTCAATGCAACTAGGCTGGGCGTTGCAGATACTGTAAGTCAGCCGTAGCGGGGAAAAAGGTGGCAAAGCAAAGCTTTCTATTTTTTGCCCCTGCGTTGTTGAAATCGCTCTCTCGCTGAGCCGGTAGTGGTCACGGAAGGGGGGAAGCAGAGAACAGGCAGAGCATCGGTACCGATTTCTTTCTCTGCCACCTGGCCTACAAGGATTCCGAGGAGGGTCAGTACACTCTTTCACATTGCGAGCAACCGAAATCGGTGCTGGAGGGAGCAGGGGTGGTATGCAGCAAAATGAAACCACTCACCAGACCCACCCTTCCAAGCTCAGAGGACAGGCAAGAGGAACGGACTCCACACCGAATATTTACCCCCAAACACTCAACGACCACCATGCTCGCAAAAACCAAGACACATGGTCGAACGGACGAAGGTTAGTGATCTCCCATGCATAGCGGATCAAGGAGCATTCGTCGAAGCTGCATGCTGCCTTCGACAGCCTCACGCATGTCTTCGGCCACATCCTGAGGCAGTGGCTCAACATTGTCTATCGAGTTCTCTGTATAAGTAGTCGTATCCCGTGGTACATCGACGCATAGCGTACCAGTCCTCCACATCCAGGTCATCTTCGCGCACAGGCAGCACGTCCTCAAAAACAAGTGCACTATGTCCAGGACCTATGACTTGGCGTGGGCGAGGAACATTAGTTCGTAGGGCGTCGCTACAGCTGTGAAACACTGCAGCGGTGACACGCATTTCATACCCCTCAGTGGTATCAACACGCATCTCGCCCGCAGCAGACATAAAAATAGCGTCCCCATATGGCCCGAAAGCTGCAAATGAAACCGGTGCAATCTTAAGCAGGAAGCACGAACGCATCGCGACCATGCACAAGGAAGCGGCGGCTTCCCTAAAACAGCAAGGCAGTGAGGCGAGCTGCCTGCGGTTAGTCAGAAAGGTGCAGATGCCCAGAGCTGCCCAGGACATGTTCCGTTGCTACATATTTCCACATTCACCTTCGTTTTGTTGCGTTAATGTAAAGGCATTCTGCCAAAGCAGGCGAAAGGAGCCCAGAGACTGGTTGCTGCTGGGAAAGCGAATGGGGCAGTTTCTTGCACGCAAAAGGAGTGAGCTGCCGCCCCGGCACCTTCGAGGAGGCAACCACACAAAGCCCAATGGTCCCGGACAACGCGAGCACCCAGGCCCTGCTGCTGTGGAGGCACAAGCGCACCGTCAGCACCAACCCCTCTAACTTGTTGGCCCGCATGGCACACAGTGAGGCTTAAGGCGGTGGAGAGGTTCTGTGATAAAGAAGCATACGCAAAGCTCTGCCAAGAACATGCTTCGGCCCGACTTCGGCAGGTTTGCAATAGGTTTTCAATCGAACAATTAGTTCATCCACGATTCTGTGATGCATGCTGCGGCAGTGCTGCGTGCCTCCTCAGCCTCAGCTTCGACCTCAATTGGCTCATTCAGCTCCGGCAATGGATCCTCGAGCTCCTCCACGACATCATCCTGAGGCACCGCATTGCTACCGTTTGCATGTATGTAAGTGGTGGCACCCAGTCATTCAGTCATTCATAGACATGCTGATAAACGACTTCGGCCTGAGCCTCAGGTTCCTCAAACTCGACTGCATCGTCTGGGATGAGATCCTTGGCGAAGGATCAGCGACAGGGCGTGAAAACTCATCTGCAAAGTCGAAATTGATGGGCCCACCAGGCCTCTTCAGCGGTCAGCTCGGGTGTTGATTCCTCGGGCTCTGCAACCTCAGCAGCCACTCACGTGAAACTACGTGAATGAACACAAACGGCGAGTCGAGTCTCTCCCGGCCTGTACCTGAGCCGGCTTCCTCAAGACGGGCACGAAGTTTCTCGGAAGGGCGTATGCTGGACGTTGTGGAACGGCCTTGCGGGGCTTCCACCATTCTGTTCCTTCTGTTTGCGTTTAAGAATCTCGGCTCAAGAATGTGTGAGCTCGGGACTGGACCTGACGTCAAATTGAACTTACAAAGCTTGCTGTCGGTTTGAAAACGGTTGCTAAACTGCATTTAGCCTACTGTACACTTTCTAGCCGTCCTAGCCATCCTTCAACAACCTGCAAATGTCGACTTGAATTCGTTTGCGTTCGTCAAGAGCTTAGAAGCTGCTCAGCCATTGGATTGGCACTCACGGGCACGTACGGGCACGTAAACCCTCGCCTACGAGACCGGCGGATGAGTTTTTCGTGAAACGGTGACACATGCGCAAAGCCAGAAGCTTGTTTCACAAGGTCACGACATCTCACAACTTTATAATTACAAGCCTTGCTGACTGGCCGGCTGAAGGCTGCGGGGCGATTGGCGGTTGCGGCAGTGATGGGGCGGTAGACCACCTCCACCGGAACACTGCACAATGGCTATCCGAGCGGCTATCCACATCACTGAACACAGAGGCTCTTGGAAGTGCTCTTTAAGGTGCGCTCGGACATCTGTGCATCTCTCATCTCTCCATGACTTCCAAGGCGCCATCTCACGACCCCATGGCAAGGCTGCTACCCCCCAGGCATCACGTTGCTTGAGCCATGCGCTGGAACATCGGTTCAGCCAAAGGAGAAAGCAAGAGTTTTCTGCCATGCCCCGGGAGCACGTGCTTGGAGCACAACTCACCTCGCTGCTACCAGCCTGCACTTTCGGAATGTAGTCGCCTGCGGCATCCGACTTGCTTTGCCTCCACCTCCAGAGAATACACCATTGTTCTAGAGTGCCTGCAGGTGTGCTTGGCATAAGCGTTCCAAGGGCAAGCGCTCATCAGCGAGGGCTGCAGCTATGTACCTCTCAGGCGAGCAGCAGTGACGCGAACAACGTTATGCAACAGATGAAGTTGCGATGATCTCAGGGCACGGGATTCGAACAGCTACACCAGCAGTGATGTCGAACAGCTCCGGGTGGAAAGCATGTCTGGCATAGGCCGGTCAAAGTCCCATGAATCAAGGATGGCCGAGGCTTGAAACAATGTGGATGGGCCTGCAGCCCTGCAGCTTCTCAGATGGCTCCTGCGAAAGCAGGAAGATCTGTGTTTTGTGGGTGCACCTCCCAAAGCGGGTCACGGGTGAAGTCGGGATCTGCATAACTTCATAACCCTTGCTATCCGACTTAAGCAACCATGCTTGTTCGTTGTCCGTTTGCGCTTCGACATTGAGTCTTCTCGTTTTCGTTCTGGCGTTTGTTCCTGTATGTTCAGCTGCTCACACCTCATGTTGCAGACGTTCACTCAACACAACAGAAGCCTGAGCCCTGCGAAGCCTTCCTGGCGAATGCTCATTATTCGTCTGGGCCTCTGAAGCTGCGTCCGCGGTGTAGACCTGTCACCACGCAGCACCGTTCAACAACACGGGGGGGGGGGGGGGGCGGGTTCTCTGGGCCCCTCTTCTTCCAAGGCGGGATCCTCGAGGGAGACGAAGCGAGGCATGGTACCCCGGACCTGTGCTCTTTCGTGCTCTTTGACTACTTTTACAAGTGCTTGGCTTCCAAGCCCTTTTTTAAGACTTCAGAGTTCACGCCTTCGCAGCCTCGGCTGCTGGAACAGCTGAGGTCGACATGGCAAGTGCCGTCCCTGGTACTGATGCACTAGAGTCACTAGAGCAGCACGGAAGCGGTTAGTGTCCAATCGCGTGCAGTTCAGCTCTGCTGCTCAGTGTATGCCCTTGACTTGAGTCAGGGGTTGCAGTATCGCACAACAGCAACACATCTCGTAGTCTTACAAAGCACACCGGTCGGTGCCTTCACATGAATTTTTCCTACTGAGCCTCACCTATTGCCACGGCCGCATGTGAAGCTGAAGCTTCCATCACAGAAGGTCAGAAAGGTGGATAAGATATGCTGCCTGGACAGCTGTTGCACTGCACCCAAAAGACATACAGCAGAGGTCACAAACATCACGACATATCACTAAACACCACGAGAGATCCCAAAATATCACGATTCTCCTTGCTCGAGATGCCGGTGGTGAGCTCGTGGCCTTCGTCATGCCACCTGGAATGACTCCCCCGGCTCTAGCTCACGCCAAGTGGCTCCATAAGAGGCTGAAAGAGTCTAAGCATCTGGGCGGGCCCTCCACGCCGTCTGCCAGCGCAATTGCCTCACACGTCTCGTACATGGATGCTGACAGCTAAGGGATCACGGTGGTGACGAGCTGCGGCACCCTTTCACACTCATTCCAGGGCGCCTTGTCCAGCCAGGCGTCGATCCAAGCTGAATCTTGAGCAGGCCTTTGCTCGAGACAAGCACAACCAACTTTCGCATCCAGGTCTATGGAGACTGCCGGAACAACCAACTGTAGTCCTGAACCCTCGTCAGTGCTAAGGCCCTTTCACTTGCTGCTTCTCTTTTGGCTTTTCCAGTCGGTCCAGTCGGATTCGCTTCGCCTGCGCAAATCCCGTGCAGTTTCATACCTTTTCCACGTACAGTCTGTCGCTGCACACTTGCGGGCGCCTTTTCGGACTCCAGGACCTCAGCGAGGAAGAGGAGGCCAGCCTCGAACCGCAATCATCGCGCGAAGCTGCGAAGCTTCTTTTTTGGTTCCCAAGTCCGCAGCGGCTATGGCGAACCGCTAGCTTGGTGAGGTCAGGGCCGACACCAGCAGGCCACCGGTCACGGTGATGAGGAAGAGCAGGCGGAAAAAGGGCCTGCGAGAAACATCACCAAAAACAGCACCAAAACAATGTTGAAGGCCGACCATCCAGGCCTTGACATGCAGCCAGGAAAAAGTAGCTGCGGTGCCAGCGCTCCAATCTGGCAGGGTTGTTAGCAGGCTCTACAGATATGACTCAAGTTCGCACACTGTCGCTACCCATCGAGCCATAGAGCCACAGAGGGGCTCCTGCCGGCAAGGAATCCCTTGCCGTGGCTGGCTTCTCTTCCCACTAATCTGAGATCTCGTCACCAACAATCATGGGAGCAGCTTTGGCAGGTGAGACGGCATTTCCTGGCTAGCCCAGCGATGATAATATAAGAAGGGTGCACTTCTGGTGGTGGTTCCTAAGGGATCCAAAACCCCAAAAGGGCAAAAGGGCACCACTGGGCTCCCAAGTTCCAATTATTTCAAACTAGACTTCTGCGATGGCCTGAGACTATGAAACCCGCGAGACGGACTTCAATCTAACAATCTCAGTTGGCTGATCAGCTGTCTTAGCTGCGCCTTGGTGACACTGCTAATTTCCAGAGATTCCCGGGTCAACCTTCTGGGCCACATCGTCGCCAGCCTACCATCTGCACAGCAGCAGACAGAACTGAGTGCCCAGGGCCAGATACGATACTTTTTGATCCTTCGCGGCCTCTGCACATTGATCGGCCGAGACGCCGAAGGCCGGCTTTCAGCTGTCAACTGAGGGACCCTTTCGCTGCTTTGCCTGGGGTCGCGGCGCTCGGATGTTTTTTTGTTAGGAGATGCTGAGATGCTTTATTTGCTCTTCTCCTTCTGGCTGCTTTTGCATTCTGTTGCAGGGCCGGGCGTGCGTTGGAACAATGCATCTGAGCCCTCACTGTATACGTCGCAACTGCGTAGCAACTGCATAGTGACTGTGTCGCAGCTGTGTAGTCAGAAAGTAGCCTCCGCAGACATTTAACATTTAAGCCCCAGGCATCGATGTATGCTGGCTTCTGTCCAGCGATATGCGTCGAGAAGCAAGCCTCGGGACTTGGCTTCCCATAAGATGTCTTGGCCTCAGTGCGCTTTCACCGCCGCTGTTCATTGTTTTTTTGGTACTTCTTGCCATGCGCAGCTGATGCACAGCACTGCACAACAGTCCACCCAGGCGGTCAGAAACCTCACATCCAACGAGTGCTGAGTTGCGTCTTTGGCTGACTCCTTGACCTCGTTGATTTTCATGGCCTGTTCCTTGAAAACTTTCCTGGTAGCGCAAGACATGATGCAGCTTCGCAAGATTCCGGCAGTCTACTGGTTCGCTGCACAGGTACCTAGAATCGACGAGACGACGTTGACACGATTCCGACACCATTGTTATCAGGTGAGAGCAAATCTCTGCTTGCTACTCACTTACCCTCTGCCGCCACCTTCTCGCTTCCGCACATGCGTCGCTGTGACTCTATGGCATTTAACAATGGAACTCGAATCTGGTCTGCTGCAAACAAGAGTCTTTTGCCACTTGTTCTTCCGCAGGTCGAGAAGGTCTTCAATCGCAAACCGTATTCGCTTCGAGAATGCCTGTTGGACAGGAGCTATTTCATTGCTACGGCTTCTTGATGTGCAAAATAGGTGTCTTTGCTGATTCCTTGCAAGTCTTTCTCAAGCGTTTAAACAGGAAAGCTGCCTGCTTGCCGTCACTAGAGAGATGCTTCGACAAATCCTTCAGGCGAGCCTGCTTGGGCAATCAGCTCAACACAGCTGCAGGTCACTCGACAACTGCGATTCGACGTAACACTTGGTGTCGGGGGCGGAATACATCGGAATACAGTAACCTTGGTGCGGTGCATTGGTCCCAAGGTGCGCCTGAAAAGAATTCATTAAGTTTTCGCCATGTGTGTTCTCGTCGAGGGTGTGCCCGATGGCCTCCAGGCTAGCTCGGCATACCCTCAGCCTCTGCTTGACAAGTGTGCCGCTACTTCTGTTCTTCTGGCTTGCTTGTTTGCGAAGCTTCCTGCCTCGAGCAACTGGCATACACACCTTGATCACTCAGTCGTATTTATTGCACGTGAACACACTTCAGCAGCCATGACAGCCATGACCCGCTTCATGCTCACACGCCAAGGCACTCGATCATGTGCTCTTCTGGCACGGAGTTGCCATCCTTGATGCCGATGAGGTCATGTACGACCTGTCCAATGACCTCGCGAGCCCATGATGAGACTCTTACAAAGTTTCGACGTTCTGCCTCGACGTTCTGGAGAGGTCCGGCCTTCACCGCCAAGAGCTGTCGCAAGAACAGGTGACCAATAAACTTCCTTGTGCAAAGTTGCCATCGGAAGTGCTGCTACCATTCAGCTACCACGCAGTCTCACATGTTCCTTAGCCATGACTTAACATTCATGCACAAAAAGGTATTCGATGTTGAGACACATGTTGGCCAACATCATGTCCTTCTTCCGTTTCAGCCTCAACTGAAGTGAAGCGCCAATGTACTCTGCAGCTCTGCATCATGATCCAGCACACAGAAGGGTGGATTAGGCACAGTTGCATCCTGTTGCGCAGCCTCCTTCTTGCCAGCAAGGAGCTCTAACTGCAGTTCTTCGTGGTTGGGGAACTTGATCCTCTCTTCATCGGTTGCTTCAAACGTGCTCGGCATGTTCTCAAACTCGTTCTGACCTCAGTCAAGGAGGCACCACATCAGATCACATGAGGTCACATATTAGCAGATCCAGTGGAATCCAAGGTGCAGTTGTTCAGAAGCACCTGACACAAGCTGGCAAAAGCACATTGAGGCGGTGGGGGCGCCTCTCGCACTTTACGCCCTTGCAAAACACGTACATGACCCACATTGTGCCTACTGCAACCTACAGCTTAATCCACTGGGATTGGCACGCGAGTGAAGGTGGCAGGCTTTTCCCCCTCACTTTCAGGTGGAAACTCTGGATATCTTGCCTGGGAGGTGCGAAATGGTGCGAACGTGGCTCAACAAGAGCAGGAGCTCTTCCTTTATCACGCCCATGGCTGCACTCGGTTCAGAGGTCGACCTTCAGCGCGTACACCATGTCTGCATAAGTAGCGCCTCAGTGCCGAGAGAAAACTGTCCCCTAAAACATCTTAAAACAATGCCGGTATTAACTTCCCATTCTGCCCGGCTGCAGTAATGAGGTTCCGCCAAGGCCTGCCGCAAGGGAGCGTGCGTGTTCCCTGCTTCCGGCTGCAGTAAAGCAGGTTGTGCCGGCCTTCTTGAAGATGATGGAGATGACATGCTTCAGCTCTTCTGCGTTGAGAAGCTTGATGTTTGCAAGCTGGTCCACTATCTTTGCCAAGTTGTCGGGACAGATCTTGTTCAGCAAGCTGCGGACCTAATGGGTCCACATCTCTTGCGGGCAAATGCCTCCGTTTTTTACAGTTCCTACTCGGCACCTTTGATGACCTGATGGGTATCACCTCTGTGTGCAAGACATTTGTTCAAGGGGTTTTTTATGCCTCGTCCACGTCCGTGCCCCAGTGTGGACATGCAGAGTGGAGGATGTGTGTTGACGAATCCCTTACTCCGAGCTCGAGTTCTCTCTTGCGTGCCTGTCGAGCAAAAAAATAGCAGTTTCTTTGGGTCATGCTAGCCAGCTCCTGGATCATCTGGCGGTGTTCTAGCTGAGTGCAGCGCATGTCTCTCGATCTCCTCCATGCGGTCGCTGGCCTGGTGGCATGCAGGGCGGCCGCAGGGCGGCTAGCAAGGTGGTGGAGCAAGGTGGTGGAGCAAGGTGGTGGAGCAAGGTGGTGGGGCAAGGTGGTGGAGCAAGGTGGTGGAGAGACAGGAGACGACTCTGAAGCAACTCCCGCAGCCTTGTCTTTGACCTTGTAGGCATTTTCACCAGGCTTGAGGGCGGGCATATCCTTCTTGCCTCCACATGCACTGACGCACGCTGATCGGAGCTTCTTCCAAAGTCACATCATCACTTCGGCCAAGAAGCCCTTGTTTTTCATGTCGGTTCCGAACACCTAAGTGCATCGCAGCCCGTCGGAGTTCAAGGGCGTTTGGGACAGATTCACAGAAGCCCCGCGACGGGCCAGGCAGCCATGGCACATTTGCTCGATCTGGCGCATCTTCTCGCTTTGCCAGCTTCTTCCTGATATTTGGCAGGGGCAAAGCAGGGGCGAAGAAGATACTGAGAGCTGCAGACAAACCGGGCCTCTCGATCATTGGAGTTTTCTCTCCAGGCCGGACGGTACATGACCTGATTTGGGCATGGGCTTCAAAGAGCCAATGGCACAGGTGCACATGTCACAAAACGCATTCAGCATGTCTGCTTCTAGTCAAGCCACAGTTCTGCTACAGCACCATGCAGCTCACCCCTGTGCATCTGCCATATCCTCAGCATCAGCTCGCGGCCTGAGCGGAAGATTGCAATGGGCGAATATCAGGAGTCATGCACGGACACTGCTGGAGACTCGCGAATCTTGCTGAAGGCACACTAGCACATAGAGACACTCTCCAGCCAAGCAGCTAAAGACCTTGTTTGCTGGCGTCAAGTTGACCTGCGTAGCTGTCACAACTAGTGCATGTGTAAGCATTGGAATTCCGGAGTCCAGACGCTTCGGCCGAGCCGCGTGGGAGGCGCTAGCAGGCTCTAGAGTTATAGCCTCGGCTTGCATCACGACGTGCTCCTGGTACAAATACGGGCAGTGACTGACCTGCATGTCATGGGCGCTACTCTCAGCAGCTGTGTCCTTGATCACTACAGGCGGGACATCCTTGATAGGCTCCTCTCAGTAGACTTTGATCGTCAAGAAGCAGTCACTAAGCTCAGCCGCAACTGCAACTACATAAGCATGAAGCTGGGGAGTCCATCAGACTTTTGACCTGCGACCTACATCCGAAGATTCATCGCCGATCAACTCCTCTCCTTTGGAGGCTCGGATTTCGCTTCACTGTCATCAGCTGGCTTCGCCTTGGCCTTCGTCATCGAACAGGTTCAGACTCAGCACTACAGAGATGCGCAAGCTGAACACTAGGCCCAGTGCTTGCAGCTTCTTGTTCTCGAGCTTGAAGCCCTTCTTGGCAGGAGCGGGGGATGTCGTCTGCGGCGCTGCTTTTGGCTGCCTCAGCTCAACAAGCAGTTTGAGCAAGCTTGCATCTCGAGTGCCAACCTTCCAGGATCTGGGAAGCTGCAAAAAAGAACGTCACTGACGGGAAGTGATTAGCAGGCTCCGAAAACCAAAACTCGAATGCAAACTGGCCGCACAGACTGGGCCGGCGCAGTAGGCGCTGGCGGCTGCGGAGTGGTCTGCGCCGGCTGGGCAGCTATTGGCAAAGGCTGCTGTGGTTGCTGTGGTTGCTGTGCTTGAATTGCCTGGGGTGAGGTCTCCTGTTCGGGTAGCCGGGCTGAGGCTGGGTCAAAATAGACATCCCGGTGACCTTGGTTCTTCTTGGCAGTCGTTGCTGTTCGCATAGGCTCAAGGTTCAAAGCCTTTATCGATGATGCGAACTGGTGAACAGACTGGCTCGCTTTAGCTGGCATTGGAGTGGGCTGGTACCGCTGCACAGGGGCTGAAGCGGGTCCAGTCGTTCCAGACTGTGCTTGACTAGGCACTGTGTCCGGGACTGTCGGGGAAGGGTTTGGTTGTTCTGTTGTTGGGGGCACGGCAGGCGCTTGAGAGCTAGCTCCAGCTGTGGTGGCCGTGCCGGTGGTTCCAGTGCTCTGCTTGTCAATCTTCTTGTTCAAGAGCTTCTTCTTTCCTGTTGCAGGGGGAGCGGGCTGCGGGGCCGCTGTCGGGGCTGCAGCTTGTGAGCCATTGACGAATGCCCCAGGTGCACCCTGATTTGGGCCTTCACGCATGCGATCATCCTGAGGCCGAGGTTGCTGAGGTTGTTGCTGCTGTTGCTGCTGTTGCTGCTGTTGCTGCTGTTGCTGCTGGTGTTGTTGCTGGTGCTGCTGCTGGTTTAGCTGCTGGTTCAGCTGCTGTTGCTGCTGCTGGGGCATCTGCTGTGCCATGGCCTGTTGCGGGCCTCGCTGCATGTCTTGCTGCAATGCGTGGCCGCAACCATTGCAACCACTGCATCCTCCCATGTTCGCCTGTCCCCAAGCAGGAGCTGGCGCTTGACCTCCGCACCCTTGACATCCCTGACATGCATTGCTCGGGTCCATCATTTGCATTCCCTGCTGGGCCTGCTGCTGGTCGGGCATGATTGGTACAAGTACCATTTGCTGCATGCAGCCATTTCCAGGTGCCATCATGGTAGGTTGCATTTGGGCCATCTGTTGCTGTACATTGACGCCCATTTGCGACCCATCCTGGTTCATTACAAAAGTGTAGCCGCCATGGTCATTGCCCATGTTGAAGTTTTGCATCTGGTGGTCGTATCCCTGCATCTGGCCCTGGTTCATGTTGGACCCATCATTCTGTACCACGTGACCAGCCTGCGGCACGGCCTGCACGTAGTAGTACCTGACAACGTGTCAAAGATGTGCCCTAGTGAAAGAGCACTATGGCACTAGCAGGAACTAACACTGGTGCAACTGGTACCGAGTCCCCATTTCTACAAGCTCGAGGAGAGTCGAGGTGTGAGGAGGGATGAGGGGGAATGAAGGCCTATTTGAGGTTTCGTCCCTCTCTTCTGCCCCAGTTGTGCCAAAACAGCGCTTGGGTCCCTGGCATCATCTGCTGTTGATTCTGTGCCATCGGATGGCAAATCTATGCTCTCATGCTAACACGCTTCGAACAGAAAAGCTTAGACTCAAGCTTCGCTTGGGCCAAAACATCCCCGGTCAGGCGTATCATCGCGAGTCACTCTTAGACTCCTGCATGCAAGGCACAAGCTGTAAACAAGCCGGTAGTGCAAGCAGCATAGTAAAATCCTTCACCCAGATGGAGCTGCAAAGACTGCCTAAAGAACTCATGCAGTATCTGCTGGCAAGGGGCATGTAGGTATGCACGATATCTTGGGTTCAGCAAGAACAAGCAAACCTGGAAGTCTCAGGAGAAGAACTCAACGGATGAGCAGGCTGCTGGCTCGCCTGCCGGGCCACTTCCTCCACAAGGGCTTTTGCGACCTGCAGGCGAACCATCTCCTCGAGGCAAAGCTGAAACTCGAAAAACTGCCCCGTAGCACGGGAAGCATCACTGAAGCATCTCTGACCCACAGAACCTGCCCCTGCTACCCTCTGAGAGCCTCTGCGTTTCAGCAAAGGCTACTGTATAGGCGGGCCAAGACAACGAGAGCAGGCCGCGCGCTGTTCAGACATGTTCAGACGTGAAGGCTTTGAAGGCTTTGAAGGCTCGGAGTGGCTTTCGCATCGTTTCTCACGTCGTTTCTCACGTCGTTTCTCACGTCGTTTCTCACGTCGTTTCTCACGTCGTTTCTCACGTCGTTTCTCACGTCGTTTCTCACGTCGTTTCTCACGTCGTTTCTCACGTCGTTTCTCACACTCCGGGGCTCCTCAGGCTCCTCCTTGCTGCCAGGCTCAGGGGTCGAAGAGCATTGCTCCTTCGCAACGTGGCGGTGCCGAATATCTGCGACAAATCAAGCTGGCTACTGGCGGCTACTGCTTACCTCCTTGCCTTCCACGGCAGTGGCATAGCTAGACCTGCTGAAAGAATCAAGGCACATTGCATGGGGTTTCTAGGCTGCAGTGGAACTGTTTTCCTGCATGAAGAAATTTGGTCAAGATGCTCAGCCTTTGCTGAGATGTTTGGATCTATGTCGGTCCGCGCCATTCATGCGGCTAGGACCCTATACTGCCTATGAAACGCTATGAACATCTCCTTGAACAGGAGAGCCCTGCTGGCATCTGCTGGTGAAACAGTCAGCCCAAGTTCTCAACTTGGATGCTGTGCTGTAGCATTGTTTGTCACTGCTTGGGCCGTTGCGACTATGGGCTTGCCAGCGCTGCTGGGGAAGGGTCACGTGGTCGTGCAAGTGCACAGCCAAGAAAAACGAGACACGAGAATCAGCAAGCACTGCTGGTTAGTTCCTCCTGCTGCGCCATTTGCTCCTCGTGCTCAGCCAGCACCTGGCACGCATTTGAAGAGCTCATGCGGCTCAGCAGTACGGCAGTGCAGGACATGCTCTGTGCCACCTTCGATATCTTCACGGATATGTTGAAAGGATACCTGAAGACTTGGACATTGGTGCAGGGCGCGAAGAAGCCTACCGATCTTGGATCCGAGTTGCTTTTTGTACATCTTGGCTTGCTGGAAACAGGTCCGCCTCGGCTCCGCAACTTAAGAGACTCAGAGCACAAGCCGCCCCGAAACGACTTCACTCCATGTTCTGAACAGCCGAGCTTCGCGTCAGTGTCCCTGCCCGTGAGAGCAAGGATACGCCCACACCAGTACAGCCCGTGGGCGGACAAGTACCTTGGGCTCGCTGCTCAACGCAGCCCACTGCAAGAAAAAACCCTCAAAGGGTTCACATCATGCCCAGGTGGGGGCTGTGCTGATCTGACTGTGCTCCGTGCAGAATGCCTGTTTCTTGCTATAATACGTTGTGAAACAGCATGCGTTTTTTGAAGCTTCTAGCGCATCACTTCGATTCTACTTGAGCCATCCTGCTGCAACGCATAGCTTCTGAACCTCACCACAAACACTGCAAAACCTGATCATTAAGCTAGACTCTAGCACTCCTCCTAGTCATCATAATTGCTCTTAAACCTGCCAATACACGACAACCACACAGGCGGATACATCACCACAGCCACAGCCTCCCAGCCCCGATCAGGGATGTTTGGGTTCCTTCGAGAAACATCTGTTGCAACGGGAAACTAGGCAGATTGCTGCCAAGCCGCATCGCCCACGCGGGCAACCGAGGGCAAAGCTGAGACAAATCTGGAATGAAAACCATTGCCTACAGGGCACAGGCCACTCAACCTTCTCGTTCGAACTGTCTTTTTTCCCCATGCTCTTTTGAATATCTGATGCACAGCCAGCGACGGCTTCGGCATCGCCGAGGTAGAAGCAAATGACCTTGGCCGAGACGTCGAGCCCCCAAGACAACAGCTCCGCAACAGCATCCAACAGGGAATCCAACACCTAGCAACCCGCCAGCCAACCCCAAAACTGGGGGAATACTAACACTGCTAACAAGCAACTACTTGGAGAGTGAGGGCACTCACCATCTCCACCATGCTGCTCTCGTCCGTGCCCGCACCTTGAGCTTTGGAACTTGTATGTACTTGGTAGGAGCCGGCGACAACACTTTTCTGCCATTTGACTAGGAGTCCGACTCTCGTTTTGCCACTCAGTGTCCTCGTCAAAGGGCTTCGTCGTCTTTCGAACCTGCACATGTTGCACAGTTGCACCACATCCACCCTTTGTTGCCGAAGCAACATCGACATTCTGCAAGGAACACGACTGAGTTTGCGGACACTTTCTTTCAGCGCAAGCAGCATGTGCGCAGGAACCTCTTGCTCAGGGCTTCAACGAGCGGCAAGATTTTCAACCCTCATCAAGATACATTCAGCCATCAACCTGTGCTTGTGTGTCTGTATCTCTGTGTCTCTGTCTCTGTGTCTCTGTGTCTCTGTGTCTCTGCCGGGCCCCTGGCCTTGGGAAATTGGCGCAGGAAGTACATGACTTCAAAGGCCAGAAGCTGGCGCCTGGGCGTCAACAGGTGAACTTAACATTGCATCGTACTTACCACTTCGCGCGCACGCATTGTACGTGTACAAAAAACTGTGCCGCGGGAAAGAGGCCGGCGTCTTTGCAATACAAAAACATCTTGGCCCATGTTGGTCCATTGGCAGCAATGTATATTGTACCTTCCACGCACCTCCCTATCATTGCCTCCTCTGCTGACGCCACTCCTGTTTCCCACCATTTCCAGCAATGGGAGTTGCCAAGCTGGGCTGTACCTTTCTGTGGAGCTTGACATGTAGACCCTGTATTTTTGCCACCCGCCGAGCAATGTAGACCCTTTGTGGGGTCCGTGGTCTTTGTATGGACCTTCTGCCTTCTATATCTGTGGAAATTCTACAGGGTTTTGGCCCCCCGGAAACCACACCCCTGCCCCCCAGACCCCCGATCCTGTGCGTTACCCCCGTGAGCTCGGTTGTGGCTGGCGCAAGTCAAGATCCTAGGTCTGAGAGCTTTGGAAACCTTCCGGTTGCATTTGGGTTCTCAGGTTCAGTCGCTCACTCTCGCACAAGGCCGGCAAGGTTCGATGATCTGTGTGTTCTCAGGTTTAAAGGTTTCGGCTTCAGGGCCCTTAGATAGAGGCTTGCATGACATAGGGCAGGGCGTTTCATCTTTAATATGAAGAAGGCGAAAGAAATCTCAACCTGTATGCCTATGTGCTGAGGCAAGGCTCTGCCTGCGTCTTCGTCGAAGGAAGATCTGCAAAATTCGTGCCTCGGTGAATTGTATCACTCAGGCACTCTTGTCGCTGTCCTGCAGCTGTCCTGCCATGAAGTAAGCTCAAGAAGTGTTGGCTACTTCTTTGGCAAGGGTCAAAGTCGGACTCTATCTTCAAGAGCGTGCTCCAATCCTGCATGGCTGCGCACTCCTGCCAGCAAGAAAAGGATTCATAAATAATGGCCGCATGTGACAACTCAAAGGTCGGCTGCAGGTCCTTGCACAAGCTTTCACCCTGCTCATCCTGACCCATACTGAAGGCAACAGCTGCTAGCCTTGTTTCGAGACGAGTTGAGTAGATTTATTCTTTTGGGCGAGTTGGGGAGATCTGGCACGGCTAAACTGAAGGAAACAGCCGCCAGCCAAACAGAAGCCCCGGTGCTACACTCATGTGCTCCCATTTGCCGATCTGCTCCTTTGCGGGCATCAGCTGTGCGGCCAGGATACTGGGTGGTGACCAGTGAGCGGTACGGGAAGAAGACCTATTCCAGGAAAAGCCGCTGGCGCAGTTCCAACTATGCAAACCGCAGCTTGGCACAAAGGAACTGTTGGTTGCATGGCCGGTTGCGGTTTCAATCGAGCCTTGTCAGAATTGACAGAGTTGTACACACAGCTGAGGTGCTCGTGAGCTTTAGGCCACTCCATGGCAATGAAGTGGAACATGCCCAACTCATACCCTCAGTGCAAGCATGCTGCCCGCTGCAGCTGAGGGATAATTTTCATTCACGGAGCGGCCGATTGCAAAAGACAAGGCTCTCAGATAGACAGCCTTCTCGCCCAGCTCCTGGGAACCAGCACTCTACGCAGAAAGTGCGGCAGTGTGACCCGTGTCAGCGTTAGACTCCGAGCAGCACTTTCTGGAACATTTTCTCTTGCTACATTCCTGACTGCTTCTCCAAGTCTGTAGACACCGCTCGCGGCCCACTGATGCTGGCATAAGGCTCTGTCGAACTGCACATCATCTGGCACGGCATGGAATACTCAGCTGCGACTGCTACTTCCGCAGCTCCCGTACTCTGCCAAGCCTCCCCCCCCCCCCCACCCGGAAACCTCAACATTTCCCACCACGTTCCCTGACTGTTTCTGGAAGCCGGCACCATCCGTCTGGGCCCCCCCCCCCCCCACCTATTGGACGCCTTTGCACGTGCTCGCTTCCATCATCACCCGGCGAAACCGTCTCGCTTTCTGATGTAGAGCGAACAAACAAACGAGGTGCCGAAGTCCTCTCCGCAACACCATAAAGCCTTGCTGGTGATGGATACCGCCTGCAGAACAAGCAGAAGTTTAAGTCGCAATTTGCTCAATCTTCAACGTAGCCAATCGTAGCCAACCAAGAGGCCAGCCTGCGCCATGAATGTGTTCCGCCAGGCCAGCAAGGAGCCTTCACTCACATCGCAGCTCAACGAAACCCTGCAAGCACTCTCCGACCCTTGGAGCTAGTAACATGTTTACGTTGGGCTGGGCAGGCGAGAAGGCCCAAAGGCACAGAGATGCACAGGGCGTGCCTGCCCAATGCAGCAGTGCATTCTCTGGCTGCCGGCCCAGGCTTGCGATCAGGATGTTGCCAGCATGCTTCATGTCCTCGGCACGGCATTGCGGACTGGCATCTCTTGACTACACTGACTACACGTGACTACACCCTACGTACAGGCGGACTCTGCCCTTTTCGAACTTTCTGAAATGACAGCTGTCCGCTTTGCGACCTACTTCCGGGAGCGCTCCCGAAGCAGGCTTGGGCATGTTGGATCCGTTAGGGCCTTGAGGGAAGCCTGTTGAACTCGGCAGGACCTCTGACCTCTTGATGTCTCACGGCTTGTGAGCTCATGAGTGGCTCACGCCATCAAAACTTCGACTTTAGACTCATCTCGGTATTCACACTCGCCGACTGCATCATGCTTGCGGTCAAACTTGACATTGCCGCATGGAGTTGCATCCACCTTGATCGGACCCGTGCTATGACTTTTCTGCGAGTGCTCGCGGCAGATCTGCGCACACTGCTGCTTCTCGTCTGCAGAAGGCTCACTGGTGCACTCGAGAATGACATAGCACGAGGAGGAGTCTGTAAGATGGAAAAACCAATGCTTCTTTTTCGCAGAGGCGAGAATACTCCAATTATCAGCCGCATCACGGCCCACAAGGACCCGGCAATCACCCACGACGCTAGGATGCCCTTCCTTGCCTTTGCTTCTCTTGCCCTTCTTGATCTCCTTGATCTCCTTGGAGGTCTCCTTGGGATTGGAGGCCTTGGGTTCAGGTTCCGAGCGGCTTCTGGAGTAACCACCCTGCGGCCGTTGCGACGGTTGCGATGGCTGCGGCAGCTGTTCCCGCACTTCCTCCGGCACCTCGTCGGCGCGCGCTTCTCGGACCTCAATTGCCTCCGGCTTCAAATCCCCATTGCCCGTCTCATTCAGTTTAAGCCGAAAGGATACGAAGAGCTCCCCGCGATCCTTCACCGCATCTGGGCCCGAGCCACTGGCAATGCGACTCAGCGTCACTTCTTCCACTGCCTCTTTGCGCAGAAACACATCCTTGCCATACAGAGCTTGAACTGATGGAGATTCCAAGAAACCAAATCCCCGTGCATAGTTGTAGCTCTTCACACGACCAAAGAATATTTGCTCCTCGCTGCTTGCAGCACTGTCCATGGCTCCACGCACGCTGCCTACTTAGTTAGCCCCTTTCCCATTGTAGCTGATTCAAAAGGCTGCACAGAATGTACCTTGGTCAGCCAACGAGTTTTTGCGGAGCAATCAACGAGGACGTAAGCCCAAAACAGAGCCTGAAGCTTTCGACAGACATTCCCAATGTTCTATTCGCCTGCACCTTTCTCTATGCCAATTACTCGACCTCTTGAACATCTCAGCCAAGTAACAGGCTCCAAGTCCAAGTGGTACATGGCCAGAAGGATCGCTGCAGGAGTGGCCCGGGCACCCAAGGCACGCTCCACACACTCGAAGAGATACGTCTTGCCCCTCTCTCTGTGCATGCAAAAGCCCGCCAAACGAATGAGCGGTACTAGGCTGCTGGGAATCAACGAGGTCGCCATGTAGAAAAAGCCCAAACCAAAAAGAATCCGTCCTCTCAAATCCTCGTACGTCAAGACGCACTCCACATCAAGGGCACAGCTTTGAAGTGCGCTTTCGCTTTCCAGGCTCTGTTCCAGGCGAAAGTACGCGTACCAGGATTGGCGCAGGTTGTACAAAGCACGCAGACGCTGGCCCAGCATGACTTGTAGCAAGCTGCGCATCAGCAAGATTTCCGCTGCAAGTAGCTCATGCGCCAGGGACGTGGAAGAGTTCTCACGCAGCGTCTCGGCCACCTTTATCATTTCCAGAGTCGCAAGAGCGTCACTCTTCCGGCCGGTGAGGATCGTTCGCAAAAGTGAGCACTCAGCATAAGCTGCAGCATGCCACAAAACTGTTGCCCTCCAAGGGTCCAGCAGCACGCGTGCTGCCTGCAAATCATAGTTCCACATTAGTTCCATTGCCTTCCGGTAGGCCAGCTTTGGACCCAGGCCGTGTACGACCTCATGGAAAACAGAAGCTTGAGATTGCCTGGCCTTTGATGTTGAGCTGCTGCTGCCAGGTGAGATGTCTGTGCTTTCAGTCAGCTCTTCGGGAACCGGAGCAGACCACTCTGACGTTCGAGAAGCTATTCGCGCCAAAGTTGTCTCTGGTTCGCGGCTTTTGGAATACGGCATGAATTGAGGACCTATTGGAGGTATCTCTGGCATCGTTGGAGAAGCAGGCAAATCCGGCAAGGTTTCTGCAATCGGCTTCTTCTTGCGGCTAAGTATGAACGCAACGAAGGAGGCCATCTCTTCAGACGTGCCGTTGATGAGGATGGGACTCTTGCCCGGTCGAACAAGCTGGAGCGTCTTTGAGATGGAAACCTGCACAAAGATAGACAGAGATAAAGGAGAGAGTACATTCCCCGAAATGCATCCAAACACACTTGCCATCTGCGCCTTCGAGGGTGCGACCTGCGCCTTCGGCCAAGGCTCAAGTTGGTCATGCTCTCGACCTCGAACTTCAAACGAAGCAGCAACAGAGCGTGTACAGTGTACCGATTTCTTAGATTTCTTGTTGCCTGCGGCTGGCTGCTGGGAAATTCCAAGAAGGAGCATTTTGCTCAGAAGCGCAGGAAGATCCCTAGCAATGACCACTTGTCCCGCGCGTGGCTTTCAGAAAAGCGACCGAGGGCGCACTCGGTGAGGGCAACTCTTCCTCTTGGCACTGTGGCCTCTTTGCTTGCATAGTACACAAGCTCGTCCTCATTGTGACGCTGCCAGAGCATAATGGGAGTGGCACTTACCAAGCAAGCAAAAAAACAAATGAAATTGCGGCAAGGTCTCTCTCTCGACCTGACAGGCTGAAGGCGGCTACAGACATGACTGACACTACAGACTCTCTCGATACAACCTGCAGAACTGACTTTAGACAGGCCTGGCACCACCGCGTGACAGTTCGTCCAAGCCAGCACCCGCGCTTCGTAAGAAGCCGGCGTTGCCTGAATGCACTTCGCTAGAGCACCCGCGGAAGCACTCGCTGGAAGCACTTCCTCAGCGCAATGCAGCCAAGAAGCTTGAAAGCGAAGCTGCCTTGCGTTGCTTCATCACCCATGGCGCGGCTTCAGACCGGCATGCCAAGGCCAAGGCGCCAAGATACTTGAAGTTAAATGGCCCGACTTTTTTGGCCCTCAAACAATATGCACCATTCTATTTCTGGCGTTCTCCATCTTAGGCTCAGCTTCGCAACCAACCATGTCTGACAGTGTGGGGCTTGATATAAAACATAGCTCCAGGTGCAGTGAGTGCCCTGCTCGTGTCCCAAGCTCTTAACTTGCAGCTGTAGTTGCAGCTGTAGAAGCGGAAAATGTGCTTGGGGACATGCTGTTGACGGCCTGTTCATGCAAGTTTTTGTTAAGCATGCCGTCTGGCTTGGTGGTTTTTGGCCTCTCCACACCTCTACGGCAACACCCAAATCGGGATCCTCGCTCGCCAAGCGCAGGGCTTGGTACAAAACCGGGCGAGCCTTGTTCGCAACCGTTCTGTGTCAGGACTTATTACGATTCGCCGACGTTCGCCTGTGAACCACACATCAACAATCAGAATTCTATCATGAATGATCATTGCGGAGATCTCGGCCACTTCGGCAGCAACGTCTCACTTTGGCAGCCGTGCGACACATGCTGGCTTGCTGCTGACTCGCTGCCCACATCCTTTGCTTGACCCGTTGGTGTGCCCCATTTCGCTGCATGCCTGCCGCCTGCCCTTGCCTAAACCTCGCAAACGAATGCTGCAGACACATGTCTATTGTGGGGCGAACACTGTCGCTTTTCGCCCACTGCCACGTGTACGATTCCACGCCACGTCTTCTCCAGAACAGTTCATGTCCATACTTCGACCGTGTCCCGCACATAGCCCTTTGTGGGCAGCTCTCTCCCACGTGGCGGTGGGCATTCTTGTCATGTTGATGTTCAATCGCTCTTGTCTTCTCCTCCTATTCTCCCCACTTAGGCTTGAGGTTTTGGGGCGTTTTCGATGGTTCGGACTCAGTCCAAGTTGCACATGAGGAGATGTATGTGACGACTCTCTGGCTCCGCAAAACTACCGATGACCCAACGCTCCGACAATGGCACTGTTCGGAGGCGCCTACCAGGAGCAGCATCCTTTCTTCGTCTCAGCAGGTACCGTCGATACCTCAGAAGGGATTGGGTACCGCAGCATGACACCAGATGCCACAGAGATGCCACATCTACAAAAAAACCAAATTGGGCGATTGTAAGGCATTGTAAGGCTTGCGCAAAGCATAGACCACACCAAAGCAAGCCAACCAAACGGGGGCTTGGAAGCGCCTTGCAACTTGCGGGCATTTTTATTTTACTCAGAATTCAGCTCGACATTCCGAGCAGACATTGCCTCACAAGTATTGCATTCATGCCCAGGCCATGCAGACCAGGACTACATAAACAAATTGAATTGGTCGATGTGGGTCTTCCCTCGATCTTATCTGGCTGTTCGTCTTTTGAGTGGGTTGTGGAAGGAACTGCTTTCCTCAAGAAACTCAAGAAGTTGCAAGTCCGCATGTGTGGGCAAGACTCTTGCCGCAAGAGGCGATCCCTACCGCACTGCTGACGGGGCGGTATCCTAGCCATGTTCTCGCGATGCTACAGTGCTACATCTGTGAAGTACTGGGGAAATAGAGCCGAGACAGAGCAAGGGCGTGAAACACCAAGGGTTGGTTTGACCTCGGCCTCCGCTCAAGGCTGATTTGCGACCGAACGTTCGAACTTGTGCACTGCGCCGGCTGTTTCTAACACGAGGTCACGAGGTCTGAAAGCATCAAAAATCAAAAATATTCTGAGAACGCATTCCATGGTCAGCCTCCGAATCGCACAAGAGACTAGGGCAAGCTAGCCAGGCTAAACTTGGCATGCTGCGAGGTAGGATACGGTGTGCCATTGCGCAAGGCCGACCCTAAGAGGCCTGTCAAGTGTTCACCGGCACAGGCTTCCAAGAAGCTGCCAGCGCACTTTGGACAAGGCATGGTCAGGTGCGGGGTAGTCATTGAGTGTCATTGTGTTCGATTGAATTCAGAACGAATTCTTGCTGCCCGGACTGCACAGCCTCACTGAGCGCTCACGGAGCTGGCCTCGAGACAACGAAAGACTTGATCAAGCAATGCAGCAAAGCGAAGACTGTGAGTTGTGATGACGGACCTGCCAGTGACCTGTGCAAGCAGCGGCTCCATCCACTCCTTGCGGAATTCCAGATCAAAAATCCCATCTCAAATTGTGCTGCTGGCTAGAACAGAGGACCCAGCTTGATCAAAGCAACTGGAAGCTCCGCCTGGCGCTTGAGAAAACTCGATTCGCTCCCATTGCAAACATGCTGAGAACCGCAAGAGCGCCTGCAGCCGCCTGCACTCGCTTTGCAATCACTTTGCAGTGTCAAATGCTCGCAATCGACTTAGTCGACTTCCCCCAATCCGGTTAAGGCGACTGTTCTCAAGGCAGCTCTGAAGGCAGCTCAAGGCATGTCAAGGCCTGGCTGCGAAGCTTTGCTGCTGCTTGACGCCAGCGCTGGCGCGGTGCCTACTGAGGCAGGACACTTTTTGAGATTGAGACTCCACAGTTTCCGCATAGGTCTGCAAATCCACCGGGCCTTGCCAACCTGCGCACTGCACGCACTGCACGCACTGCACGCACTGCACACACTGCACGCATGCATGGACTCCACGAAACTCTTGCTTTGTGACAGCGCCTCCAGTTCAACTGGGCATCTGCCCAGAGCGGCAAGCTTCCCAGGATGTCGCAGCAGCTGCAGCCTCAAAATTGAGCAGAAGCACGACCGTCCAAGGCCCCAAGACGCTGAGTCAAGATTCTGCCAGGCACAGTACGCACAGTGTCAAGCCTAAGCTCGTGTGCACTGAGACTAAGCCCGCGGCACGAACTCTAAAACCTCACGGACGGCAGTGGCTTCAGACGACGCAAGTTCCCAAGTAGGGCAACAAAACTTGTCCAAAATCTTCACCCAGCATGCATGTGGTGACTCAGTGGTGAAGCTTGCAGTTTGCGAACAACGGAACGACCACGCTACGGGGGAGAAGTCCACAGACGCGATCATAGAGGTCAGAAAGATGGGATTTGTCAACTGCGCAGGAACGTTAACCACAGTAACAGGATCACAGCGTTCCTTCAAGGCCTAAGAATTGCCGGCGCCACCGCCATGCCCAAACCCCTTTGCACGGACGTCGAATCTTAAGCCAGCGAAAGTGGAGACGAGGAAGCATGAGCGAGCGAGAGAGAGAGAGAGAGAGAGAGAGAGAAAGATAGAGAGAGTGACAGGGACAGCAAGAGATCTTCACCAGGCCCTGTCAAAGACAGACAAGACTATGTAGAGGAAGAGGCGTTATGGAACAGCCAGACCTGCCGCTGAAGCTTGCTGTGCATGACAATTGTCAGAACAAGCACAGCAACTTTAAAGGATGTCACTACTCAAGGTGCGTGAAGCAATGCAATGGCCATTCAGAAGGAAACGCAACCTCCCACGTGCCCTGAGCAGAGCACATAAATGCCACAATCGGAGAAGTTGGACTGCTGCGGAACATTGATTGTCACAGCCTCTACGTGTCATGCGCTTTGCATCTCTCTCTTACTATAGATTCTGACCACAGGTGCCAAACAAAAGTGGAAGCCTGCACGCGTTGCTCATCAAAGCAACTGCCCAGGGGACCAGCACAATCCATCCATTCTGATCTCAGGTATTGCTTCAGCTTCTGCAATGCGACCACCTGCCAAGGTTGCACTGCCGCTGCTCCCAGTGCATTGACGGCGGCCTCGTGCTTTTCGTTGGCGGGGGAGCGCAAAGAATCCAGGAAAGCAACGGTGGTCATCAACTGGAGATCCTGGCACGCCCTATCCATAGCAATGGATGTGCACAATTTGGTCAGCCAGTCAGGCTCCTCATAGATGTCAACAGCTGCCCATGGTCTGCAGACCTTAGCCCGTTCTTGCAGCACTCGACGTCCACAGTGCCCAGCTGGGGAAAATCAAGCAATTCGGCTCTGATTCATGCAGTGCCAGGAAAACGACCACGGCGAGAGACCAGTGGCGCTCGGCCTTATGAATCTGCCATTGGGGGGTCATAGTGGAGCAGAGGAGGAAAAGGCGCTGAAGGGTTCAGGCCTTGAAGCTACTGAGATGAAGTTTGAGTGTGTTCGTGATCTTGGGCGCGCACTTCATGGTGCAAAGGCAATAGCAAGTAGTCACAAGCAAAGATTCCTGCCACGCCAGAGTAAATGTGGAGTGGATGTCCTAGACCATATGGGCCATGACACACTCCGCTCTATTGGGGGTCGATGCATGTTCAAAACTGGAAGGTCTGACAACCCTTTCGGTCACAAATTTTGCAAACTTAAGATGCGAAGTTGGACACACCTGTAGGATGTCGTCGGCGAACACCACGTGTCCAAGTGCGAACCTGGAGTAAGTTATGTGCTGCTGCACGTCCCGTCTGGCTGCAACTTGTAACTTTAGTTCCCCACTCTTGTCCATCCGTGATCGCTTTCACCAGGCCTAGGCTTCAAGTGCTCACCAGGCCTAGCTCATCGTTTGGATCCCTAAGCTTGTCAGGCAGCAACTCCATCTCCAGATGTGGGCCCGCCTCACCAGTGGCCACGGCTTAGGACACCCCGCGGTTGCGACCAACACATTCTGTCGCTTGCGCTGCACGTTTGGGCACACAGACCATGCGCAATGGGCTCGGGGCAGCCAAACTTGCAGTCTGAGAGGAAAATGGACAGCATGGTGCTCCATACAAGTATTCTGGATGCACTCTTAAGCGAGTAGATTGGCTCCGATGCCGACAATACCAGTGCTTGTCGAATCATCTGTTTGAGCACCACTGTCAGACTGCGAGCTCGGCCGGAAAACCGCGCACAAGAAGACCCTGGCGCCGCTGCTTCACGGCGCAGGTCGAGTCTAGTCGACGGCAATACCACCAGCTCCCATGAGGGATGCCGACACAGTCGCGGGAAGCATGCCACCCACACTTGTGGCATTGGTCACATCCGTCCCTTCGGAGGCAGTCTCCGTGAGCTCATATCCGGAATCCTGTGGAAAGAACCCCCGCAGCAGACTTGGGCAACAATGGCATCGCAATGGAAGCAGCTCGAGCCTGCAAAGGACGAGCCACCGGCCCTCAGAGAAGTCAGCCGGAAGGAGTAGGAAGCACTACGAGAGTGGATTGAGGCTTCGACCGTTCTTGTGCTTCCATCCGAAAATGCCACCACCTGGCTCACCGCATTGCTTGCGAATGTACTGGACGCTGAGATACTGAAAGCATGTGCCATGTGCCGTTCACATCGATCCAAGTGGCGTAGGCGCCGCAATCGCTCCACCTTGATGGTCTGGTGCCCAGCTCGCAAAAGCCAGCGACAGAAGGCACGACATCTTGAGAAGGGTGTGGCCACTTCACCTTAGGACGGGCTTCCAGATGAGAAATTGAGGTTTCAGTTGCTGGTGAAGACAGGAAGCTGTACACAATGATTGGCTTGGTTCTGTGCTTCCTTGGCTTTCAACTAACTTGGAACCTTGCAGGTGCACATGACATGGCACGCTCAAGCAAGCATATGCACCAACTCCACCATAATCTTCACCCCAATGCTTTTCATGTGTCAGCAGCTTATGTATCAACTGGTCATCAGCAGACATGAACACGTTCACGAGGCCATAATCCTTGGCAGGAGGGCCGTGGCATGCTCACCTTACTAGAAGTACTAGAAGGGCAGCTGCACCTGCGCTAAGGCTCGATGATTTCAGGCAGAGGAGTACAGTAGGCATCTGCAATGTGTCCGGCCACAAAGTCCCGCCGATCGCGCACATCGATGAAAATCACCCCCTCCTCGTCCTTGTGTAGGCGCTTTGCCGTCTCCAGACCGATCCACTTCACCTCCTCAACATCCTTGTCAGACCAACTACAGAAACAAGGGCCTAAGGCTGTAATTGCTGCCATGCTGCTGCCAAGGCTCCCCTCCAAGCCCATCTGAAATCCACATGGCACCATAATCATCAAACTGCTGACCCTCAAATTCTGCAACCTGCTTTTCGATCTCTGGGACGGTTGCTTCCCACCACCACTGAAAAAGCTCGTCTTCTTCCTCCTCGTCAAAAAGCACCTCGGCAAGAACATGCTGCTGGCAGGAGGTAAAGCCAGTGAAGCCAGTGGAGCCCCAGCCTTCTCCTCCATGTCAGGAGTGAGCTTGCCGAGGATCCTGGTCTTGACTCTGGCTTTGCACTCTCTGCACCGCCATCCACTACGACTCCACAACTTTGAGTCAGGCGTAAGGACCGCTCCAGAGCAAGCGCCGCTGCTGTCTCGTGTCCATCAGCGTTTCGAAAGCTCCGTAGACTTTTCCTTGCAGATCGTTTTGAAGCACAGAGGGCACCCTCACAATTCCATCTCTGTTATATGCAAGCATGGCTGCGGAATGCATCTGCCGATTGCGGATGCTTGTTCCTGGTTGGAGTGTTTGCACAGCTCCCGAGCATTCCAAGCGCATAAGAGACATCAGATCATCATCTACAGGTGCAGGTGGCACGCAGCCAAGCAACTTGTCGGGGTGCACTGCAAGCGATATCTTCCTGTAGGCCTTCTTGAGAATGCTCAGGTCTGTAATGAGCTGCGGAGGAAGATCCAACACTTCGAAGTCATTGCGCGATTCGAGAACTCCTCAGTTCAACAATTCTCTGCTGCAAAGCAACACTGCACACACTGGACCTTCGACATCACTGAGTTGACAGCTTAGCTTCTCTCTATCGCCTTGTCATACCAGTACTGTGGATCCAACCTGACTTCGTACAGCTTGCGCTTCGCCTCCCCAGCTCCAAGCAAAACGATCTCGTCGCCGTTGCCCACCTGATCCCGCTCGATCCTGCGCAAGCTTCGCTTGGCTCTCTGTGACTCTGTGCAGGGAGGGACTGGAGGGAAGCTATACAATCAGCCCTTCTGGCCAAGCCACTGATCCGGGTGGAGTTCAATATTGTCCTCAGTGGAGGCGTGCGGCACTCATGGCAAGTCTGTCACCAGCGAGCACTGCCGCCGCAGTGCCATGCAACGCAGCACCCCCCCCACGAGAGGTCCTCCTTCAGCAGCAAGAGTGTGGCTCCCTCGGATTGCAGGCCTACGCTCTTGTCGCTGAGGATCACGACTTTCCTGAGTTTGCAGGAAACCTCACTACGCACAAGCAGAAACAAGCATCCTTCTCAGGGCCTCATCTTGGAGCCAAGCCACACAGAGTACCGGCCGCTTGCAGGATCGAAGCCCATAATCGCCCCGTTCTTGCCATTGTACTTCTGATAATCCTCCCTTTTGAGGGAAAGGATGCGCACCTTCTTTCCTTATTCCAAGCTCCGAAAACTCCGCAATCAGTCACAGACTGAGGCCATCTAAAGTCGGGCATCCCGTGGCAATCTTCTGCTGGAAGCCTCCTTGTGGACCTCGTTCTTTGGAGCGTTCCGAAGAAGTGTCGTCCTCTTTCTTGCTACTGATGCTCTGCTTGCGCAGGAGCTCCTGGGGATCAGCGCATAGCTTTCAAGGACCAGCTGTTTTGCAAGTCGTTTGGCTGCTTCTAACACTCCAGCCTTCTGGCCAAGCCGGACAGTGACCTCAGAACTCCCCTTCCATCTGTACGCCAAAAGATGCTGAGTGCCCTTAGGCCGCCAAGGCCGCCGCCCAACCCGATTCGGGGCCTTGTCCTTGGAGTCGCCGGTAGCAAAGCCTCTCGCCCAAGACATCCAGCTCCTCAGGCGAAGATGCGCAGGTACAAGTGGTGCATGTGAGGGGATGTGAGAGCATGCAAAGCGTCCGAGTGTCCTCCACCAGGGCGCCAGTGGAGAGCCGCTCGCCACATTGCAGCGAGCTGAGTTCTGGCCCCTGGCGAACAATGATACCACCTGAAGGCCATCGGATTTGTCACAATTTGTCACAATGCGTACACCTGGTCTGTTTCCTCACCGAGACGCGTCAACACAAAAACATGCACTCAAATACACACATACAAGATGCCTAAATCACCACCGCCCACGACTTCCCAGACACTGGCGGGTGCCATGGCCGATTGTGTGCTTCATAGCATAACTATGTGTCAACACCACCAAGGCAAGCCCACTGGGTAGCGTCGAAAAGTGGGTGCAACTGAAGGTGGTGCTCGTGGTTGCCATTCTTGCTGCCATACATGTTCTGCCTTGTCATTGCTCAGGTGTGGCTCGACTACCGGATGGCCTCACGCAACTCGAGAAGATGCCAACGTACTGCTGCTAATCTGTTACCTGCAAGCGGTCTTTGAAGCTGAAATGCTGCGAAATGCGGCAAGAAATGAACCAAACATGGGCGGCAGCAAGGCCCCAAGGCATGACGAGGAATGCACTGGCCAATCTGGATGGGTCCCACAAGTCCATTGCTTTGGCAGGGCCAGGCACGAGCTGTTGAGATCGTCTGCTGTCCAGTGAACAGTCCAATCAATCAGAGCCTTCACCTTGCAGGGGAACTGACATGATCGTGTCATGCAGAAAGCACTGGCCACAGGGATGTGCCAGGAGGCTTGCTGGGCTTGAACGCGGCCTTGGTCATCGTCACTGTCGGAATCTCCCTCACCGATTTGGGCTGCGCCTGTCGGAGAAAGCCCTTCTGTGGTGACCACGCCAGTGGCCACAGTAAGCAACCCCCCATGACATCAAAGAAGGCCTGGCCTTGCCAGTGGCTTGCAGCACTTGCTGTGTAGCCGGTGTAACCCATCTGCATACTCAAACGGAGTAATGTGGATGGTGCTAGCAAATATTTCTCGGCCTCGGCACGACCAGCAACTCTTCCAGCGCGCAAGCCAACAGTTCAACAATGTCGAAAATGTGCTACGCCCAATGCGGGAAAAGTAGAAATACGCCGGGCTTTGCATGAGCTGCTCTTCGACTCCACTGCTATGCACCCCGCTCCACGACTACGGACGGCCACATTAACAAAGCGGTGGCCACAAGGCGAGGGTGAATTCACAGTCTTGTCACTCCTGTACCCTGAACCCTCACAACCTGAGCTCTGACAGCTCTGAACCCTAGGAAGTTGAGAACTGGAGGGAACTTGGGGTTGAGGGTTGACGGGCGTTGGGGACTTAAGTTTTGAGGTTCAGGGCTAGAAGCTGAAAGGAGGTTGTGAGCCTCGGACAGTTTGTGTACATCGTGGGCCTTCTGGTTGGGAGAAGGTTTTTGAATGTTAGGAATGGCTTCGGGGTTGTGGGGGGATTCCGAAGCCATTTTCAGGCCCCAAAGGAAAATCAGAAAAATAGGCTCATTTTCTTAAATCAAAGAAAATGAGTCCGCCCTTTTCTTATTTTCCTTTTGGGCCTCAAAAGGATTCTCTCTAGAATTGGAAGGCTTGGGGAAGGGTTTGAACGTTGAGAATGGTTTTGGGACTGTTTGGAGGGTTGGGGCAGTTCTGGGATGGTTGGGCGGGGTTTCAAGAGCCATATTCAGGTGCTTCCCTGAAGATTGGATTCGCTTATCTGCTGATAGTTGGGCCTCCTGGGAGGGCTTTTGAATATTGAGTAGGGTTTTGGGACTGTTTGTTTGGAGGGTGTGCAGGTCTGGGAGGATTTGGGAGGGGTTTCCGGAGCCGTTTTCAAGCCTAAGAAAATGAGAGGCCTTTTCCTGTTTCAGTCTCCGGCCTGGCGGGCGTTCCCACTAGACTTGCCCAAACTCTCCAAAACCCACACCTAATTAAGAAATCTAGTACCAAAGGGTGTCTTAATTTAGTCTTGGCTTGCTTCAGCCCTGCAATACAGGATTTAAGAAATAACACATTTATTAAGAAACTTGCGAAGAAATAAGGTGTCCTCTAAGTCTGAGGCCGTGTTCCTGAAAAAATGAGTGCCTTAACTTTAAGAATCCAGGGTACCCTCACCTGGAATTATCGCTCTTACCCAGCACTGTCACTGTAGCCCGATAAGGCGTCCGATGCATGAGCATAGTTTGCGACAGTGAGGACTCATGGAGACAGCTTCTGAGACTCACTAACTGGGAAAGACCGAACATACTCGGGTCTCGTAGCAACATGCCTTGAGCCCGGAGTATCGCTGCGAGGCTGCTTTGTACGACGCTGCTTGACGTCACCCCGAAATTTTTACCAACTGCAAGCCCAACATTAAGCCGAGCTTCGCTGTGCGACGGGACTTCTGATGACAAGTCCAAGGCAGTTGTCCTCTGCAGAGACCCAATAGGATCCGGAGGCCCCGAGAGGCCAAGAGCATTATCGGCCGATACATCCATGGACGACAGCCAGGCGTGAGCTGCTTCACCCAGTCGGAAATAGTTTCGAAGAACGCTATCCTGCACGGAAGCAAAGAACTGGCAATTTGTTCGCTGCATTTCGCAGTGGCTTCCGGCGAGTCCTTCTGGGAGTACAGCACGTCAACCTGCTCTGCTGCCAGCCTGCATACGTACCCCCTGCCTCAAAGATAAACGAACAAAAACAGAACCATAAACTACAAACTTCAGTGGCATGAAACATGCTTACTTAGTATACAAGTGTGAGAGTGCCTAGCGGAAGCAGCAAAACCAACTATTAAACTACAATTACCCAGCGGGGAACACATGTCGACTTTCCGTGTCCCTGATTCCCAACAGGCGCACAACAAACGAGGCTCCGCCTTGCCTAGTTTCTATTGGTAAAGCATTGCCATGCCTAGTTGGCCTAGCTTCTGTTGGTAGCATGGCATTGCCCGACCCCAATCATCATCGTGCCAGGGGCACAAACAATCAAAATCCTCCTGGCCACATGCAAGAAGCATTTGCCGGTCAAATTCCGCACCAGGCTGCAAGGAGTCCCGTGCTACTGCGGCACCAAGAAGCGCAAGATACCTCAAAGTCAAGCTCGTTTCAAGTTCAGCCATCCACATCCCACTGTTGCTCCCTGTGATGTTCGGCGTCTCCGACAACATCTACTGGACACTACATAGATCGCAAAGTCTATGCTGCAAGGTGTTCGTGTGAGGTGAGGTTGAGTTGCGAAGTGCCAAAAAAAAGTATGCACAAACACGTCATGCGACGTGTCTCGGCAGCATGTTCCACTATAGCATGTTTCTTGATGAAAGTGCGGCCCAGAAGCCTTTAACTCTGTTCATAAGACAATTGAGTGCAACTGACAAAGTGTGCGCGCTTGGGAGGTGGCCGTGGACTCGAGATCGCATCTGTGCTGCAAGTGCCGACCCATCAGACAAACGAACAAAGACAAGCCGACAAGCCGACAAGCCGACAAGCCTCTGAGTCAAAGCCAAGCTGAAGCCAAGCTGCCGAATCTTTGCTTGGCTGTCCCGCAGCGCGGCCAATACTACCCGGCATCCCAGACTATGAGCCAGAACGACCACAGAGCAGCGCAAGTCCGAGAGGAGCTGCAGCAGCATCCCAAGCCGATGAGCTGCTTCCGTCGTTTTCGTGCCTGAGAGGGAGGCAGACAGCTTCTACCTGATGCCCAGCCTGCCATGCCTGCCGAAACTTCTGCCACATGCAGCGCAAGTCGACTGGGCCGTCGGCGGGCCTTGGTGTATGATTGCTTCCCTTTGTGCGACGGCCAAGCGAAGGCCAGCACCGTGCGGTCGTGCAGGATGTCAAGTTTGCGCAGTGCCCGGCAGGCTTTCACAACACGGAGGGTGTTATACCGGAACCCATGCCTAGGCTGCAGCAACGACGACAAGCCACAATGCCACAAAGCATTTCCACGCCCCGAAGAGGCCAGTACATAACAAACTTGTGAGCGCATCCACGGCGCACGAAAATCACCACTTCCCGCTGCTGCAAAGGTTTCGGAAAGCATGGCAAGTCATGCTTGGGATCGTTTGGCTCGGGGATCCTCAACTCATAGATCACAGAGCGGCATCATGCGGCATCAGCTGGTGTTGGGCATGGAGAAGCTCCGCTGCAGCTTAGACTCAGCCAGCAGCGCGTCGCGTATGGCAGAAAGACGTCTCCAAGGGCAGGGCAATTGACGACGGCCGCCGGCCCACAGAGCTGACTTTCCTCTTCAACGACACTGAGATATACCGCAACACAAACTGACAGAAAGGCAAAGGATGGTGCAACCGGAGAGCAGCCGCGGCTGCCTGAAGAACATCTGGCGACACGTGAAGAAAGGATTCGTGCCCTTCTCCTTGGCTCCGACTATTCGAAAACGGTGACCAGATGTGACCAGATCGCCCCCCAAGACCACGCTGCTGGGACACGTGCAATCTCAGAATCTCGAAAGTTCAATGACAAGCTGCTCAGGAGTCGTTTGCACGCCTGTCCCTTGTCACAGAAAGGGCGACAGTCTGGCATGTAGAGGACAAACCTGGCCACGTGCTACCACGTGCTATCAGGCTCAGCATCCGTCAGATTCCTCCGGAGGTGCACGGACCCATGCCGACAGAAAAATGCAGGACGTGGTACGTGCCTTGCAGCGAATTTCGACATGGACTCCAGCTCGCGACAGCTGGCAATCCACAGCAACTCGTCGAAGACTGGGGGAGGTAAGCTTTGAACCTGCCAATACATCCCAGGACCCACATGGTTCTTGACTCGTGGAGACTTCTTTTTCGGCTCGCGGCACTTCCTCGGCCTCGGCTGCCAGCTCTGACGACATTGCGGCAGGAGCTTGTTGGCCCATTCCGACGGAGCACTCCACACCCTTCCTGGCTGGCACTCGGCTTCCGCAACGACAGCAACCAATGGATCGGTCCACACCGACGCCCGTGCATTCCAGAGAGACTGCGGCGCTTGAAGGCTCAGAAAGTTTTTTTGGTGCAGGTTCAGGGCTTGAGGCTTAGGTGGGGCATGGTGGGGTTTTGCATGGCTTAGCTTTTTGAGAGGTGGACATGGTGATGGCTCGAGCCATTCTCAGCTGCGGCACGCATCCAGAACACGCGATCAATCAAGAACAGGAAGCTGCTGGCAAAGCACCGGCACAGCTATAGCTAGCCCGCCAGCATCGCGAAGAAGTGGGAGCTGAAAGTGTGGACTCGCCTTAGCAAACACCAAACGGCCTTCGAAGAGTCTTGTAAAGTCCTTGCGCTTTCGCTTGTGCTTTCTGCTTTCGCACTCTGAGGGACAGAGCCACCCACCGAGAACTTGAACCTCGATGCAAGACTCAGTGAAATCCATATGCCTAACACAAGACAGAAGCAGAAGCACAATAACAGAGGCACGAAAAAAAGGAAACCAATCAAGCGATGCTCTCGTGCACAGAGCGATGGGCAAGCCGATTCATAAAGAAGTCCAGCAGGGAGTCGTTGATGTGCTGACCATCTTCGAGTCTGACCTCTCAGAGAGAAAGGCGCCCCCTTCGGCCCCCCCCCCCCGCCCTCCGCCCCTCGAAACTCTATGAACGACCCCACAACTATTGTTCACATCTCGAGGGGCACATGAATGAAATGCTCAATGTTTGCAATCCGACACAAAAAGAAGCTGCCGCCCGGCCCAATCTGACGTGGAGAGCATCGCTGCGTGGCCTGATGGAAGCTCCGGGAGGCAACATGCAGACCGCAAGGCATTCAAAAAGGGCAAGAGCCATCGCATTCGGATCTGCGGACCGGCCCTGCCTCAGACAACAGGCACAACAAGTCAAGTCAGCCAACGCAGCAGCTTCAAAAAACGAAAACGCGAGCGTCATGCTGCCGCTTTGCCCTTTTATCCAACTCTCGAACCCGGCTTGGAGGCCCCCTGGCCTGGACATGCTGGGACAGCCGCGTTAGTAGACAGGTTGTCAGCCAAAGAAACAGCAGGACAAGTTGAACAACGCAGGCATCTACCCCAGCGACGAAAACGAAACGGACAGAGCAGAGGTCGCCTACAACCCTTTTACTGTGCTCAAGGCAAAGGCAATTTGCACATGTCCTTACATCCACTACACATCCATGATTGCCTGCACTTAAACTGTCAAGATTCGGCTGGGTGCTGCCTGCCATATCAACCACACGAAACGCACAAATGAGAAAGTTGGGAGCCCTCCCAACCATACAAGAGTTTCTCATCCAGCCCCGCACTCTGCAGCTCATCCTTCTGTGGGTGACGACTGCAACTGAATGCCTGTTTTTGCCAGCCCCTTTAAGCAACAGAAGCAACTGAGCACCGAACAACAGTAGACCAACTTGCCAGAATACCACGACCTGAAGTCACATCAGGTCAGCTAACCAGTCCAGTCAGGAAGAGAACTGGATGACTAGGCGTGGAACCCTTCTCCAGCTCTTCCCACAGCACTTGTAGTTCCTCCCATGCAAACAGCCGCTTTCATCCACCAGTAGCACTAGTAAGCTGGCCTTGGTCTGCTGCTCTGCTTCGAATTCTGCCGCTTGAAAGATCTCTGTGATGCTTGCTGGGCGTGGTCCACTTGTATCCTGGCCATCCAGCAGCGGCTTGGCATCAAAATGACAAGACGACGTCGTGACGACATGCCGTGATGCGCCTGACCGATTTCCCGCCGAAGGCTAGCCACGGCTGCACAAGCAGCCTGCAAAGGAACAGCATGGCTCCGACTGTGTCGAACACGGAGAGCTTTGCACTGTGCGACAACGATATTTCCTGAAACGCAAGTACGGCAGCGGCTACAGACAAGACTTCCTGCGCTCGAGTTTTTACAGACCCATTGCCTGGCTGCAAGCCGTGCGCACCCGACACCGGGCCTAGTCCGCACAGTCGCATCTTGGACAAGATGCGAGCGACTAGTAGGACAAAACAACGGCTGCAAGTGCCTCCATCAAGGCCAAGCGATTGGCCTGCTCCACCAAAGCCTGCGCAGCACCCAGCAAGGCATAACTCACTCAGAATTCACCAGCCTCCTTTGAACCTAAACAAAGGTTCCTTGCTGATGCACCTGGCGACCGCCTTCAATCTTTGAGCACTGGAAGCTGAAGCAATGCGCACGGAATAAGAGGGAGACCGTCACCACCCTTGCCCAACTCAAAGCTGCAAAAACGGTTCCAAAACTCTCCCACTAAACCACTTGCATCTTGCCTTCCTCGAATCCCTGCCATTCCCTGCCTCCTCGGCGCAGACTCTACATGCCGCAGCGGCCGCTACGGCAGCTGCGCATGTCACCGGCCTTACCGTCGGTGGGGTAGCAAGTGGCTCTGCGCATTTGTTGGCACATTTTGCTGAAAGATCCGACTTCCGACTCTTTCTTGCCCTAGTTCTGAACAGCGAGCGGGGGGATGACGTTGTCACGGCCACGTACCTGTGGAATCCGAGCTGGCCTGTCGATGCCTGTCGCCCCTGGGCTTGGTAACCGGCCTGCTCCTCAAGGAGGCCAAGTTTTTTTTCGGGATGATGACAGAACGAGAGAAGCAGCATCTGCAAATCAGTGTTTCGGTGCTGTGTCTGTGTTCTTGTGGTTGGCCCGTTTGTCTTTGCCAGGTTTGTTGTGACCCTGGTCGCTGACCTCCCGTTCTTCATGTGCATTGTGCCTCTTGTCAGAAAATTCAGCTTCTGAAAACTCGGGGAGGCATCCCTCGCCCCCCCCCCCCCGGAGGGAGAACAAAAAAAGACGAAGCAACAGATCGCTGCACGTGGCAAAGGTGGCATGCCAAAACATGCCAAAACCCTCACAACCAGCCCGAGAGGCTGGCATTTCCGCGAGCTTTGTGATTCATGTTTCCAATGCGAGCAAGTGATGCAACAGGATTTCAACTTCTGCACTGAGAAATCTCAGGATCCACGAAGCGCTGAAGCCTAAACCCATACCCTGCAAGCATCAGCAAGCCCACCCAGCAGCAAAGCATGCTTTCGGATGAGGACTGCACGACGCCACTGACAACTGCTCCGGCGTGTCGGGTCTGTTGACAGCTTCCTCCGGCAACGCCTTGAGAGCAAAGTGACAGACAGGCCTTTTGACACTGTCCAGTGCGGGTCACTGCTACTGCTACTGGTATTGAGATGCTGACCAGTGAGCAGCACCTTTGAACACCGTCAACCAGCAGTGTTCCAATTGCCGTACTGCCGCTGGCCCGGGCATAATCCAAAAGGTGAGAGATGGTGATCAACAGCTGCTTGGAAGGCACGTGTTCCAGCTGCGCTACCGTGTCTTGACCATGGCTGACGTCCAACTGCTTCACTTGGTCCAGCATGGCGCGGACCAAAAGTGAAACCTTGACAAAATCAGATGCGGAGTCGCCCACGGAGCGTTGGCCTTCCAGCTGTATGGCTACACCCAACTCGAGGAAAGCAGCGGCAGCCATCAACTTGCTGGCAATAGGTTTAGAGTGGTCGCCCCCGCCGGAAGACAATGACTCGGCAAGCCAGGCCAAGGGATGTGCGAGCGAGCTGCTGACACTGACACTGAGCGTGCTCAAGTAGTGCAACTGTTGCGCGAATGTCTGCCACATTCGCCCTGCTAGCATGCTTTGCGCGGTGCTGAACTCCCGCCTGTCTGTCACCTTAGTCAACACTCATCATCAACATCCCGGCCAAAGGCATCACGCAACATCAAATCAAGATTCATGGAAGTTCAGATAACCCCGGCCTGGCACACGTCTTGCAAGCTTTGGCCGGCATATTTCTCGGACTCATCCTGCAAGAAATCATGTGGGCCGGGTCGTGGCTTTCGTGCTGCGTTCCAGAATGACATATCAGATTAGCATCACACAAGCAGAGAGGTCCTGCCGACTCTTCGGATGCTCAGGATGTCTCTGCAGTTCATTCCCTGCACATGGTCTGTGAACTTGGTCGGCCTCGTCGGGCATGGAGCTGCCCATTCTGCCCCTCAGGGTGCCATGCCACGCACCCCCCAGTACTGTCGAAGCAGCTAACGGTGGAAGGTGTAGGGAGGCGACTTGTTACCATACGTATTGGGATAGATTGCGGAGACTCAGCACGCTGGCTCGCTAGCACCTGTTCCCGTCGCATTACTTACAGCTATGAAGCAACAACCCTCCGCTCAGAACGTACTGAAGCAGCACAACCGGGAAATACAACCTGACAAGCAGCGAATTGAATAGCAACGGGACATGCCCTTAAAGCACAGTATGTGTTCTCATGTGCGTTGCGATCTCTTCACGCCGTGAACTCCCAACACTAAAACTAATCGCTAATCTTGACATCATGCGCGCCAGACATCAACGGACAACGACCAGTACTTCTAAGACATGAGGGACTGCCCACCTGCTGGGACAGTCAGGGTCATCTGCTGTTGGCTCCTCCTTCTGAATGTCCACGTCCCTCTCAGCGCTGCCCAGGCTTCGTCTGCTCTGGCCACCACTCGCTTCACTTGCAGCATGGTCGGCAGACTCTTCACTTGCAGCACGGTCGGCAGACTCTGACTTGGGCTTCTTGGAAGTGATCTTCTCTGCCAAAACCGGAACCGTATCGAAGGAAGCGCGTGGCTTTGCTCTGCATTTTGATACGCTTGGCGATGCACATGAGGAACCCATGGAACCCAGTCCCGATTTCTCTTCCAAGGCAACATCACCGCGACTGTCAGGAGATGCCACGAGCCGAAGCCTCCTTTTTCGTGGCTTGCGGCCCTCCTCGTGGCAGGAAACTTTTGGCTGCAAGTTGCTGCAAGCAAACACACGCCGCACCAGGATTCGCAGCCTTCGCGGCATCCTCTCTGGTGCTGCGTTGAGCCACCTGTCTCCGTGACAGTAGCAAACAAAAGAAGGGCTTGGCATCACGGAACCATCCCAAAGTCTCGAGAATCCGAGGGGCGCGATCTGCGGCTGGAGGCCTCAACTCAAGCCAACTCAAACTTGCAGGCTTCCCCATGCTCTGCCCTCCCCAGCCCCAATTCACGAAGCCCACTGGGCACCGCAAGTAGGCTGCTGACTTCAGCTGCCCTCGCCTTCGGGCCTTTCCTAAGCGTGGTCAACATGCGACGTCGCAAGAAGGTAGAAAGCAAGCACATGGACAAGGCTTACAGGGCGCTCTAAGGCTGAAGCAATGCATGGCAACGCTGAAGCAGAAAACGTTACGCTTCGACAAGCTTCGTGCTTCACTGTCGGTCTTTGCGGCCTGCATGGACTCCGTGAAGGCTTGCATCATATCTTGGAGCTCCATGGCAGCTGCCTGAGCTTGGAGGCCATACTGCTCTGCACGTGATATCAGCTACACTACAAGGTGCCATCAAACGTGCCTTTTCAGCTTTGGAACATCGCTGGCGGGGTTCAGCGAGCGGTTGGTAGCAAATCGGGTTACATGTGCCATTGATGAACAATAAGAGCTTGAAGAAAACTACCGCGGAATCTGGCTCAGTCGTGGGCCCATGGACCCCCTGTCGAGACCGCTGTAGTTTGCTTTCGCCCCGCCAAAGCGCCCCACAAAACCCTCACGATCAAGGCCCATCCAACACTCGAGCCCTGACACTCTAAAGTAAGTCGAGGTGCAATGTCCGATGGAAGCCTTCGGAATTTGCCTGGCCTTGCGACTCCCACTACAGGTAAACACTGCCCTGCTGACTAAAATCTGGTCAAAACTTTGAGCCTGAAGCGCGGACATGTGTGCTGCACCACCCAACATCTACAGGCATGTGCACAGCTGATTAGTTCCCTCAGTGCTCGTGTAAGGCTTCTCTTTTCCTCATGGTCGGGCTGTCCATGTGCTGTGGATTCTTGTGGAGGCTGTGTCGTCAGTCAACACGCTGTCCAAGCCCGCGAGCCGAGCGCTTAACCTTCGCCTGGGGAGCTCGAGTCCGGAGCGAGATGCGGCAAGCCATCGGGTCGAAAGACATCGATTGTTCAGCCTTGCAAGCTCCAACAAAGACATGGAGAAAGCTCTCGGAAGCATCACCGGACAGAACAAGCACAAGTAGTCCCATGCAGTCACATGCACAAACCCGGCCAAGAGTCCGTATGTTGCAGCTTTCGCCGATGTAAGATCACGGTACACCTGGGCACAGCGCAACAGAAATGATGGCAGCGCATGGGCGCGTATTGCGGTCTTGCACTGACTACGCTAAGGCACAGATAGTTTGCCACCGGCTACTGACCAGAACTCAGTGGCCACTTGCGAGAGAAAGTACTGGTCGTGGCTTACCTTGGATGCTTTGCGGCCGTTGCCTGACTCAGCTACTGTAGTCAACCACATGCCGGGCACGCTATGAAGCCAAGGCACCATCACCACGGCACCATGAAACTCTTTGATGGCATCGATGAGCGCATCGATGGTCTCCATGTCCAGGTGATTTGTGGGCTCATCCAAGTAGATGAGATGCGGCCTAAGTCGGGGTGCGGGCCCTCTAGTGAAAGTTCTTCATGAGCATCAAACTCGGTGGCAGAAGCCCCGAAGCAAAACCAAATTTGAGCCACGTACCGCATGAACGAAGTCTCGTCAGAAACCCACGACCAAGTTTGTTGCAAACAGGCATCAAGTCGTTTCTATTCAATATTGCCATGACTCGAATTTTTACTTGCTTCATGGCGGGTGGCATTTACATGACAAAAGGCATCTGCAGCCGAAGATCTGGCGATATGTAACAATGGCCAGAGCCACGCGGCTCTTCTGTCCGCCAGAAAGCGTCTTGATTCTTCTAAGGGCCATGTCACCTCAGCTTGACTTGTAGCAGCAAGATGCCAAGTGCTGCTACGCAAGATTGCAGTGGCAAGGTCTAGGTGGCTGACCACTGATGCCAAAGCGTCCCAGGACACTTCGAGCCTGCATACATCGGCTGTGAGCTGGCCATGGTGAGCTGTGCCAATGCCATGCTTGGACCCGTTTCGAGGGCACAATGGCCCACTGTTTAACGTCATGTAACTCCGATGTAGTGACAAAAGTAGTGCTAACGTAGCGCCTCCTGGTCCGTAATGCCCGGGAAACTTGCTTGGACGCAGTCAACACAGTTCGCGTCAAGGTCCAGTGAGTCCACGTGATGTTGAGCAAAGGTACCTGCACCCATATGCTAGTGGGCTCAGTGCTCCATGTCTGTTCGCCCACCTAGGATCGGCGCACCTATCCTGGCATTTCGGTTGATGTCGATCTGCCCCGCTGTTGGAATCAGCTTCTTTTGCATCACTTTGAGCAAGGTGCTTTTGCCAGCCTTGGGTTGAGTGCTCGGCTGCGGACGCGATTGCCAACAGGTCGTTAGGTCTTGTTGTCTGTGCAATGATTGCGGTGTCCATGATACTCATGCCACGAGTTCCTAATAATAGCCTCAGGCCCTACCGAAGCCAGGTCCTCTCTTGCAATTCCAAGGCTCGCCATTGGCTCCCAAAATTCCGATGCGTCCAGAAATATCCAGGTTGGCAGTGGCATTCTCGAAAAGTGGGGCCTTTCCCGCGTAGGCGAAGCTCATGTTGTCAAACTGAATGAGCTGATTCTTTGGCAGCTGGCCGGGTTCAGGGAACCGGATAGAAAGAGATGCGGCATCATTGAAGGTGATTGCTGGGTCTTCGATCTTCTCCATTTTGTCTAACATCTTTTGCTTGCTGGCCTGGTGAGCCAACTGCGCGCACGCTGGCTTCTCACCAAAACGCCCCTGCTACGCAACACAACCATATTGAAGCTTCAAGTGCTCACAGAACGACTTGCCTTCTGTGCCACAATCTTGGGACGCTCGTCATGCTTGTTGATGAATTCCAGAATGTGAGAAATCTCCTTCTGCTGTGCATCATATGCCCGCTGCTGAGCCAGGCGAGTTTCCTTGACCGTCTGCACATATGCATCGTAGTCGCCCTGAGAACAAGCAACACTTCTCAGGAAGCAAGTCTAGGTCTATGTCGCCTAGTTGACCGACGGTACAAGCTTTGGATGCTTGGCCTTGTAGTACGCCAGCCTTTTGCCATTTAGCAAGATGATGTCCGAGCACACGGTGTTCAAGAAGCCACGGTCATGGGAGACGATCAGACAAGTGTTCTTGCATGAGAGCAAATAGTCCTGCAAGTAGATAACCTGCCGGCAGCAAAATTGGAACAACGGAAATCCAATCTAAATACAAGACACCCGCGAAATTCACTGTGAAACACTGTATGCAACAGCAACATAACTGGACGCCATGAAAACCAGCTCAAGCAGCAGCGGGAAAGTCCAGATGGTTGGTCGGTTCGTCCAGGAGAAGCAGTTCAGGCTGTGCAAAAAGCGCAGACGCCAATGAAACGCGCATCCGCCATCCACCGGACAATGCAGATGTTGGTGTGTCCAGCAGCTCATCTGTGAACTGAAGTCCTGACCAGCGCACAGGCGCGCAGGCATGCAGGCGCACGTCCATGTCAAAGCGCATGCCAACACAATCAGAAACTGATCTCAAAATACACACAGCAAGACTGCGGCTCACTCCAGGAAGCCTCGCAAGATTTTTGCAGCGCGTGGCTCAGCATCGTCGGAGCCAATCTCCTGCAGCCTATCTGCAATCTGCTTCAGACGTTCCGAGTCTGCCGGATCCTTGGCATCTTTTTCTTGGAGAAGTTTCTGCTCCTGCAGCAAAAGCCTCCTCTCTACGTCACTGTGAAGGACCCATTCCACAGGCTTTCGGTCATCTCCAACCACCTCCTGCTCCACCATCAACACCTTGAGATTCTTTGGGAACTTGTCGAACTTGTAGTATGCAATCTCTCGCAGCAGTGTGCTCTTCCCGGCTCCGTTGCGCCCGATCAAGCCATAACGCCGGCCCTGGTTCAGGGTGAGGTCCGTGCCGAGAAGAAGTTCAGACCCATCCAGCGACCGAAGGTCAATGCTGTTCAGCTTGATGTCAGCCTTTGGCGCTCCCAGCTTTTGTCGGGCTTGTAGATATACTTGGAGCGCGTTCTCTGCTTCAGAGGGCCCCGAAGCTGCCTTTTCCTCCTTGACTCGTGCAGCTTCCATCTTTTGCTTCGCCTTCTCGGCTTTTGCAGCAGCGTTCTTAGCTGCAAGGCTTTTCAGGGCGCCGTCCTTGCCTGCAAACCACAGCTTTGGTCATTTTACGTTGAATGCGACATGACCACAAGTAGGCAACAGGCGGCATGACACTGCTCTTCTGCACTTCCCTTGCGATAGCGTGGGCGAGTACTACTCCTGCACCCTCTAACTTGTGATGCCCTGCAATGAGCAACAGAAGGTCTAGTCGTGATTCGCAGTTGATGCAGGCCACCTTCAATCGTCACACGGCCATCTTCCACGTGCCAAATTTCATCACACGTCTCTTGCAGAAACTCCGCATTGTGCGTGACGACAATCGTCCCACCCTTGAAGAGCTTGATTGCTTTTGCAAGTGAGCTCACGGTCCTGATGGAAGGTGAACCTGTGCCTAAACGAACTAAATATAGACATCTTCATGAGGCCACGCTCATGGATCACATGCAAGCAAGCAACTGAAAGTCTAAATAGTTCGTTGGCTCGTCAAAGGCTATGACATGCGGCTTTGTCCACATTGCTGCCGCCATCATGAGCTTGCCTTGGTGATTCACAAGAGACATTTGCAAATGCAAATCGGCTTGGCAACTTTGAAAGAGCTGTATGCATAGCAGTGGCTCTTCTGCCCGGCAGAGAAACCTTCGATCATCCGATGGCATGTCATGTTCTCGGTAATCCCGAATGGCTCCTTGGCTTCAACGCTCAAGTCGAAGCTGGGTATTACCGGTATGGTGCTCATCACTGCTCGTCGTGGTCGATGGAAAATCGATGCAAAAGGGTGTCCAAGAGTATCCGAGGGTCTAAATGTTTAACAATCTCCCGAGTACTCAGCGGTCGCAGCGCTGTCTCGGCACACGCTATTCTGTCATCAAGAGCTGCACCTGCAGCGAGGAAGGCACGAATGCAACAAAATGTCGGCATGGGCCACCACGATCGCAGACAGCGGCTCGAGTGTTGATGCTTCATACAAGGCACACATCTTCTCAACTCCTAGCAGCCGCAGCTTGGTGAGGGGCTCGTACGTGTTCCTTCAGCTGGCGGCAAATTCTACCTGCCCTACAAGTACCAGCCAACTTGCCTCACTTTGACGCACTTCGGAGTTGCGGCATCATACTTGCAAGAGTCTGCTTGGCATCATCCAAACCTTTCCACTTCACCTCATACAGGATCTGCCGCCCTCTCCTTGTCAGAAGCAAGAGGGCTCCCAATAAAGTGGCAAAATCAGAGCCCTTGGCAAAAAAACGGCAAAGACGGCAAAGACTGTGCACACTTTGTCGCATTCTGAGGCTCTTCTGCCTTGACAACAGCGCCTCGACTTCTTTGCCGCGCTTGCCGTGCTTTGCCCCCATGTCCTCAGGTTGCGAAGGACAAGATTTACATGGCATTCTCTTTCGACTCTGTGTCGATGATCTGAACCTCTCAGCTCTGGGTTTTGCGTGCTTTGAAAGCGACAAAAGCTAGACTTGCCCTGGAAGGCTGGGACCCCATAGAAAGAACTTGTTCTGGGCACATGGACAAATCGTGTACATGGAAAAGCTCGAGTCGAGCCGCCGATATGAAAAAAGCAAGCCCTCTGGTCGGTTATGAGTTATGAGAATCATAGGAAGTCAACTTGAGTGGGCTTGCAAAAATGTCTTGAATTATCTTAAACTGAGCCTCGTCAGTCAGAGGCGCGACAGTTGCAGAATGGTACCACTGACAGGTGAGACCTGCGTCCCCCACATCCCGTTCTCCCCCCCCCCCCCCGATCACGCACGTCCTGCCCCATGTCCCACTCCCGCCCCGCGTCCCGCACGTTCCTCCCCGCGTCCCATGCGTCCGCGCCCGCAGGACAAGCACCGCCATGTTACCACGAGCACGCCACATCGTGTTACCAAGCACATCCAGTGGTGTAAAACGTCCGTGCCTGCATGCATGTATATCCGCATCCCGCGCGTCCCACCCCACGTCCCGCAAGCCTGCGTCCCTTCGCATCCCCGCGAGTCCCTTCGCGTCGCCCTGAAGCATCTTGGAAAAGGCTGCCATCCGCACATTTACAACTCCCCTACAATGGTGGAATGAAGATCATTAAGAGGGTGTCATGCAAGCGGCCTTCCGGTACTGAGCCTCTTCCTCACTCTGTGGCAACGTCAGCCTTCGCTGAGTCTCCTCGTCATAGCCCTGCCTGTCAGAGTCAACTTTCATTCACTTTGGCAAGCTCGGATATAAATACTGGAAGGGCACCGCAGGAGTCACGGTGGCTCTGGTGTAAACGGGGGCAACTACGACAAATACATTGACGTCCGTCACAACTTGGGGAGGGGTTGTCTCACGTGTGGCACTTCCTGGAAGATCCTGGCCCACTCTGCAAGTCCTTTCCTTTGCAGTGATATCCCGCTTTGAAGTCAACTGATAGAGTAGGGGTAGCGTGCAGTGGTCCAGCTCGAAAATTCGGGGGATCTTAGCCAGTAGTTCCCGTTACTCTGAGCAGTCAGAGTGTGCCTACACCTGTGGTGCACGTGAGTTCATCCAGTTCTAGTGGGTTGTTGAGGACCCATAGTCATCATCCACGCTGTAACTCGGTGTTGTTTTCACATGTCTTTGCCTGGTGCATCATTCGAGTCACATACGTGCTTAGTCCTGCAGCCACGGCTAGCCACGCAGGGTTTGCGTGTTGCTTGGGTCGAAAGCAATGTGCAAGGACCTAGTGCTTGTCATTTTCGCATAGCTGGCATCTGCCTTGCATTTAAACGTCTTTGACTTTTAGGCGCACGAGCTTTGCTGGACCTGCCTGAAGCGCGTCTGGAAGTAATGCAGAGGCGTACTTTTGAGGAACTCCGACAGGTGGAAAAAGTGGTGCTGGGCCTGAGTTTCGGAAAGCCGTCGCATAGAAAAATGATGTCATTATGTGCGGTTTCAAGACACCGCACCGTCTGCGCATGGTCTCTGCCCAGTCTTTCCAAGTTGCAATGTAGGCAAGGCGAAGGTTTCTGTGCCTCCAAACTGCACTGACCTGCAACGAAGAAAGTGTATAACTCTGTATAACTGGAGAGCGTATGCTGCAAACTGCAGTGAGAAGGTTTGGAGCGCGGGAGAGGCAAACTGGCAGAGGGAGACAGGACAGTCAGAAGATTGAAATTGCTGAAGAGCAACTTCCCCCGATTCGTCTTCGGGTGGGAGGAGCTCGCCAGCGAGGAGGTTCAATAGCCTAAAAAGCGAGAAACCCCAAGTAAAGTGGCAAAGCACTTGACTTCAGACTTGATCATGTTTCATTTGGCTTCTGCAACTCTGTTGAGGTTCGCGCGTTGACTTGCCGGCACCATTTCTGCCGACCACTCCAATGCGACTGCCCATGGTCAGCCGCACAGTAACGCCTTTCAACCTCACCGAGGAGGACCCACTGCAGGTGCTGCCCTGCACCTCTTGGATAATGTGACAGCGATTCAGTCTGAGCAGCACGAGCGGAGCATCCTCGAAGTACTTGAAGTTTAAGTTCGTGACCTGATCGGCATGCTAGGATTAGCTTCCGGATCGCTGATCAGGTGGCAGCTGAGACATACACTGTCGCCACTGGCTTGCTGGCTGTACCCAGGCCCTCAATCTTACCTGAAAGGAAGCATCAGATGCGCAAACCAATGATCTTTTGTGACGCCTGGCTTGTTGGCAGCTTTGCTAATTTCCCTGCCTGGCATGGGAAACCTCATGCCATCCTCATCTCCATCCGCAGGCAGAACGCCCAACTGCTTTTCAGCTGGCCTTTGCTGCTGGCAAACTGGTATCGCTGCTGTGTCACAAGCGGTCTATTGCTGGCTGGGGTGCTTGTCTTGATCATCCCCGGTCTTACCCTCGTGGCCTCTAACCGTCAGCACCTGGGCTGGCGCTTGATTGGCTGTCCCGTTCAAACGGACGAGCTCGGGCACCTTTGAGCAACAATGCCGGAGTGCTTTGTTTCTCAGGCGCTGGCACTTTTGGCGCCCTCGGCATCCAACTTCGTCTTCTCCCTGCAAGGCATGACGAAGCGCAGATCTGCTGCAGAACAGCTGCCAAACTCCCGGGAGGAACCAACACGACAAAACAGCACTTGCCTGAAGGTGTCGAAGTTGCCCTCATAGTAGACCAGCTTGCCCTCCTTTGTGAAGTGTACGATGTCCTTGGCCAGATTGTCCAGACTCACTCGTCACTCGTGCAAATGGCATGAACGCTGAGTGCTTCCCGGACTCTGTGCACGCATGGTTCAGGAAGCCAGCATCGTGCGAGATGATCATAGCAGTTATCCTCTTGCCCTGTCAAGGCGCAGCTACAGGGTCTTGCATTCCCTGCCGGGGGGGGCAACATGTTCTGGCCTGCGATACCAAGTACGATTGGAGCCATTTCACAGCCTTAAAATGGGATTGGGAGGGGAGGGGGAGGGGGGAGGGGCAAGGAGGGCTGTATGAAATCGTTTTTTGGTGGCTTGCGCAAGGCCCAAAATATTACTTCTGTGAGGTCTGCCACTTGCAAAAAAAAATGCCACATGCTGTCAAGCCGCAACGGAATCTAAGTGATTTGTCGGCTCATCAAGCAGGAACACATCCGCACCCTGGGCCACTGCACAGGCCAACGCGAGACGCATCTTCCAACCTCCCAAGTCAGCGTGCGAACAAGTTCATGTTCAGCTCTTTTCGAAGGTCGGGAAACTAAAAGATGCCACGGCTGCTAAGATATCACTACGCCCTCAAGCTGCTTGCCTCCACTCAACTCGCCCACCTGCTTGCCTCAGCTCAGCGGTTGATCCGTGCAGCAACTCGAGCTGCAAATGACAAGCCGAGCTTCTGAACATGTCTGAGTCGAAGCCCACGTCATGGAGATACTTGTCTGTGGAATGGCTATCTATACCTTCGCACTTCCTGAGTTCATTTTGCTTGATGGTGCATTTTTGGTGTCGGCACCTGTAAATCGTTGCAACCAGGACTCAGCTTCACAAACTCACCTTGGCTCCCAGTCTCCTAGACTCTCGCAGCAACCCCTGATGGACTCCATGCACTAAATTGCATCAAGATGCTGCACGAAGTCTTCCTGTCTATGTTGTCCAGTATGCCCTGGCTTTCGCTTCATTGTGGCACTTCATGCCAGTCCATGCCACTCTTGGGCAGCACCATCTAAGCAAATGCGAGCGGTGCCGGGTGCCTCATGCTCCAAGTGGTAGCACTTGAGCTGCTCCATGCCAGGCAAGTCGCCCACAGCAACCCTGGAAGAACAACCGGCATCTTCCAGCAGAGCATACCGCAGCTACAGTAGCCACCGCCCAACGGCCTTGACATCAAAGTTGTCTTGCCTGCCCCGTTCTGGCCAACAATGCCTGAAGTCCGTTTGAGGGTGCGAACGCCCCGGAGCTCTTTACACGCTGTCAAAAAAGTCGATGTTCTGATTGTTCTGTATTTCGGCACCCGCGTAAAGTATCCAAGGTGTCAGGTTTCTGCCTGCTATTAACAAGCAGACATGCAAGACAAACCCAGGATTTGTGACCTGAAGCACTCTACAAGAAGCTGAGTGGAACTCCATAGCGGCGGCCACGTCGGAGCTCAAAACGCGTGTTGCTCAGCAACGGCTTGACCTTAATGTTGTACACGCTTTAGTAAGGGCCCCCGTGAATAAAGGGGCTATTCAGGACCGTGCGACTGTTTAGGGGTCTAGAGTGAGGTCCGGAACTAGGTCAAGTCTTCCGGGTGTCGTAGAAATTTCGTGCGGCGCGCCTTAAACATCAATTGCCCGGCCTCGCAGTCCCTGCTACATCATAAAACCTCATCCCTTTGGACGGGGAGGGCAGGGCGGCATACTAAGTTGAGCTGTACCCGCAGCAATCACTTCATCAGTCGTCTGTTCTGAAACGCGCACCTTCGTTCAGACAGGGCATGCAGGGCATTGCAGTCGAGACACACTACCTCCATACATTAAGATCAAGTTCCTGGGCGCACACACAGCCGCTTCAAGCTGCATGCCGTATGTGCGTCACACGAATCGTCTCATGCGATGCCAACCCAGATGAGCCACGGAATGCAGCAAACCAAATCCTTATCAGATTTTGAAGTAGAGGCAGCCTGCATATGGAGCGTCAATCAACTGGCGTCAGTTGGCATCAGGAACTTATTTGATGTATCCCTTGCCTCTTTGGCTGCGTGCTTCTCTGGAAAAATCCTGTCCTGCGTTTGCTGCGCTACCACCCATCTGTCCAAAGCAAAAGTGTGCGAGAGCATGTCCATGCTTGGGAGCTCTCTGAGGCCGAGTCCAATAAACCATTGAGGAAGGCACCGATGTCTTCCTCAAAGCCGGCAGCCTCCAAGTGAGGCCTCAGCAGCTCAGCAAAAGACCCAAGCAAAACTCTCAAAGCGCATGACAATTCAATTTCAGGTCTACACGCCACTGATTGTTCTAACTCCTCAGCAACCTCCGTACGCTTCGAGGCATCCTGGCAGGAGCGGACCCATACATACTGCCATTACTCTGCAGCTCAGAACCTGCATGATTCAATGAGTCTTGCTTGTTCTTTCATACCCCTTTTGGCGGCTCTCATTTGTACCACCTTCATGTCCTTGCCACATGGCACCCTCGAAGCCGTGGACAGCTGTCTGATTCGCAGCGTTTAGTAAACGCTTGTGTTTCCGAGTCTCGGCTCCCACTCGCACAGCTGATGGTGCTACTCCAGTGTTCACAGGCGCTTCTTGCCCACGATCGTCCGGAGCACAATCATGCAGGCAACTTACCCTCCACGACATAATTAACGGAACAGAACCTGTTGCCAACAAACCCAACTTGGAAAACAAGCATGTTTGCGCTCCTGAAGCAGGTCAACAGCAGAAGCCGTCAAGTATTCCAAAACCTGTCGCGCGACAGGCACAGCATCATGCGGGAAGATTCTCGGACCTGAGGAACCGAGGAACCGACCTCCTGCTCAACACCTTTGTCGGCCAGAGGCGCCTCAGCTTGCTGGCACTTTCGCTGCCGAAATTCTTGGAGAGGAACACTCTCGGCCGAAACAAACAAGAAGATGACATGCGGCACACGTTTCGGGCACGTTTACTTGAACCACGCTTTTTCACATCAAAGGCTCTTCCGCACAGAGCAGGCAAACGCGCAACAGCCTTTTCTGGAATCTCGCCTGTGCCTCTGATCAAAGGGCCGATTTCGGCATTCCGTCCGCAACATAATTGCCAATCGTCTGGCGCACCCACCTGGGACAGGCAACGCACCACAACTTTGCAACGCCTGCGCACTCATGCGAAGCGCGGCGCACTCAGGCTGCCCAGTGGCTCGTTGCAAAACTTTCCCTTCGGATCAGCTTTCTTTGCAACAGCACGAAACTCGGCAAACGCCGGGCCGTAAAGTGACTCAAGACCTTCGCGCAGAGCGGACAGCCAGAACACATGTAATTGCATCATTGCCGCCACCAGTGGCTGTGGTTCGGACGCTCGCGTGGCATGACGAAAAGCTTACCCCAGTGTGGCCGGGCTTGGAAAGGTTCAAGCGCCGCTTCCACTGCTGGCAGCGCCAGCGACATGACCTGTGCGACTTGGCCTACCATACTGGTCCTTGTCACCTCATTGCCGACAGAATAATGTGGGGGTAGAAGCGTCGCAGAAAGCTCACTTTAAGCAGTCCTGCCTCATGCTGCTTCAGGGTCCACGTGAAATGAAAGCCCACCTTGTTGGCAAAGGTCGCAACATCAACCTACACAACTCCAAATATAACTGCAACTACCAAAGTACCTCGAAAAACATTCTAGCTTCCTTGTCCAAAGAGTGGCGCTCCCGTCTCCTCCAACGTAGCGGCTTGAATGAGGGCTCAAGAGCAAGTCATCGGCTGCCACTGCTCGGATCTCTGAGCACAACACAAAGGGCCGAAACCTACTCGAAATCGCCGCCAAAGCCAGCAGTGCTTCTGCAGCATACTTGCGGGCCACGAAGTATTCCTTACCAAAAAAGTTGAAAGTAAAGCAGGAGGGACTTGTTCAAACTCGTACATGGCTAGGCTACCATCAAAACAGCTTAGCCAGCGCTCCGACTGTAGCTCCTCACCAGCACTGGGCACACGATCAGCCTTGAAATGCGGAAGCCGCTGGTGCCAGGGACCTGGTTGACCTTGCTCGGTGCACGCAGTCGCATCCATGCCTGTCCTTGGCCGGTACTCTGGTCAGTAGAACTCGAGTAGAACTCGAAGCAGCCTTCACAAACAGTCTGGTCACTTGCCAAGGTTCACAGGGTGCTGCTGCTCTTGGCACTCCACACAGGTGCTTAGGACGGACGTGCCGTTCCGAAGGGCCTTGCAGAGAGGCCCATCATCTGTTCCATGCGAGAGGCGATCTTTCACCCACACGTTGAACCTCAACACGCATGACAACACTGATTCAAAAAGATGCAGCATGCTGAGGGGACTAGCCTCACTATTCCTTCCAAAATCCCATCTCTACCTAATCTACCGAGTTCCACTACAGCAGTGTCTTCCAGCTGCATTCAGAAGACCCCAACCTGTTCTCATGCTAGAATCTGCTAGAGTTCTACGAGGAGTCTAAACATGCAGAAACGCACATACGACTGCAGTTCCACTGCACAAAGAAAAGGCTGCTCTTAACGAGCCGTTCAAGGAAGGTCACCCCTCCCTGGGTGACAGCATGGCCAGAGTTGTGTCGACCTTTTGCTTTGCTAGCTCAACGCAATTCTGAGGCTCTACATTCTACATGACAGGACTTCCTTCGTGTGCTCACGAGCCACTAATAAATTATCTTGACAGCAGCATGTTGGCCACAACAATTGCAAGCCGGGTACTTCATGGTCGGTCCTGGTGGAAGCCACTGCGTCCACACACTGACTGAATACGCTACGCCAAGTATGGCATCCAATGGCTCCTGTTGCAAGGTGTCAAGGAACCCGGGCTTTGGGGGGGGGGGGGGGGGGAGGCTCTGAGCTTTATTTTGTGCCATGTTTGATCTGAGTGCGTGTTAAGTAGCCCTTGCTGCAGTACTCAGCATGTCAAAACAAGAGGGCTTGCACACAACATGAGAAGAATCCGCCGTTGCCTTTTCAACAAATACCTTCGTCCTTTCCCACAAAGTCAATAGTAATAAGTGGCGTGTCCCCTTCGCTGGGGACTCGGCTCCAGGCGTGGATCAGCACTAGTTTCATCGGTCAATCTTGCAGATTGTTACGAAACATCCACGATGCCTCAGCCATGACCTCCGTGCTTTGCCGGAGGCCGGAAACGCTTATGTCTTTATGTATGTTCATGTAAACAAACGTTGGGCCTTTTCTTTTTTTGTGAGCTTTGGATTTGTCAGCTCCGCGTCGAGGGCCTGGGACCTGCGGTCATCGCCTGGAATAGCAGCTCGAAGCCTTTCAGATTCCACTTGAGCGCTTCCATCCTCTCTGCTGCCGATTGCCTAAAACATTTCCTGCAGGAACTGGAAAGACTAACTAAATGTAGGAATTATAATGCACATTTTCTATCATTAGAAACCAAGTTCGTATACGATTAAGGGAACGTACAGTGAGATCGAAATGAAGACAATACAAAGATGTTGAAAGTAAAATGCCAACTGTAAATTCTCTTTGGAAATCTATTAATTGGGCGTATTGTTCACCTCGTAGTCTATTATTAACACGCGCATTTACTGAACGAGAACGAATTAACTTATAAATCAAGGCTTTTGACCGTTCATACCTTGGTTGTTATTATTCATGGTGGTTTTCCAAGAGAGATAAAGAAGTGAGTACGAAGTCAATAGAAATAACTTGAAATAACCATAAGATTCCAATGGTAATAGAATATGGTCTTTAAGGCATGTGGAATTGATGCACGAAATACAAAGGAAAGCCGGTTTGCGGGCCAGGTAAAATACTAATATTATATGGACGGAATGAAAGGCCTCTGACACCCGCCTTCTGGAAGCATCCGACTCAACTCGAATCCCGAGCATTGTGGCAGCTGCCTTTCTGACGATGCAAATACCGTTTCAGTTCTATGAGTACGAGAAGTTCCACGGCGTTTCATTCCGATGTTGAGAACTCCGGAAGCAGCTAGAATATCTCAAGCACGACCCTTTGTTCTTGGCTTCGTAATGATGAGCTGCTTTCACATTTCTGGCCCAACGCTGACAAACTGAACCGGCCCAGAAGGCGGCCTGTGAAGAGATTGATCTGAGCTGCAGCCCTTCGAAGCACCGCTGCCGCATGCAGAACGCGGGTTGCAATCGCAACGATACCTCCGTCACTATGCCTTGGGCTTCATCGAACTGGAGCATGAAGACCGCGCGAATGCCGCCGTCAGCTCAAAATGTTCCCGCTAAATGGCCGAGGCAGCCCAACCCTACCACCGCTGGCCGAAGCCTCAAAAAGCCAAAATCGCGCTTTGGCAGGACTTACAGCAGTGTGTGTTCCAAGTGCGCCCCTAACATAGTCAAAACAAAAGCCAAGCGGCCCTTGGGCATCCTGGATCTCCCAGAGCTGCCCGGATGCAGTGACAACCTGCAGGCCACAAACAGCCTCGGCGAGGTCTTTTCGCAGCCAGTCAGGATGTCTCAGGCATGTCAGGCCCCTCCAGGGTCACTTTCTGCTGCTTCAATTGCAGTATATGGCAGTAGCTGAAGCTCTCATTGTCCCAGGCTCTATGGCAAGATTGCCGCTACCTTGCCCCGAGCCATGAGTCGCAGTTGCAATTGCCCCGCAGACCTCGTGGCAATTGCCGCCCGTCTCTGCCATGCCGGGACATGCCATGACATGCCATGGCCATGGTGAAAGCCACGCTGCGGATATGTGTGGTAGAGATGCCAGATTGTGCAAGGCCAGGCCCTTTTCATGTAGTAGCGGACAGAGCTGATCGTAAGTGACTCCAGCTTGAAGCGTCACACCTCAGTCGCTCACTGCACCAGATGCTCCAGCATCTGTCGCATCAGCAAGGTCGACTGAGTCAGCCGCGGCAATTTGGAACATCAATGTGGACGGCTTTTAACCTGCGAAGGGAGATCAGCTCCGACGAGTCCGCGATCTGATTGAAACTGTGGCGTGATCCCAATGCACCTTAGCCCCATCATCAGATCCAGGCCTGTGACTTGCCCCGTAAGGGAAGCTGCTCAGCTGAGTCTCGGATTCTGTGGGCCCGCCTCACAACGGCTTGCACCTCAAGTTGTTCTGTAGCAACTTCGCCTAACCACATGTATACAGCAATGCCGGCATGCAAAGCTTGTCTCAGGAGGCAAAGGCCGTCCTCGCTGATGCTGGCGGGCTCGTGAAGCGTGTGCGCACTGTACCGCAAGTTGCCACCCCAGTTTGAAAGTCCCGGGGCCATGGCCAGATGAAGCCGCTACAAAGGCATGACCACACACAGAAACTGTCGTAACTGTCGTATGCTGCTTCCGAGACGCAGCAGGAAAGAAGCAGGGGGACATTGCTGCTGTTGAGACACTGGTGGGTGGCTTGCTAGATCCTCTTGTCCGACGTACATGTGGCAGTGCTGGAACCACTGAAACCACGTCCACTGTCCCAGCAGCCCAACGAGCCCGGGGATCGATCGTGTCGCAACGAAATCTGTGCAATTTTAGCTGCCTTGCGATCATAAAGTATACATTTGCATACACTCCGAACCGAATGCCTTCGGATTCAAACTGTACATTCGTAGTGGTCTTTCATTGCCAGGAACTGCGAAGTGCAGGTCCCTGGGCATGGATATGCATCACAAAGCGAGTTTTTAACTTCTGTTTCTGCGCGGCACAGCTGTCACTCTGCATGGCCATTGCTTTCCCTTGCGGAACCCACTTACAAAGTGGCGCTTGTTGTAAATCTTCGCCAAAAGGTATGAGAGTTGATGCTGTCTTATCATGTCATGTCTTGATTGCATTTTGATTGCATTGTGATTGCATTTGCTCGCTTCAGGAAGTGAAGGAGACTGGTCCTCTCCGACTTGTTGTTTGTGCACACGAGCAAGTTGCAGGCTTGACGGCATCCAAAGCTGACCAGGACTAGGACTACTTATGCCTACGTATGGCAAGGATCGTTTAATCACCAGCTACCACTCAGATTGCAAGAGGACTCTTGCAAATCTGTCGTTCCTCTTTTGCTGCGTGGAAGCCGTAAACGATACACTCCAAGCTGAATCCTTTCGGAGCCGAAACGTTACATTACAGGGTCTGGTCTTTCGTGGCGAGAGAATCCCAGGGAGGAAACAAAGGAATAGAGCAGGTGATACTCCTTCCTGAGCACTTCTGGATTCGATTGTCAGATGACCATTAAGTGGTCACAGCTTGCACGTTGCCTTCCTGAACCGAAGGCAGACTTCGCTCCAGCACCGAAGGTTCGGCGCGACATCAGAACACTGTCGTACTTATGACTGCCACATGCTGAATCATAGTGAAGTATGCAGAGTATTGCGTAGAAGCGTGCTTGGACAGACAGGCGGAGGTAGCTAATAATGCTTGGCAATTTCTGAGAGAACCACGAAGTGTGCCTGAACCAGCGCTTCCCGCTTGTCAGCCTCGCACAGAGCACGACTGCAACACAAAGCAACGCCCTTCAAAACCTTCAACAGCGCAAGCAGGGTTCGAAACTTGCAGCCGTCTAGGATCCCGTAAAGATCGGTAGCATGCTTCACAATCTGAAGTCTGCATAATGCATCCTCCGCATCTCACGCATATCTCCCCCGATAAAAGTTGCGCAGAGGATTTCGGATGTGATCGATGTTGACTAGGGTCATGGCAGGCACTGCCATGGCTGGGGGCCAAGCTCTGCGCCAAGCTTTCACCAATGTCTTGGTGGTGTCAGAACAGCACAAGCTCAAGTGCTGGGACTTGTGGCTTGTGGGTCAAAAGAAAAGATCGATACTTGGCAGCGTTCGGCTAGCGCAATTCACCATGTGTGGGTCATGCGCTAGGAGCTATCAGAAGGCAGCTGCTGTGGACGAATTGTCGCGGCACCGCATGTACTTTTTGCACTGCACTGCCTGAGCCCAATGACCTACCTTCCCTGCATGCATGCCTCTTCGACTCTTCGATTTTCCAAAGCCCAGGGCGGAAAGAAAGCAATCATATCGTATACAATGCAATGTATACAGCCTTCGACGCGCAGCCAGCTCTTGATTCTGGCTCGCCGCTCAAATTAAGCACCGAGTCAGCGTCACGGTCGCATCGCAGACGCGTCTCGCAGGACACAGCGGAAGGCTCGGAAGGCTCGGAGGGCATCGGCACTATTGCGGGGTGCAGCTGGCGGTTTCCTGCGGTCACGGTGCTTCATTGCTTCATCCCTGCTTTCAAACGTGCACTTGACTTGGTGGCCGCATGCTGGTCCGGACGGTCCTGGCTCTTGCTGCCCCGAAGAAGATCGTTGTACATCTTGACTTGCTGCTCCAATTTCCTCACCTCGGCATATCGCATGTCTGCGGTCCGCGTTTCTCCAACAGCTGCAGAAGTCTGATGAAACTAGTGCATGCAAGGGCTCATCTCCAGCAAGTTTCACAACTTCTTCAGATTGTCTGCGCTCCGCATCTTGCAGCTCAGACTTCAGCTGCGTAATCCTTGAGTCAGAACTGTCAGAACTGTGGCTCCAATGCGGAAGCGATATAGGCCACATCCCCCAAAATGAAGATTACTGAAATCCGGGCTGGACAGCTGATCGACTGCTACTCAAAGACTTGCACTTTGCTGTCTGTGCGTCACGAACACAGATGGCAAAACAAAAACTTCAGATACAGTACAGTACGACTATGAGATGCACCAAACACTCTCCGAAACATCCGAGAATCTCTGCATCTTGATTCATGTAAAAATTTTCCGAGTAGTCTGAGCGATAGCCTTAGGCAACACGCGTTGGACGATGCGCCCTGACAGCCACAACAAGATGCACAATCCGGCCAAGGCAGGCAACTCACCCACAGATACCTGTGCCGCGAATCCAAATCACTGACGTTGATCCTTGGTTGGGAATGGCTAAAGAGGTCGTGCTCACTGTTCGAAGAACGCTTGGCCGCAGGTACTGATGCCATCGAGTTTCAGTAAGGCTGCTTGGACAATGAGGAGACATGCACACAGGGAGAGCCCGCTCAAGTACACATCACATAGGTGACAGGTGGCCTGAGCCCCACAGTGACGTCATGCCGTCTCAGCCGTCTCGGCATGAAGCTTTTGGTGGAAAAATGCCGGCAATTTGTTTGTTCGCACTTGGGGCCCGGCCACCAGGAACGCCACGAAGAAAGGGAAAGCACCGAAACCTTTTCATCAAGAGCTGTCATCGCGCACGCATGGTTACCTCCTAGTATTTGAGCAGGCCACGTGTGGGATCAGCTAACACGAGGACGCAACAACAGTGAGGTTGTGATGTTTGGAAAATCCTACCGCTGTGGTTCCACTGCTGTGCTGCTCGGGGGACCACTCTGGGGCTTTGCTGATCTGATTGGGTAATGTTAGTCCTCATGCTCTGGCGGAGCTTGTTCTTCTGGTGCGATGCATGCTCCCTCGCCCCGCTGCGTGCTAGACTTTCCAGTCTGTGGTCTGGGCTCTTTCATGTTTAGTTCCCAAAACTTGCACACACAGAGCTGTTTGGTCATTCTCCAAGCTTTATGTTATGGATTTACAGAAAGCGGCACTGAGATTCGCACAGGTCTTCCATTTCGATGCCTCGAGCGACATTCCAGCCAGCCACGCGCGTGGCACCGACGGTCTCAAAGCAAAGCGAACACAAAGCCTGGCACAGCTGGGGCAGCACGTTGAACGGGTCAGCGCACCCAAAGCCCTGAAAACAAAAGTATCTTGTTGGAGCTCGAACCCTGTGACCCTGTGACCCCGCAGCTTCGTTCATGAGACCCGCTATGATTCGCAAGAAATAGCAGAACTTGGACGTCAATGCAGTACCTAGCCCAACGTCGCCCAGGGATGGACCCGGCAGGCCTGGCACGGCACTGCTGGAGGGCTAAGCGCGCCAAGGGCTCCTTTGGCATGAGCCGAACTTTGCACGAAACGGGTCACGACTCATGACCTGGCCATGCGCCGGTAAGGCAGTCCTGCAGCTCGTAGTACTTGGTGTACATGCCGATGGTCAGATTCCTGGTGCGGCAAGCACCAGGAATGTTTTCGACGAGCTGCTGCCGGCATCAGAAAGTTAGGCACACTCAATGGGGAGAGTCAGGCACATATCTTCTGGATGTACGACGTACGACCTTCATGTCTATTCGAGTAACACTTCAACCACGGCTCAGAAGCACCAACGAGAAGATTGACGTTGCGAACAGCATAATCAGAGTTGTCGCAGCCAGCAACAGTTGACTTCCGTCACCAGTGTACATCTCAATGCCAAAATCCAGAGTCTGCTGGTGACCAATGTCAATACCGGAGATGCTCTCTGCACCGTCACTGTCCGTCAGAAACAAGGCTTGGTAGAGGTTGAGCAACACCTCACAATACGACAGTCCAAGCATGTCCAAGCTCGCTGCCATAGACTGTCCCAAACATGCAGCCCAAGAGCGTAGACAGGACTCCGGTCTTCATCTTTCAAAGTTAGAAAGGTCAGGGCGAACGTCACAAACATCATGCCTGGTGTGGAGATAGGACCCAGAATCACGTTGCGCAAGTGCCAATTGCTATGGCTCACACTCCACTACGTCCATCTGCAGCTGAGCTTCCCATAAAGGTAAACATCCCACTCATGGGCGCAAACGATTGGAAAACGGCGATAACCAACGGCCCAAGCCCAACCAGCTCGCTTGCTCTCAGCTCAGAGATGATCGCGCCGCATCTGTCAGAATCGTGTTGCATGCAAGGAGATACACCGTCTAATCTGGAACTTATCTGGTAGATCTTCCACACTGCAGTGGCAGTATCACCTTCCACTACCTACTGGCTCAGCCATACACGGGAAGCAAGTCTAGCAAGTAAGTAGCTCAGGGTATCCCACGGTCTTGACAGCGAAATCCCGGCCTTAAAAGCAGATTGATCGCAAGAAGCACTTTGGCTCGTGCGGTGTCCACGAAGTCCCCGAAAAGGAACAAGCAAAGAAGCGCGAACCTCAGCAGCAAGCCAGTCCACAAGTTCGAAATTTCGACACAGCACTGCCCTCGGCATCTTGTTTCCGCTCGCAGTGGCGCAGTCTGGACAGTCATACAAGGCACACGACAAGATCCACCTACTTCAGCGGACAGCCGATTTCAGCCCAGAAGTTCTGGTTGAGTGTAGGTCTCACCTGAAACAGGGCGAGTCTTGTGGGAAACCGGCTTGTTCACGATATCTTCGAACTGCCGATGTTGCCAACGATACCGTCGCCGGAAGGTGACATTGGACCAATGCACGAAGACCAAACTGCTTGCCGAGATGGCCCCTGGAATCCAAGTGCCAGAGCGCTCTGCAAGGACTCCTGTCATCAGCAATACAAAGATGAAGAGGCCCTGCAGGACATGTCGCAGGCTGGTGACCCAAAAAACGCCTCCCGAGTCTGCTTTGATTGACTCTGCCTCCATGAAGAGAAAGGCATGCGTGATGCGACACGTAGCAAACATCATGAAGCCAAGAAGCGAAATTAACGGGGAAAGTGTGCAAAAAGTGAGAACTGTGACCAGCTGAAGGGTGGCTCGAGCAGATCGTGAGCCAATCCCGAAATAGTCTGGATCTTCGGGTTCGCTTCTGAGTTTGGCATCAGCTGGACTGAGGAACGTTCGGCAGGCCACGTACTTGACCAGCTGGGCAAATCTCATCGCCGCCGTGGCATAAGCTGCCATCTGCATAGGAATAAAATTCAGATAGAAATGGGTGCTTTGAGGCATGTTCTTGGCCAGCAAGCTGGGTGCATCGAAAGGGTGCTTCATGAGATATTCACCGGTCGCAATGATGGAGGACCCAATGGCCGTGACAAGCAGCACAAAGACGCACAAAAAGTAGAAATACCAGGCCTGGGGACAGAAGAAACATGAAGCAACTGCATCCTCTCCACGTTGTGGTCTTGTTCAAGTTTCAGTTGCACACGTTTGAGGTGGGTCCAGCATCAAGTGGCACACACACACACACACATGGGACTGCTGAGTAAACATGCTAGCACAGAACCGAATGAGCAGCTCTCGTGACTAACTCGGGAGCTCACGGATGCGCCGAACATGAGCAAGAGTACTTGGTTAAGGCTCTCAAGAGGTAAAGTGGTAAAGTGGAAAGACTCCCAGGTTCTGAAAAAAAACTGAACCCCGAAAGGGGAACATGCTTAGTTGCGTGGAAATACGACGAATACAAAATCCACACTGATGACACGCGCACGCACGCTCGAAAAAGATTACAGGTTGTTGCTGGTCTTGGAGGATTTTCTCGCATGCCAGATCCTTCTACGTTTTGCTTGCCCTTTGCCTGACCTGGGATCCGGCTTTCGAGCGCGATGCACCTTTACCAGGTGTGTCGCATTGCAACTGCTTGAGCTGTGTGCAAGCCGAAGTCAGGAGCAAGTAGCCGAACAAAGGACACAGCGAAAATACACGGAACACACGGGACAAGAAACAGGCCGGAGTAAGCTCCGACAAGCTCCGCACGGCGCGGTCTTACGAGCGCTTGCAACACCAATCTCGGCAAGCCCGAAACCTCTGTGCTTAGGATGCCTGAGAGCACCTCAATCTTCTGACCCGCTGGACTTCTCGAAGGCATTCAATTCGGGTATTCGCAGATTCGCATTCCCCTCAGCAACATCAATCAACAGAGTCGCAACACTGCAACAGAACCCAAAAACAGACGGGATGTGTAGAGGACGGTGCAGTTTTCTGGTATGGTCAGAAGGAACTGGTCAACAAAAGTGCAGCATGCCCATCCCACCTGGAGCCGATGCTGTCGTTCCATCTCTGCCTTGGACATGAAGAAGTAGGTGATAATGATCATCAGCAATGATGGCAGAAAGCTCATGGCAACGGAGAGCGCGAAAGATGCCATGAGCCCGTTCCACAGGGTTGCCAAAGCGGGGAAATCCTGCACAAGGACCTTGAAGAAGTGAATGTGATTCTCCAGCGTGTGAAGGTTGGCAATCGACTGGATCCCCACGACGAGTGGCATAAAGCCCCAGAAGACAAGGAAGATGAGGAAGTAGCCGATGAGCTCCTTGATTGCCTGACGTCCTTGGTCCAGTGCCAGATCTCTCCACAGCACCTCACCCGGGTCTGGAGCAGCATCGGCCCGGATGCCATCATAGTCCTCCTCAGCTAGCAACTTCTGGGCCACCACAGCCTCACGGTGATGTTGGAATGTGACAAAGGCATTGGGGGAGTTCTGGTCATTTGAGCGGAGAAGCTGCTTCCTGTACTTGTCCACCATACTTGCCGCCACCGCCTGAAGCTCCTGACCCTCAAGCACACGGCCGGTGCCCGTGCGCCATGTTCCTTGGCCGGCATCCGCTACACGCTGCCAGTATAGAAGCTCACTTGTGTCCTTGACGAACTCAATTCGCTTGACGGCCTGGCAACCAAAGACCCCCTCGTCGAAGAACCTGCGCAGCGCATCGACTGTAAGCAAATGGTCCGGAATTCCTTGCACAAGAATGGATGTCGCAGTAGGCAGCGGGGATTTCTGCAGCCATCTCACACGCAATGGCATGAAGCGCCTTTGTGCAAGATGTACTTGTGCGTGGGTTATCAAGACGACGTACCAAACAAACAGGGCATGAAGCCAGCACAGCCACGAACCATGCTGCACATTGGCCATGCCCACCTTGCTCAAACGGTCATCACCGGCAGCATCTCCACCCACAAGCATGTGCAGAGGACACAGCACAAGAACACAGGGCACAGCCACGCACAAGGACAACCGCATGCCGAGTGCCAGAAACTCACAATGCATTCCCGCATCGAGCCCAGCAATATCTGCTACCTCCTCTGCCGATGCATTCCAGCTCTCCGATAGCCATCCAAAGCGGCCTTGCACAGTCAACCCCCTTTCTGGCTCAGGTCTTTTATCCACGCTGACGTTGCGCAGGTTGGAGTCGCGCCGGTACACCGCTGGCAAGAAGTATCGCAAGAGACTCAACACAAAGATTGCCACCACAACGATTCCACAGTTCGTTGCTAAAGAAAACAAGAAGGTATCCAAGTCCCCTGCTTGGTTCGCATGCACTCCCTCCACTGCAGCAGCATTGCGAGCAGCACCGCCAGTTGTGGTGACAGTTGTACTCAGCTGTCCAATTCTGGCAGCCTGGGCGAGCAAAGTTTGCGCCCAATGTTCCTGACTGTTCCATCTGCCAGGGTGATGATCCGTCATGGCTGGACCAACGAAGCGCTGAAGGAGCGTGCTGGCTATTGCCGCCTCATTGGCCGACCCACACACAGGGCCATCCATTGCATAAGAAGGTAAGCCGGTAAGCAGGCCTGCAGTTTTGCCGCAGGCCCGGTCCCGTTAGGGCAATCGGTGTAAGGTGTATGGACTGTGCCTTAAGCCTGGAGCAACCACCGCCAAGAACTACTTGCACAAATCAGATACAAATCAGCCTACCATGAGACGATACAGTGAGACGCGCAGGCGACTTCAACATTCTTCACACAAAGGTACACATGCAGCTGCAATACTTCATGCCAGAACAACAGTTTGTTTCAATCCCGAGTGGCCAGTTGACGAGCATAAATGAATCGAAATACAGCCTCGGCAAGGTCTACATGCACAACCCCTGCAACAAGCACCCACTCTTCCAAAGCACGTCCAGTTTTCGCCCAGCTGCACATACGTCATGTGAGGAATATCCGCCAATCGCCGGCAAAAAAACACCGCGTACACAAAGTTGACCCCTTCAAAACACAAGGTTGCCAGGACAATGCTGCCTCGGCCCACACATGACATATAGGAAATCCCACAGGCTTCCGGCACACCCCCAACACTTTCTGCTGTTCATCGCAAAAAGCAAATAGCGGAGCAAAAAGCATGCGTGTGCATCAGTGCATCCAACCGACCTGCCAATGGCGCCTGAGCCAGACGTTTATGTCAAACTGAGATGGTACAGCTCTTCTAGGCCAAAGGGGTCCAAGGGGCACAAGTGCCCCAGCCCAAGAACGGCAGGGAAAAATCCCTGGGCAGCGCCAAGTGCATGGACAGCACGATGAGGGAACAAAGCCTCAACCATCGGCCAGTGTTTCTGGAATGGAACACAAGCAAAGACATTAGCTTGGAACAACAAGTGTAAGCTGGGAGCAAGATCAGAAGCCAAAGCAGGCCAAATGTCCAAACAGTGTTACACTGCTTCCACTTGCCTGCCAGCGAATTGGCTTGGCACAGGGCCACATACTGTTGGGATGCCAATACAAGTTCAAAAGACTCCAGAATCTAGAGCCTGAAACGATGGCTCTGATAGGAATCTTCGAGAAGATGGTCATGTTGTCCCAGTTGTTCCACACCTTAGTGATGCACTCTGAAGGCGGCAGTCAAAGCCCATGGCCATGTTGCCTGAAATCCGGCAGACGAATCGACGTATAAGGCCGCACACCATGGAGAGAATGCTGAGCACCTTCAGATTAAGGACACCAGGCAGGTGCAACACGTTCACCTTTGCAGGGCATCTCAAGACGCCGCAATGTTTTCAACGTCGCTCATGCAATCACATCATGAGCAGTTTTCTGAACCCACAGATGGGCTCGACTTAACGCCAGCGATTTAGGCATTCACGCCTTCACCTCATACACGTCAGTGTGAAGCAGGGGATCGTCCGGCAGCTCGCGGATAAACTCCTTGTGCCAGCCTGGACCCCGTTTCCATATTGGCTCGTCCTCCGTCTCGCCGCCTTCTACAGGCTGATACGTACAGATCCTTGGCTGCTGGCCATGCGGCCACCAGAAACTCGCCGCCTACTCTCTGACAAAGCCACATCATACTGTAAATTTGGAAATCTGTAAGACTGGAGCATTTCCCGATTCGGTAGCACAGTGAAAAGCGGAAGGCCATACCTGAAGCGTCTATCAAATGCACAATTTGCAGCACAGTTTCTTGAAGCGCAGCCCGAATCAGGTGCTGCCCAACATGCTCTTTTGAAAGCGTTGTCGTCACTCTGCACATAGGTGGAAGAGGGAGAGGTTTCCCTGGAGGTCCACCCCCACCCTCCTTTTCTCATCTGAGGTTCTTCTCCTTCTGTTTTGCATATAGAGAGGTTGAGGCTCAGGTCAGGACCCCTCTCCTTGCGCAGACTGCGCCACGGCTCGGGTTCGTGTCTTCTCTTGATTTCTGGTGACCGCTTGTTTCTTTCGTCTCGATTTTATAGCATTTTGTGGAGTCTTTTGGTCAATAGTAATGTTATAATTATTGGGTCTAGTTGCCCATTCATTATACTATGATAACGGGGGCCTTTTGCAACTATGATATCTGTTGGGGTTGTGTTTCACTGGTATTTTTCAATCATGCGTGAACGCCCCAGGCAGAGTGTACAGGGTGTTCATTCTTGACTCAATGTCATAACACAACCGCAACACCCGTCGCACCTTGAGACCCTGTTAACGCCTGGTCTGGACAACACTCGTCTTTTTCATGAGTGTTACCGCTGGAGCTGGAACTAGATGCATGAGTCTTCAGTCTTCTCCAAGTCTAGGGTCGTTTCCCCAGTATGACAATAAGGGTTTTACATGCGCGAGCTGCTTCTAATGTACGTCCGTGATATAGGGGCAAAGACGGGCTAGTGACAGCATATTGGCATTACCACTGAGAGCTCCCAACATGCTGCATTCACCCTGGTCTGGTTGCAAAAGCCCTTACAACTTCATATGTTAGATGACTTTCGGCAGACGCATGCAAAACGCCCAATTAAATTCATTATGTTCTTGGGCTTTTCCTTGTTCTGTTCGCTCGCCCTTAAGTTCAAGTATAATATTGCGGCCCCTAATAATAAAAGCATAATGTGCCAGCGCACTTAAATATCATTATTGGCGGCGCGTATGAAAAAAAAACAATAATATAATAAGGAGCGCACCGTAACAGCGCGCTTTTACTGCATTTTTGGGCTTTTCCCGGTTCCGCAATAAAGTTCATTCGCAGGCTCACTTATAATTCTCTTGCGTGTTGACGTTTGCTTGTCATTCCTCCTTTTATTAGTCTTTTTTTATCGCACGCGCAGTAAGCACATGATTTGTGTGGTTGCTCTCTTCCTCTCCCTCACAACCATATCCTCAGAGCGTCCCTTAAAACCGACATGAGCGAAAGAGTGAGAGCAAAGAGGGCCTGAACGCATTAATTGCGCTCAATCGCTTACTTTGTTCACTCACCCGGTTACTCATTCACCGTTCCCTAGTTTTAATAGGGTGTTTATGAGTGCGAGATAAAAGAATTCAAGCACGTGCTCACTCTTGATGATAATACTGCGAGATTAGGAAAACGAGAAGGAAAACTTCGTTCATTTAATTTTGAATTTCATGCGTTCCTTCTTAATCAAGAATTACAATTCTCTTCGTGTTGTAAATCCAATATTGTTTCTCTTCTTAGTCATACTAATGTTATACCCGCAGGGAAAAAGAGGAATACAAGAAGCCTGCACTAATAAGAATAAGAGAAAGAGTGTCAGAGCCCAATAAAATAGACTTCATTGTTGGGCGCGCAAAGCGCCCCAATTGAAACTAGTATATTCTTAGGCTTGTCCTTGTTCTGTTCGCTCACGCCTGTAGTTCAGTTATAATATGACGGCAACTAGGCCCCATAAATAAAATCGTGCCCACAAAGATGCCTATGTTGGTTTAGTGGTGCTTTTTGGGGAGTTCACGTGTTCACCATGTTCACTGTGCTCACTCCTGTTAATATTAATAATATGAGTGAAGCGAACACGCCCAACTGCCGAGAAGCGCTTGGAAAAAAGCAGACACGGATCCGGTCTCCTTCCCCCAAACCTCAAATTTTGTGACGCACCCCCCCACCTTTCTGGGAGCCGCATTTGGGACCCTCCCTGGACCATTCCTGCAAACTTCCCTGGGACCTTCCCTGGGAATCCCCCTGGCCACGAGTCAGAATCCTTGAGCCCTGCTATCCCATGCCGCGCCACCACAGGCCTCTCATACCAGTTAGGGAAGTCGACTGAGATATCGTCCGCGAGACAGACAGGGGCGCACTGGCATAGGCTTGAAAGAAGAAAGGATGAGAAAGAGAGAGATATCCCCACAACACATGTGAACATGCTTGGTGTAACCAGCTTTCCATGCCTCAACCAATTTGCTTGAACACTACCTCTCTGGGGGTGCGCAATTCGGGTGCAAGCCCTCAAGCCCCGGATCGAGTGTTCGTGCACAAGCCCTGGATCGTTCGTGCATTTAATGGGCGTTTTTCCCCCAGAGTCGTTCATGAAGGTTTTCACGCGCACGAAAGACACAGTGAAGGCCCCATTTGATGCTATTTTCGGTGTCTTTGTGGCACTTGACTTCTTGGATGCAGAGAGTTTGGCCCAGGCAGGCAGTGCAGCAGTCCTAGCCGTAAAAAGGGGGTCTTTGTACACGCCCCATACATAGCATTAAACTCATGCGTTCGTTTCACTCGCTTGTAATTTCGTATAATTGTAAAATGCTTGCGCGCACCGCCTCGGCAAGCTGGGCCGGCCCACGGACCAAGGCCCAGGACAGGAAAGGAGGAAAGAGGTTTCTGGCAAAGGTCTCAAGGGCAGGGGGGCGACCCAGCACAGCATGATAGTGCATTCATGATTCTCATGATGCATGTGGTGTCATTCTTCTGGTTTCTCCAGTGTGTCTCCTGTTCTTTAGAGCGTGGCGCCTGCGGGCTTCGCAAACCCTCGGCTCGCCCATCAGCAGCTCGAGCAGCTTGGCACCCGCAATGGGGGATCTCCTCAGTCCATCCAAGCTTACCACAAGCCCAAGGCACCGCATCATTTGCCTGAACTGATCAGGCCTGCAATGCCAGAGAATGCAAGGTCCAAGGCACTTCAGCGTCTCAATGAACATCTCCATATGGCCTAACACACCACATGCGTTGCTGCGGCTGAGCTGCGAAGCACAGCCCGAACTACACAACGATCATCCCAAGTCCCTGACGGCCAGGATCCCGCGAGTCCCGAATGTAGCTTAGGACTTCTTCGCGGAGGTTCTCTTCGAGCTGACCCGGCGCGCGCTTTTTGATTCTGCCTGCGACGGTGTCCGAGAGCCCCTCGCATCTAGAACCCGTGCCACTGTTGCAGCGCAGCGCCTACCAGCTGAACTGCCGCCGCTGGATTGGCCTGGACAGATAAGTCCCTCCACGCTCCCTCCAAATGTTCTGAGGCCCCCCAAGCCCATGCTCCACCCCCCAACTGTCAAACCACCTTGGCAATCAAGTTCACTTCTATGAATAGCCGGCTCCGCTTTGGATAATGGTATGATTGCCTCAATGGGCATCAAGAGAGCAGAAACATGCAGAAACATGCAGAAACATGCAGAAACATGCGAATCTCAGACTGGATAGTAGAGCCAAGGTGCGTTAGCAAGTGGAGCATTTGTTTGGGAAACCTAAGTGCCAGGGTTTATTCTGGACCACGACCCAAACTCCTTTACATTCTTCTGAGGTGGGGCAATCCCCTTGGCGAACTCGGGACTAGCTGCGGGCACTGTCTAGCCTGCATAGTGAAAGCGTTTCTTAAAACGCTTCCCCCCTTCCCAATGATGTTTCATACAAGAGCTTGGCCAACATGGTGCGACTCGCCATCGGACAATTCCAGCTCGGCAACGAGCACCGCTTGTCGACCGCGATTTCCAGGGCCGTCTTGTTTCGCACATGCGCGGCTTCACCGTCCTGCAGAAGAGAAAACATAGCAGATACAACTGAAACGGCTTTGGATCATACAGTCAAGTCATCATCAGAAACATCACTCAGATGATGCTGAAAGAGCATGCCGGCGCCGTCCAAACACTCATCATATCATAAAAACATCAGCCACAACTGAAGCTTCGGCCAAACTGCCAAACCCACATAGTTAATGAGGCGTTATCTTTCCTGAACCCCGCACAAGTCCTGGAACCCCCAGAATGGATTTGGGGGGGTGACGACAGAACTGTTGAGTGCGCTCCTTTCAAGCGGTCGTTTCTGTTCGGTCCCTGTTGCAATACAGCCTCTGATGTTTGGGGCACCCTGGTTTGAATGCCGGCGGCAAAGTGAATGAACAGCGTGAACGTGCTTGGATTCACATTACTTTCATGCGCTTATGATATACATGAAAGAATACAGGAAATTCAATCGCTGGTTCAGAACGATATTGCTGAACTGCAACTCCGCAGTAATATACTATTGTAATAAAAGGACGACGTGAAACTGTGAACGAAGATGTGCATGAACGGCTACACGAAGGAAGCATGCGAACACATGGGCAAGACTGACAGGTGGGATGGCTGCCAGAGAGTGAGGAAGCTAAAACGAAATCCTGTTCATGAGTCTCCAGCTGATAAGCGTCAATCTGAGGACAGGATTTAAGGGGCGAGCAAGGCTGTGGAAAAAGAGTGAGAGAGATGAATGGCACGGGAAGACTCAAAGGGGCTCTAATTCGTGCTCAGCGTGGCTCTCCTCGCGATCCCTCAGAGGGCCAACCTTTGCACCCAGGTCGGCCTTCCGGCTCACCAGCGCTTCCGCTATCCGCCTCTCTGCAATGTCTTCAGTTTGGGACATGATCCATAGGAAAACAGATGAAAGAATGCAACACGAGGAGCTCAAACGCTAAGCTTCTCTTTGCTTCTGGCACGTCCGGCAAGCCGATCTTCGCCTCCGCCAAGCGCCCACTTTTCGGTAATGCACGTCGTCGATGCAAAAACAATAACCCGGCGTGCAAAACTCTGAGACTCGAACTAAGATGTGTAACGCCGCCATGTCATCAGCATTTCGAATGATTGCACTGTCTGGTGCTTCTTCCAGGATCCACATAACCGTTTCGACCTGACCTGCGGGACAAAAGCACCACGGAATATGGGTTTGTGCCGTAGGACTTGTTTGCAACCAGCGCACTCATCCACAGTGCACATAAAAGGGGTGTGTAGTGATCACCGATTGCCTCACACCAACAGCCAGGCACCAGGAAACAATGGAAAAAACTCAGCCCAGCTCCCAGCTGGGGGTTTAAGCAGCCGAGCTGCGGTGATGGTTCTGCCATTTTGGCCCTTTGCATCTCTGGTGGTCTCCAGGACCGCTCGGCGGATGAGCACATCAGGCGAGCAGCGTTCCCTCAGTCGTCATGTACTGGTAGGAAAGGTAGAGTAGAAATTCGAAGCAAATGTCTGAGTGGGGTGCGCAATGGTGCGCAGGACGTCCCGCTTGTCTATCCCGACAGTACACAGCCACACTGAAAGCAGCAAAAACAAAAAACACTCATGCGAATTATGGGCCAATTGCAAACGAGCATCCGCAGCCACTTTAGCACCTCCACACTCCCAAGGCTTGCCGCCAAATGAGCTGCGTGGATCTTGATTTTTGCCCTTCTGAAGGGTGCATATGTTGCCTCCCACATATCGGCCAGCTCCGGTTTGCCCGGGATAATGGATTGCAACACCTCGGCCACGTCCTTGGGATTTCGTTTTGCTGCTGCTTCTTCAATCTTGAAGAAGTCGGGACTTCCACAGAGAACGTACCTCGGAAAGATTCGGCAAAGCTCTGCGTTCCTGCGTGAACCACAAGACGCGAAACGGAACAAATCTGGCGAGGCACTGCTTGTAGAATCTCTCCTTCGTGCATGGCTCGACCTGAGTGACTCGGGCGCACGCTTCAAGCACACCGTCACATGAACCGTTGAATTGCTGTCTGAGTCTACTGTGCTGCTGGGCTCAGCAATCACCAACCAGACACAAATTGCGAAGCTAAGCGACACTCGGTACCAAAACTTCGCACGAAAAGGGCATGTGCATTTTCCATGTCTCGTGTTTGGAAAAGGTGTCCTGCCACATTGTGCATTGCTCTGACATGAAGCACACTGCATTCAGCACAATCATGCCTGAGGATGGGTGCTTGTTGCGGCAGCGGTCAGCAACTGCTCAGAGGTGCTGCCCTGGGCAGGAGGCAGAGATGGAAAATCTTGCGAAGGCCCGGCGATTTGTTGCGGACACGCCTGACCTAGAAACAGAACAAGAGAGCCTTCAAAATCCGACATACTCCACATGCCACAGATGATGAATTTTCGACACTCACTTTGCCCAAATTGTTTTGCGGTTTTTCCTCGGCGAGACTCTGCGCCCGCCTGTCTGGCAGGCCAGAGCTCTGGGTAGGCAGGGCGCGTGCTCGCAGCTACCGCGATGGCTCAAGCGAATGACTGGAGCCGACCATCGCGTGCCAGGCTTCCTCCACAACTTTCCGTCGAAAGAAACATGATCAGGGCCTTGAAGGCGACTCTGAAAACTTATCACTTTGTGGGCCTGCTTGCTCCCCGTGGAAAACCTGAGACATGGGGGCCCGCCCTGCCAAACAAACGTGGAAGACCTCGAAAAGAAGCTCACGCATCTTTTGGAAGGCCCCCCTTATACAGTTTGTGAGCGTTCCCGTGAGAAACTGCACAGTATATTTCTGGTAAAGCACCAGCCTACATGGGTGGTGGTCCGAAGCTGCATCAGCTGCCCGCGTCGATCGGTGTTGATTGAAGCTGTTCTCTGTCTCACATTCCCTTTTTGCGCCACCGTCCCTCACTCCCTCGAACTTCAACATGTGTCAACACCTCCCGGCATTGCTGGATCGGGGTGCGTTCCCGCGCGTGATACGGAAGGCATGTACACAAGTCAGGACAGGCAGAAAACATCGGCAGGCGTAGGCTTTTAGCACGTATGGGAACTTTGTCTATGTTGGGGGGCATGCTAAGTATTGGGGTAGATTCTTGGGATGTGAAGGCCCGATCATGGGCTTTATGTTGAGGGTTTTTTCTTACCGGGCAACCCGCAAATACCAGTGTTTGTGGGCATAAAACGCTGTAAATACCAGTGTTTTGGGCATGGTCGCGACAGGCATGGATGCTTGTGATGGATTTTCTTGTTCCACATATGCTGTACAAAAAGGCGAAAACGCTGTGTTTTGGGCATGGACGCTATATGAATGACGTTCTTATCCCCCACCCCCACCCCCCCGCCCCCCCCCCCCCCGCCCCCCCACCCCCTCCCACACCCCTCCCCACCCCAGAAAGTCCGGAAAGCCTGAAGAAGTGCTGGAAAACACATGCGCGGGAACGCGCCCCAATCCCACTACGTGACCTTTTTTGTGGCCACGCCTCGTCCAGTGGTGCTGGCTGCCGCGATGCCTGTGAAAGCGGCGTGCTTGATGTCGGAATCACCTTGTAACATGTCGAAAAACTTTTGCGCTGCATTCCAGAAAGCGAAAGCAAGTTGAAGGAGAAACATCTTGGAGGCAACCGCGAAAAAATTTCAGTTGGAAACATGGTTTGTGGAAACAAACGGCCCGTGTTCAGCTGCGCATGTTGCACGAGCACAAGCGCAGCTTCTCGAAAAGTGTTTGTTCTAACACAACTAACTGACCCTTGCACTAATAACTGATGGTAACGGGATCCTACACAAACTCGCTGGGCCCAGTGCCGGGAGGCGTTTTGAACAAACGGGATCTGGTCTCCCAACCCCCAGCCCAATACACCAGTCTGTGGGACCCCTCTCAAAAGAGCGAACCGACAATGAGCTCCGGCATGCTGCGGACGGGCTTCCCATCCCAAACTCGTGAGCGACTGGGCACTGCAGTGCAACTGGGGGGTCTTGCGCCGCCCTTGGGCCTTTGGGGGCAGCTGCACTGTGACCGCCCTCACCAGCGGTAAAGGGGGCGAGACAAAAGACGCCCGTAGGTGTCGCCTTCGCCTGGTCGTGCTCGCGGTCGAGGTGGGCGGGCGCTTTGGTGCCGAAATGGCGGATTTCCTCCGCCGTTTGGCCGCCTCCAAAGCGCGGACTGCGCCGCCGTGGCTCCGGGCCGCGGCTCGGCAGGCGGCAGACAACCGCTGGAGAGGCATGTTGGCCGTCGCAGCGCAGCGGGCTCTCGCTCTGTCACTCCTGGAGCTGCCGCTGGACAGGGCAGATGAGTGTGACGGGGCGGAGCCGCCGCTGGCTGACCTGTTGGCGGACGCTCGCCACATGTACCTCGCCCCCACAACCATATCGGCCTGCCGCTCCACAGCGCAGGTCCGTGAGGGGCAGGGGCAAGCGAAGGCGGCGCCGCATTGCGACGTGCATGAGGTCCGGTGCGAGGGTGGACGCCGCATCCGAAGGCATCGCGGCTAGCCACATACCGGCATGCGGACCGGATTGAGAGTGGAGGAGTTTTTGGCTCAAGTGGCTCAAGCGGGTTTCCACGCGACGCAATAGTTGTGTGCAACATGAAGGCAACAATGACTCCGCCTGCAAAGGGTGTGAAGAGAGAGGCCACACGATCCCCATTACATGAGATAGACGGTGTCGAGAATCTTGACCCACCGTCAGATGAAGATATGCATTTGCAAGTGTCTGCCCGCACCATAGCTGACATTGTGCGTCATGAGGTTCAGACAGGATTGTCCAGCGTGGATACCAAGCTGACCAGCCTGCAAAATGATGTCAGAAGTCGAGTGGAGGGCATCGAGAAGCAATTGAAAAATCATGCCGGTCGTCTTGAAAAAATGGAACAATGGCTGGACTCGAGAAATCCCACACCGCGTTCTTGCGCATCAGATGTAAGTGGTAAAATTGAACAACAACTCGCAGATTTGCAAGCGCAAATTTCGAGTTTGCGTGTGGACTCGAGCTCGGTGTCGCGAGATACCACTTGTACGATGGTTGTCGGCGGCTTACAATCACTGGATGGGTTGCACGCAGCAACCACGTGGTTGAATGACACACTTGCAAGGATGAGTGGGCCGAAACATGTGGGGACGTAAAGCAAATCCAAGGAGTGGTTGGGCTTGTTGTGGGCCAAGTTTTCCTCTGTCGGTGAAAGGGACATGGCTGTTGCACTGATCCGAAGTGCGAACATGAACATGGGGTCAGACAATGTATGGGCGACTCAGGACTTGCCGGTCCCAATTCGAGCAAGGAAGCTCTTTCTCATGGGTTTGAGATGGCAGTTGATCCAGTGGGGATTCGTCAAGCAAGAAATCAAGATTGATGATGACTTCAACACCATGCACATCGGCTCCTTGTTGGTTGTGAGGGTGACCAACAAAGATGATTCTTTACAATGCGCATGGGCGGACACATGGGCAGATTGGACAGAATTTCAAGAAAGCTCCGAGTTACAGGAGCTTCTCGTGCGTTCCGCGCGAACCCTTCAGAAACAAGCCAAGGGCCAGGGCAAGAGCAAGGGCCGACAGGCCCAGTAGGGACATCTCCGTTCGAGTCGATTTTCACAACATCCTACATTTTCATCGGGTGCCGAGCCCGAGTTTTCGGTGGGTGCAACTCCAACACTTCAAGTACATGTACAGAACAAATTTTCAGAAGAGCGTTCGCGTGAGGTGGTTGTTTTTGCCAAAAATGCCAGATTACATTCAGCAGACAAGATATCAGAATTATTGGGAGAATTGGTGCAGATCAATGCTTGGGATGTTTTGCTCTTTTCCGAGACCAGACGATCCAGTGAGGCTGTTGATTTAGAAGGTGGCCATCGCTTGTTTTCATCTCAACGTCCGACGGCTTGTGCAGGTGTGGCGATACTTGTGCATTTAGAACATGTGGCAGCAGTTCAGCGAGTGCAAACAGTTGATGAGCGTGTGATGTATGTGGACTTGCGCATCAATGGGCTCACATTTCGCATGGTATCGGTTTACATGCCACATGCAGGATATCCGACGGAAGACTTGATGCAAACGTATGATTCTCTGCACTGCGTACTAGAAGGCGCGCGAAAAAGGAACATAGCATATGTTGTCGGAGGCGATTTCAACACTCAACTACATGTTGGTCCGCGCGGAGACTTGCTCATGCAGACAGCTCACATGTTCAGCATGGTCATCGCAAATGCAGAGCAAGAACATGACAGTTGGACGTTTTGCAGTTCAATGGGGGTACGACGTCGTTTGGATTTTGTGCTTTGTAGTACTGGTTTTGACGTTACGCATGGTGGAGCAACTGACTTGCTGGATTTGGGGTCCGATCATCGAGCGGTACGTGCGGCCCTTGAGGTGACCGGGCCGCGTAGCCTCCAAGGACGCAAGCCAGTCGCACGCAAGCAACGCTGGTCACCGTCTGTCGCAGAAAAGCGCAGGTATCAGATAAACTTGGACACCTGTCTTCAACAGTCGGCGCTGGTCAACATGTATGAGCTTGAATCTTGCGTCGCGCGTTGTGCTAAACTTGCGAGCCAACAAACTGCACAGCGTGATTTGGCCGATGTGAAGCCTTGGCAACGTCAGGATTTTCAGGACTTGCTTGCTCAACGTCGGCAGTGCAGGGACAGAGAGGGTCGTGCTCGGCTTTCCAAACAGATACGTGCTCATCTTCGCAGGCATATGAGAGACAGAAGAAATCGCCGGGTGAATGACATTCTTTCGGAATTTCGTTGTTTGAATCGGATTGAGGATGTTTACCACAACCCTTGCAAAGCAGTAAAAAACACCAGGGAGGGTCCATCGCCACATGAATTTACAAAGTATTTGGAGGACATTTTCACGCCTGACCGCATGGAAATGCAAGATCCGCATGTGGGCTCGCATGATGTCGTGCCACCATTCCACCTTCATGAGCTGAAACAAGCGATCAAGAACTTGCGGCATGGCAAGGCCGCAGATTGCGATGGGCTGGTGCTGGAGATGTTTTCGTTTGCAAGTGATCAGTGATAACCTATTGACGTGCTTGTTGGGTTTGTACAACAAGGTGCTATCGACCGGTTATGTGGAGCAGTCATGGAAAAATACCGTTTTTACCATGCTGCTTAAAGCGGGCGACAAGTCTTTGGT